AGCCTCTTATATAACAGTCATAAAATTGTATCTTTATATCAAACCTTATATTGAGTCAGAGTGATAAGCTAAAATTAGGGTGGAAAATGGTAAAAGCTGTAAGTACATCTTCAGCACAGCAGAGGGCGGTACTGCTAGTCAGTTATGCCAAGCTAAAATCAGGCTGTCAGATGAAGAAACAGTGAGGGTTAGCTTTTCTTGCAGCATAATTACAGAGACCTTAAGACTAAAGTGAAGCGTTTTGATATTATAATACACCAGAGTAAGGAAACTTTAGGCTTTTTTTATCTGAAAATCATGTTAAAGAGGCATCAGAGAGGAAGTATAGAGTCTTATGCAAGTTATGCATAAAACCCCCTTTTTGTCTTGTTGTCTTTTTTTTTCTTTCTTTATTTTGGGGATATATGTTTAGTTGTATCTGAAAAATTTAAGAAAAAACATTTAATCCCATAATTTGATATTTTTTTAGACCAGTATCAACAAAGTAAAGTAAAATTATACCAATGTGTTGTTTTGGGAATCAAACAAATGCAATCCAATGTACTTAATGATCTTGGCTTTCATATTTATTACTCAATAAATGCTGCACTGTTAGACCAAAAACAGAGGCTGGAAACATACAAGTTCATGTATATAACGTTCAGTAAGTTAGTCAGTCAGTCAATATGATTATTAGTTATCCCAAGAATATGTTGATTATTCACAGACGTCCAGTGATTGCTAGACAGTGTGACAGCATGTGCACTTTTCAGGTTTTACAGTTTGGTATTGTTACAGAGCACCAGAGCCAGCCCGGCCCAAGGCATAAGCAAACTGAGTGCCTGCTTAGGGCCCCGAAGGCAATAGGGGGCCCCCAAGAGCAATCCAAAAAAAGCATCACTCATACATGCAAAAAATTTAAAATTTAAATATTTTTTTATTTTTTGCATGTATGAGTGATGCTTTCTGTGTGATCAAATATATATTATTGTAAAAATAAAATGGAGTAAAAAAAACAAAAAACATTTTAGTGCTGCTGCTGATGTAGGCCTATGATTTTTACTGCCGATATGTCAAAGCTCCACTACCATTATGTGCCTTCTGCTGTGCAATGTGCACCGATCATCCAAAGCACAAGTAGTTGTCGGGCAAAACAATGTCTCAAAAATGGACATATCATTTAGGACTTGAGAAAAGAAAGAGGAAGAAGAGAAAAATGCCAAGATAAAGGTATGTTTGCATGTCATGGAATGTTAATCAAAGAGAATTGTGAAGGTGTGTGAATGATCAACAATCAATATTATTGGCAGAAACAGAGGTCCCCAAAATCAAATTTTGCTTAGGGCCCCATTGAGGCTTGGGACGATTCTGCAGAGCACTCTCTGCAACAGCAGGGGGACTTAACCGCAAGGCCAACGCTCCCCACATACTGCCTTTTTTTCTTTAAAGGAATCTTTTTGGGCATATTAATCTTTATTAGAAGGAACAGCTGAAGAGAGACACGATATATGGAAAGTAGAGAGTGAAGGGGGACATGCAGTAAAAGGGTGTGGCTGGGAATTGAACCAGAAACAGCTGCGACAAGGACTAGAGTCTATTTATGGAGTAAACAATAGGACAATTTTTTAATTTTTAATTTCTGGCAGTAATAAGACTGTGCTTTAATTTTAAAACTTTCAAATTAAATTAGTTTTAGGGACCCAAATGACAGAAAAAATATTTACATTTCAATAAAATATCTGCTTGAACTGATGGGTGAGTTCTCAGTCGCAGAACTTCACTTTATTGGAGCCAAACGAGTTCTTTATTTTGATTTATTTCATCATTTTTTTAACCTTGTGTTTATTCTGTTTTAAAATAGTAATGAGTGTTTACAAATTGCCATTACCAAACTTATAGTGCATAGCAGACATTGATTTCTGTTGCTTCATAAAAAGAGGCGTCCAAATTTGTCTTTATCCAACCGTCAATGACTTGCTGAGACAAACGTGAATTTTGTTAAAATTAGTCTCAACAATCTGTTTAAAAGTACGATAACATCTTACCTGGTTCAAAAGAAACTGATAAAAGAGGGTTTTTGACAGGGTACTTGACCCATATTTTCCCTCCATCACAAAACAATGAAAAAAAACCTGTAAATATATGAATATGTCAAAAAAAAAAAAAAAAAAAAGGCCTCCAAATATCCCTCAAACGATGTGTTCACCAACATGAAAGGGTTTAACTTTCCTCTTTGTCTCCTCCAACAGTTTACAAGAAGGCTTTTCTAAATGTACCTCCCAGTATTACGTCTCCTCAGAGGCTGTGAGGCCTTTCCTCTAGTATCCTATAATTAGCTGTGTTTGTTGTTTCTGGTTGTAGACACAATACGAAGTGTTCTCATGCACCACAACAACCCTTTCAACCAGCCTCACCAACCTGTGGGTCTACCTTTGACAGCTGCAAATACAGACATACATCCGGACACACATGTTTTTGTAACGCTGCTGAGAACAGAGAGAAACAATCATGAGGGTAATTAGATTGTGCTTCCTCTTCAAGAGCATTCATAAGAATTAATAAACGTATTTACAAAAACATATCAACAGAGAAATAGCCTGAGCTTTAATCCTGTTAAAACAGTGTAAACAGTATATCAAACAAAACACACAGGCAATGGCAGAGGTAATCTTGAAGTGTCTATGCTATGCACTGTATGCACTAAGCTCTATGACGTGTTTCCTGTTTGATATAACACAACCCAGTCACTTCCAGCAGCTTGTTAGAGTGCCTGTGACATCGATTCACAGCTGTTTTAAAATAAGCGGTGAAGAAAGTTTTTTACATTTCGAAAGACAGAAGAGTAGGGGAGACCGGGGCTTGTTGTCACACAGGTAAGTTGTCACATTGCAATTATTTTTGCCACCAGAGGGCGTAACTAAAAAGTGGAATACTAGTTTTATTCCTTTACATGGTCAGGGGTCGTATCCTGTCTGAGAAGAGAAGAGCGCATTGTGAGCTGTGATGAGCGCCAATTAACCATTTTGCGCAGCCCAAAGTAAAAAATTTTAACTTTATATATTCTAAAATAAGCTTCTACCAGATAAAAATCCTAGCAGTGAAACATGTGGACTTGTTAGAGGAGAGATTAAGACATCCTGTCACACCTCAGTCACTGTTCTGTTTTAAGCTAACATTAAACTAGAGCTAGACTTAGCAAACATGATAGTTTGGGGCAACATGTCTCAGTCATTTTGGGGTTAGTTGTCACATGTTTAAAAGGGATTCAAATGAGTCTGATTATCAGCAGTTGTCATATTGAAACTTTGACTTTATTTTTACAAAGAAAAGAGTGGTTTAAAGGAGAGGAGAAAGTGAGAAGACATGGTTAGGAATTAAAAAAGAAAAACAGAACATGGCGGTGCAGTACCTGATGTGATGCTCCATGTCAGGCAGGTGACCCTAGCTAATAAATCAATCTGGAGTACAATAAAGGACTCTAATGTCAACTACCATACCTTGGCTCAGTGCTGCAAAACATTAATCCCAGCCAAAATACAGAGTCAGACAGATCTCCAAACTCAAGAGCATGTTGCATAATATTTCATGTTAATGTTTGTTTAATGACATTTTTCTAGCTCATTGATAAATATTTTCTGTGCCTGACTTTGGTGTTCACTTTCATGGAAAAAAATGAGAACAACAATAATTTTGTCTTTGTTTTATTACCTGCAAAATCCACTGTGACATCTTACCCCATGTATTGAGACAACTTAACGATGGTGGGGCAACATGTCACATGTTCACACTCTCCATTTGATTGATTATAACTCTGCACTGTCACAAGATATGAAAATGACATGAAAATGAAATATGTACCTGAGACTTTGGTCTTTCATCTGGTACACATTTTGTTTATGTATGATGTACTGATTGCAAGAAATTTACAAGAGTGTGAGAAGTGTGTCAACAAGCCCTGGTCTCCCCTTCATACTCCAAACACTGCTGTGCTCCACTTAGTTCAACATCATCTGAATTTAATAATGTGCTCAGCTTCTAGGCTTTCCGTCTGATCTTATCCTGAGGAGGTGATGTCTAGTTAACATTTACCAGGATAAATTCAGTCACATAAAGGTTTGTAGCTGACACTTAATGATTAATTATCTTATTCAGCTACCTGCTCTAGAAGGTAGAAGGAGGCTCATAAAAGGTGCCATACCGTCACTGTTTGAGAGCAACGAATACAACGTTGAAATACTGTTTAGCAGTGAGTCCCCATGTTTTCTTGCAAGGTCCCATTTTGAGCAGTTTATATCTTATTTCTAGGATTATGACGACATGTGTACCTCCTGATTTGAAACCTTGCCAACATCTAGTATGGACACCAAACATCGTAACGTTGTATTTTTTGTTGTAAATGTGGAAAAACATAATACCATTTTGTCACATCCAATGTCCCTCTTATTTGTTCATTTATTTATTAAAAATTTTTCCTTTTCCTTCCTCAATATTCTGTAAACAAAGGCTGTTTACTGTTTAACTGATCACTTATTTCCTTATCCATCTACTGTAGTTTCCTTTTCCCTCCACTCTGCTCTGATACTGTTACATCGCCAGTAGAATTTGATTGATTTTTGTTTCTTGTTTTTTTTTTTTTTTCCTATTTGACTTTTGAGGCAATTTTCACAGCAGGTCTCAGAGCTGTTTTTGAAAATGCCGAACACTGTTTGTTGTCATAGTGGCCTTGGAAGTGCAAAAACAGGCATTGTGAGCTGAATACAGCGAAGAACATACCCAAGGCTGGAAAGGCATTGTTAATGTAGGGCACACACACTCATGCCTAACACACACACACGCACGCACACACACACGCACACACACACACACACACACACACACACACACACACATAGTGGCCAAGGCTGAGACTGTATTGTTTCACTGTGTAAGACACTGAGAAAGGATGTGAGAGACGAACGACAGAAGGAAACGCCAACAACGTCATGGACGATCAAGTTTAGGTTGAACAAAGACTTTCCATGTAGAAGGCAGAAGTTTTCATCTGTGAGTATTTTTATTTTAGAAAACTAGGTACATTTGGGTCAGGTTTAGTAATACACTTTAATAAAATACTGTCAGTTATATGTAACAAAGAACTGTACAAATGTGACTACAAACACGGTAAGAGCCGCCTTATTAGCCGGCGTTTTATCTGCCAACAAGAGAGAAAATAAAAGACAAAGAAAGAAAACATTTGCTGCTTCAATTGCCTAAAAATTCCACATGCCATTTCCTGCGATACAAGAAGTGGGTGGATTGCGCCTCAGGAAGTAGGCGTGTCCTTGTGTCTCGGCTTCCCAGACCTTTTAGTCGCTGTGTAAACATGATAGCGTTCCTCCATAGAGAGCAGCTCTCACACACCGATCATTCGACCTACATTCTCCTGAGGTGACTTGTTAAAGGGGCGCTCTGTTTGCGGTCTGTTTTTATACCCTGGCTATGTCTGACATGTCCAAGTGTCGTAATGACAAACAGGTACAGAATATTTGTGGTACTGCTCCTTTAGGTCGCACCAGCAAGAAGCCTTGAAACAGGCTGTAATGGCTTCAGCTTCACCCTGAAGCAAATGTGCCCAATCAAAATACTTCCACTAAGAGTGCTTTGTTTTGAAAATAACAGGCTCAGGTTGTTATTTTAAGTTTTTAACATTACGGGCAGGATAAGTACTGCAGAGATGGACCTTGATTAAAGGGGGAAAGATTTTTACTAATCATTATCAGCTTTTACATCACTCTGACCTCATTGTTAGTAAATTTCACTGCAGAAGAGAGATGCTTTTTTAGAGAGTCTCTCATTGATATGGAAGACAATATTTTCTGATTGATCCCACTGACTTTGGGGGTTAATATGCATGCTTCCATGTTTCCAGGTTTTAAAAAGTGAAGCCAAAACACTGCAGTGAGCTGACATTTTGTTTTGGAGCCAAAGTATCTGCAGGAGCATTAAGGCTTGTGGAGCTCTCAGACTGACGACATGTTCTTCCTTCTTACCAGAACACAGGATTGTTTAGTCTCTAATCCTCCTCTGAAGGTAATGATGGTGGCAGAAAGAGGGGAAAGAAGGTGGTGATGTGTGGCGCGAGAGTAAGCAAGGCGTAACAGCACAGTTTGTATGTGGAGATCCTGCAGTAATTTTGTAAGCCCATCCTCTTGTGCTTCCAAAACTATGTGTTGCAATGTGTACTCAAACACTGGTGCACCAATGTTATGCCATTTTGGGGTGTCATTTTGAAGTTCAGAAGCATAATGACGGTAAAACACTGTTGTGCAGCTGCAGTAAGAGGCTAGATGTTTAGTTGGGATTATAGAGGCTGTTGGGGCCCTTGGCAAAAATATAATTTAACCCAACTGTATATCTATTTTCAATAGCACACATACATGCACAAAAATATCCAGAAGTGAACCAGCAACTCCTGTATTCTGTGAGGTTGTTCAGTCAGATACTTAACAACAACAATCTGAGCAAGCAATTTTAGTAGACATACTCCAATGGGGAACATTTGGACAGGGATTATGTTGAAGCCATTGCAGCTTGTTTTATAGCTGCAGGCTGATGCAGTCTATTAAATCAGTTCCACAACTTTAATACCTATTAGTCAAGTAGACCCCCCACCCACCCCACCCAAAAAAGAGCTTGGGTTTTAAAATACCAGAATCCCTTTAAATTATACCTTGTACAAAAACTCAACACCACAGAGAACTCTTTTGCATGTGTGGTCATAGTTCCTAAAGTGTAATAAACAGATACTGTACAGTGAGATGACTCAGGATTTCACCGTTGGTCAGACGGGTGGCGTGCTATAACGGATCTCCATGTTAAATTTGTTTGGTGTTTTGGGCAGTGGAGGTTTCTTCAGCCTGTTATGCTTCATGATCACCTCCTCGTTGGCGTAGATCGGGGTGTCTGTGTCATCTGAGTGGTACCCAGACTGGTATCCACTCGTCTGATTGGACGTCTCAGAGGCCAGAGACTCTTTGCTCTTGCAGCGCAGCAGTTGACTGAGGGGACAGAGTGTAAAAGGGATCTTTATTTAACAACAGATCTTTTTTTTTTAAGTTATGAGTTATTCTGAGGAATGCTAAATCAGTTTCAGAGGCCTCACCTGAAGTTCGGTGTAGTGGACAGCTGCTTTACCTCCTCTGATAAGAAGCCCATCCCACTGTCAGTGTGACCCTCCTGGAGAGGAAAGAGGAGCTGATTTTAACACTGGTGGCTGGGTCCAAAAAGAAGAAACATTCATTCACCACCCCCGACCATCATTCACTCATCTATCATACCACTTTTTGTTAATCAATCCATTCATCATCTATCAACTATCTTTCATCCACGGATTGTGCATCCATCATCCTTCCTTTATCCTTTGTCTTCGATGTATCCTGCTTTTAACTATTAGTCTGGATGTCCTCAATTCGATTATCTGACAATCCATAATGATTCAATCCATCTGTTATTTGACCATCTGTCCATCCCTTCATTCATCAGTTCTTCAATGCATCCCAATACAACATTACACCCACACATCCACCATCCATCCATTCATCCATCCATCCATTGACACTGTCAGTGTCTCACCATGACACTGCTGATGGCAACAGGAATGTCCTCAAACGTCTTTACGCTGAGCGGTCGGCTGCACAGTTCGCTCTGCTGAGACAGTCTGCACAAAGGAGACACGTGATTGGTCAGCACTCCCTACTGACCATTTCTGACTATTATAAATTTCATAACTTAAGTGAGCAGGATCATCATGCTTACCCAAGGGATGGCGGGCTGTCGTAATGAAGCTGAGCTTCTAGGATTTCCCCACTCTGAGGCCTGCTGTAGGGTCTCCTGGGGTCAGAGGTCAAAGCCAATCCTTCTGCCTCTGCTCCTGCTGTCAGAGGGATGTAGTCCTTCCCATCCTGCAGAACAACAAAACATCACAACGTCAAATACATTCAAGATCAATTCACTGTACAGACATAGGGAGAGGTATGGACTAATAAGTCTGATTCACAGGTGAAAGAAGTACTCTGATTAAAGATTCAAATACAAGTTTCAATACTAACTTGCAGATTATCTTTTAACTTTTTACCCCAACAAAAGAATACATTTATTTCAATCAAAACTGTTTAAAGCACAAAAGTAAAAAGTACATCCTCTTCTTGCAGAGTGGCTCATTTTAGGATTATTCTAATTATCTTGTCTTATCAGATAATATAGTGTAAGATGGTATGCAATACTCCATTTAAAGTTCTTTGGGTGTAGACTGTCCATTATTTTCTGATAATGAACTCATACTCTCTCTTAAGTCTTGCCTAAGATTTGTTGGTTTTGTATGAGTAAACATTATTTCAGTTGCATTCAAAGTTTCAGTCAAAACAGCAGGTGTTACTAAAGAGGCATTTATGGCTTGTGGAAAAGTCAAGATTTTGACGGTAAAATGTTTGAGCACAGAAGAAATGGTGATCATCATTTGGAATGAAATCACAGTAGAGTATGATAAGGGCCTGTGTCCACTGCCTGCATTTTTGAGCTGGCATGGCCTCTACAAAAACAAAGCAGTTCAGTGTTTTTAGTATCAGATTATTTTATTGCTGTGTCCTTAGCAGTCCTACTTAATAAATAATTACACTTTTTCATTGGTGTCATGTCTCTATCACTGACCAATCTAAATCAAAAGGGGGCTGGACTTTGGGTATCGACTTTTTAACAACAATGGCAGTGGGGGGTCAATAAAAGACAGAATAACCACACTCTTTATGTGTAATTTTCTGGTGTAGAACCACTGCCGATGCCATTAAATACAATTTCATCTGTTGTGCTAATTTTCTCTTTGTAACATTGCCTTAAAGGTACAGCTTGTAGGAATGGGGATGTATAGTAATTTCTAGCTGTCAGATTGTAGATTTAAAATGCTCCCTCGCTCATCCCTCCCCTTGGTAAAGTGACGGTGGCCTTCAGAGACAAGAAGCTAGAAGAAGAAGTTTTATTCTCCATTTGTCAAGTTATTACCATCAACATTATAAGTGTACTCCAGTCTGACAGGTAGTTGAGTAGAAGTACAAAAAAGGAAATGTAAAAACCCAGCAAGACTTACAATAAATGCTTTGTTACTATTATTGAAGGTGAAATAAAATGTATGACAACACTTTCTATTCTTGTGATCGTGATGTAATCAGCTTTATCTGATGGGAATGTTTGCCTGCCTGTTCTGTCAACTTCCTACATTTCCCAGAAAGACTTGGCAGAACTCAGTCAGTTAGCATGAACTCAGAGCTGCATGTATGCTGGTAAACAGGGAGCAGCTTAAACAATTGCTCAAAGAGAGGCAAGGACTCTGGGATATTACTGAGGGAAGCAGTGGCCTTTGATCAGAATCAGATTATAGACTGTTGACATTGCTGCACCTGCTTCCTGTGAGATTTATTCCTCCATAACTGTTTCATGTCCTTACAGGGAGCTTTTACATTTTCTGCTTTGAATCCAGTTGAAATATTCAAAGTCTGAAGTCTTATTTACATGCAAGAGAGGCTTATCCAGATCCAGACTAACCTGCTGAGCGCTGGCTTGGAGCAGGTTGCCCAGATGCTCCACCAGCTCTGCAAACGTTGGCCTGTCTGTGGGACGATCCAGCCAGCAGTCTAACATGGTCTGATATCTGTGAAGACCACAAGATTCCAGTCAGACATGAGTGTGAACTACACCTCTCTGATGTGATTAACTACGTCAGGTCATCTCACATCTCTGAGGTGGCGTATTCAGGCGGTCTCATCCGTGTCCCCTCCTTCAGCCTCCTGCAGAAAGACTCGTCGATACAAACACCAGGATATGGAGATGCCCCTGTAAGAATTTCAAAGGAGGTGTTATTGCAGATAATCCAGGGTTACAATGCAGTTTATATTTATTTACTGAGGATTTCTCTCTTACCCAGAGAGAAGATCTCCCAGAGAAGGACCCCAAAGGACCAAACGTCACTCTGTGTGGTGTACACCCGATCAAAAATTGTCTCAGGAGCCATCCACTTTAGTGGGAGTCGAGCCTTTTGGGGAATAAAAATGCTTGTTTCAGTGTTATTTAAAAAAATTATAATCTTTGGATGTTTTAAGTTTGGAGAAACTTCAACTTGATGACCTTGTTCTGTGAAACTTTTAAAGTTTGTAGGCATGTTCAGACTAAAAAGGAGGCCTATCTTCAATTTGTACCAGTGTTCTGTTTCAGCAGAGGAGGGTCTGTCCATCTGTCTCCACCGAGTCATATTTTCACTGTATCTAATACATGACATGTTGGCTGAAATCAAGCTTACTGCATTAATAGAAATCCTGTGCATCAAGCAAATGCAAAAAAGTTTTGTTTTTTGTTGTTAATTTTGTTTTTGACTATGAGCACAACCTGCAAAGTTTTTTTTGCTTTAGTTGGAGCACACCTTTAGGGGGCGCTCACACCAAGCGCAACTAAAATCATCTACTCGCTTGATTCGCGCAAATCTAGATGCGTGAATGAATTGTATTTACTCGCTGCATTCGCACACCGACAGTAAATTCAACAGTAATCCTTGCCGATTCAAATGGCGGGATCAAGTGATAGACAAAGGTTTTTTACAATTTTCCAGGTAATCTGACCTCCTCACTCACCAACATGATCAGTTTGTCCTCCATTTTAAGAAACCAGTGAAAAACCATCCATTTTCATATGTTACTTGGCAACCTTCATGCTGAGTACTTATCGCCACGCAAATATCTACCCAAGTTGAGACATTTTCAACTCCCACCCAATTCGTGTCATTCGCGCCACCAGAGTAGTAGGAGCTTCTGATCATGTCTTTGCATTGACTTAACAAGTAATTCATTTGCGCGCTTGGTCTGTGGAGACAGTTAAAGTGCAGTTTCATGCTTTATTTCCAATTTTTTTATGATCGCAATAATTATACTTCCAACAATGAGCAACTTCAGGAGTGTAATCCATTTTTACTGAGAAGAAAACATGAACCAGTGCGACCTAGAAAACGTCATCCTTAGACACCTGTGCAACAGCTTGTTGGATAGCCCTAAAACCGGATCATAATACAACAAATTAGACAAAACTGCTGAGTCCGAATTCTCAGTTTTGACTTTGTTGTTTTCATAAAATCCATAATAAACCACAAACCTGCATCTATACAGTTTCCAGTAGCATTGTTTTGTTGACACATTTCTACCAATGGTGCTGAGAATCCAAGATTCTTCTGATAGTAGTTTGAGAAAGAATCACTAAGAACTGTAAAATCTAAAAGCGCCTCATCCTATATTTTTCAAGGTGGACTCACATCTCCCTTGCGGACATAGTCTGGGTCCTTGTAGACATCTCTGGCAAGGCCAAAGTCGCAGATCTTCACCACATTGTTCTCTGAGAGCAGGATGTTTCTGGCTGCTAGATCTCTGTGGATACACTGGAGAGCAGACAGAAACAGAGGAAATCACATTTAAAGAGCCACTATTTTCCAAAAGGTTGGATGTTTACAGCACATTCACAGTACAACCAAAGATTTGTAGATAATCCCAGTTTCACCTTGCGGGAGGACAGGAACTCCATGCCTTTGGCCACCTGAAAGCTGTAGCTGATCAGGTCCTCCATGGTCAGGTGGTCATCATCAGAGCTCTCTGTGGTCACATGATACATGTGATTTACAACACCATACATGTCTAAAAGCAAATAAAATTGTGAAGCTGGTTGTTCTGAGTTGTCCTCACCGTCACTGGTGACAATGTTGCTGCCTGACTCTCGGTCTCCAGCTATGGAGCAGATGGCTGTTCCTGTGCAAATATCCAGTTGAGCAATCTTCCCAAGACCAAGATCCCCTTCAGTCAAGTCCTCCTCTACAGACATCCACCTCTGACTGTTCACCCGCTTCCTCTGAGTAATAGGAGGGAGAAACAGATGATAAAATGAGGGGACACAGTAAGCATCATCAATGATTTTCATTTGCATCTAAGATACAATGTAGGATCAGAAAAAAAGGCTTTGGAAATGAAGAAAAAAACATTTCTGTTTCAAGCCTCTAGTGGGCACTTCAGGAACTGCAACTTTTGGCCCTTGTCCTTGGCATGGAGCTGTGGTGCATTGTTGTATAATGGTCTGTGGTCAGTGATTGGACTGTGCAGCACTCTGGTGTAGCCACATCAGAGGCTTTTCTCTATTTAACTGGCTGCTTGTGGGTCACTTGTTATTTACCTTGTAGGGGCTGTACTCTCCACGTTTGCTCTTGAGGTAGCTGGAGAGGTTTCCATGTTTACAATACTCCACTATCACCATTAGAGGTCCTGCAGAAAGGGGAGGGCATAGAGGGATCAAAGTCTGCCCCAACTTTACCATCTAGGACAACAGACTGGATTAATGAGGCAAGTGTGGTATATATTACAGACAAAGGTAGATAACTACAAGACAGCCCAAAAAACACACATCACATGGTTTGTAATTTGGTTGCCATGAAGAGGAAGATTACTCAGGAACTCTGCATGATCTAGCCACAAAACAACAGACTGAGGACATAAAATTCACACGCTCACCTCCGGGCTTTGTACAGGCTCCCAGCAGGTTGACCACATTCAGATGATGTCCAATATGAATGAGGATTTTCAGCTCTGACATCAGGGCCCGGTATTCACTGGATGTAGCTCCCTCTGTGACACAGAGAGACTTGAGTGGTGCTTTCATTGGTAGTGTGTGTTTGTGAACAGAAATGAGGGACAAACACCCACCTTTTAGCATCTTCACTGCTACAGTGGTGCAGGTTGTGGCTTTTTCGATGCCAAAGGCGGCTGCTTCAACCACTTGACCAAATGCTCCTCGTCCCAAGGGGTCACCTTCAATGACAAAATGTGTTTCCCATTGACAAAAACTATTTCAGAAAATTTTGTAATTTCTGTCTTTCACTGTACTCCACTTTGTATTGATTAACTAGCTAATAGTCTTTTTTTTTCTTTTTCTAATGCTCTCTCTTCTATTTAAGTGTTTGTGTCTGAACTCAAAATTCAAGCAAAAACATTTTTAAATGTTTATCTTTTGAATAATATGTAAAGTAAATGTATTTTTTCTCCTCTGATGTAACTGTAATCTAGAGTTAGCAGAGAATTAATGTCCTCATTATGGAGGCTTTATTCTTTATTCTTTATTCATACGGATCCCCATTAGCTGCCACCAAGGTAGCAGCTACTCTTCCTGGGGTCCACAAATAAAACAAACAATACAATACAAGACAATACAATACATAATTCAATAAAACATGTACAGTTTTGCGAAGGTCATTCAAGACAATAAAAGTCCAATAAAAAGCAAACCACAAACAAACAAAAAAAAAACCAAAAACAAAACAACAAGAAAAAAACAAGCAGCAAACAAATTAAACTAAAATTTAAAAGTCAGTTAAGATTACAATTAAGATTAGTGTAATTTGTCAGGTGTCTTTTAAGGAGTCTCTTAAAACTAGCCTTACTAGGTGCTTCAGTGATCATTGTCGGTAATGTGTTCCAAATGGTAATTGCTCGATACATTACAGATCTGCAGACTGCATTTGTTCTGGGTTTTTCTTTAACCATGTCACCCCTAGTAGCCTGCCTGGTATTATAATTATGACGATCTCTCACATACTGTATTTGCGAGTTCAAACAAACAGATTCTTTGTTAAAACAAATATTCCTAAAGAAACTCATTAAATTACAAGCCAACCTCTCCTCAACTCTGAGCCATGAGAGACTAGCATGCAGTCTCTCAGTGCTCTGCCTTACACCCAATGGACAGTGCAATGCCAGCCTTGCAGCTTTATTCTGAACTATTTGAAGTTTGGACAAATGTTTCTTGTCGGCACCTGACCATAATGCAGAGCAGTAATCAAGGTGAGATAGCACCAGTGCCTGTGTCACCAGCACTCTAGAAGCTGGAGTAAGAAATGAGGAACATCTTTTAATAATGAGGAACATCTTTTGAGTTTTGAGTCTCACCGAGCTTCAGCCTGTCCCGTGGAAACTCCCATTTGTTGGCATCATACGTCAGCCTCTCACACTGCTCGTCCATGGGCATGTCCTCTGAGTCCAGGATCATGGACAGGTAGCCTGTCTTCAGGTCTCCACCATTTGGCTGAAACAGTTTAAATTTTTTTTCTTATTATTTCTGTCTAAATTCACATCTACTCCATGACATTCTCTAACAATATGCTCTGAGACAGGTTCCTGAAGAATTTGTGTTATCCAAGAGTAAATAAAAGAAAATAAACAAATACGATTATATATTAACAAGTTTTCATGGAAAATTTCACGGAAAAGGAAAATTTATGTTGTGTTTTAGTGACTCCATTTCAATGGTCACATACTGTTAAACATAAAGTTTTTAACTCTAACATATCTGACCGTCACCTTGTTACCTTTTACTGATTTTTGTTCTTAATAATAAAGCACTGCATTGAAAAAACAGATTGACACCTCAGTATAAAAGAGATCAGGTACTTATGGACCAGCTCATAAAAAGTAAGAGTAGCTGAATTTCAGCTCTACCAAAGTCATTTCCTTTTTTGACACCTGTACTTTAACTCAAATATGGTTTGAAGTATATCATCTTTCTCTGAATGAATGCGTCACTGTGTATTGCAGTTTTTCATCGAATCTGTTCCCCTCTGGAAAAAGGGGCCCAATCAGTGCTGCTGGTCTACGTGACCTGTGGAGGCAGAGAGTGGGCCTGTTGTTCATGGACACAAAGGAGAGCAGCCACTGAGAGCCAAACCAGTCACTTCTAATCAATCTTACAAACCCACAAAGTGTGTGTCTGCTGGCATGTGTGTGTGTGTGTGTGTGTGTGTGTGTGTGTGTGTGTGTGTGTGTGTGTGTGTGTGTGTGTGTGTGTGTGTGTGTGTGTGTGTGTGTGTGTGTGTGTGTGTGTGGTTTAGCTTTTTCAGGGTCCCCTGAGTGTAACTAGAGGGAAACCCCGAGGAAGGAAAAGTATGGCAAAGAGAGGATGAGGATGAGGAAGTTCTTACCCTCTTTCTTCCACGGATGACGAAGACAATCAGTAACCAGAAAAACATGGCGATGACCACTGACCCGATGGGAACAATCAGCTCCACATTGGTCTTTTCCTCTGCACCTAGAAGATTAATTGGTAGAATAAACACAAACAACCTCACAATAAAGTATCAAATCACACAACTAAATCTGGGTCTGTCGTGCATAGAAAACATGGAACAATCATGGAGGTATGTGGGTTGAAATCTAAGTGGCGTGCCTTGGCAGTGTTGTGTAAGGTTCAGACAGGTTGGTCATTGTGTTTGGCATGGCGTGGACATTTGTGTATGTGTGTGTCTGTGTTTGTGTTGGAGGAAGGAAGACGCTGGAATCTGAACTGACAGCAAACCCAGTTTTTACCTAGTCATAACAAATTTTCAGGAGTTTGCACGAATGAAAAGCCCAAAAGAACCTGAAAAAGGTCCACTAGAGAGATTTGTTGGTGTTTAGATTCAAGCTGGTGAGCTCAGTCCTTTTCAACATTTGAACTTTTACTAACAACACTGTGCTGTTTTTTTTTTTTGTAGGGTTTTAGGTCTTTTTGCAATCAAAATTTACAAATTATACAAAAGATTCAGAGTCTGAACTCAGGTGTTTCAGCATGGTTTGTAATTTGCAGGAAAAAAAGTCTGTACGGAGAGCAAAAGCAGGCAGAATGCCAATATGACGACCTGGCTCACATCAGTGGTAATCTGAGGATTTGTTTGTCTCCGTAAACTGATATCTGCATGAAGGTCAGTTAACAACCTGTTCTGGATCAAACATTTACATTGAGACACTAATCTGCTTGCAGGGTTGCTAAAGACAGTCTGTGTTTACATTTCTTGACTTCCCTGAATGTATCAGAAAGTATGGATCTGACCTTCATTCGACAAACAAACATCTTAAAAAATTGTTCTCTTCTTTTCATGAGGACAGACCAGGAAAAGCTTGACTTTTGACCTTTTGTATATCTTAATGTTTTTTTTTTCAATCTCCATCTAAAATAAAAAATTGTACCCACACCAAGAATTTAACATTTCTTTTTTTGCATGACACCACAGAGACAGTCAAAACCAACTGCATAAGCACGCCAGACTAGTAGATGGCAATTAATACACATCATTAACATCAATCAGCCACATTAACCACAATAGAAGAAGAATTCAGATTGTAGTGCAGAAAAGTTCAGGAGCACAAGGACATTTTGGACATGATGCAAAAGTGAACCGTAGAGAGAGGAGAACAGGGAGAGGGGCAGGACAAGACAGGTTTGAGAGTGTCTATGTTTGAAAAGCCAAGCAACAAAATGCGCATAATGAGAGGGGCTGTCATGATCGTTGGTGTTAAAGTAACAAGCTAAAGAATACCTGGCGAAAAAGTGGCATTGCTCCGTTTCATAATTAATAAAAAGCCTTAGTCTTGATGTAATTTAAATTAAGGCTTGATCTGCAGTCTGATTAAATGTTAGTGGTAAAAGGGCTTAAATCCTCTGGTGTTTAATTACAAAGTTTAAAAAACTCTCCTACAAGTGAAAGTCTGGTAGAGAAAGTCTTCAAAATTAAATCAAAGCTCTTTAAGTACAGTGAGGAATTAATAAATGGACCCTTTCAAAAGGCAACTGATAGACCAATTTAAATTTCCTTATAAATATGCAAGGAATTGGACAATTGTGATGTGTAGGTTGAAGTGAGATGTCAGCTTTTTTTTTAGCAGTCCACATGAATACATACAAAGTTAAGTTCTCAGAAATCTCTACCTCAGAGGATTTTTTCTAAAATCTCAGTTTTCAATGACCTTAAAAAAAACAGTGTTTTCACATGATGTATATCCATGTAAAGGATGCCTGAGAGACTTGTCAGACTTAGTGGATGGGCAGCTGTTTTCAGTGGGACGTTGTGGATCATGAAATGGCAGGATGTACATTTGCAATACAAACATCACTTGGATAAAGTCATGGCTGGACGTTCATTAACCTACCTCAGCTAAAATGGAGATTACAATAAATGTCAGGAGGCTACAAAGACCAAGTTCCCCAGAAATAGGACACAGCTTTCAAGCCTCTGTTTTTGGGTCTAGTTTTTGGCCTGTTGCCCTAAGTTGCTCCCATCTTATGAAACATGTATGAATTGACTGTGTCAGGTTTCATCTCTTTGATTTTTCCTGAGAGTCAGAGTCCAAACATTGAACTAAAACACAAGAGTGAACCAGACTTCTCACTGTTTGTTTCTCTTCAACTCTCCCTTGTGTTGAGAGAGATTTTCTGCTCAGCTGTCTCTTTTCGCCTCTTCCCTTGTTAGCTCTTCTGGCCCCTGACATGGACCTGCTCTAACTGGGTCTGGATTGTGCTGGCGGGGACTGGGTCACGTAGATGGTTGGTTCTAGTCAGTGGTGTTGTTTGTTTCCTTGTATCTCTCTGTGTTCAGGACAGAGATGGGAGGACATGAGGGGACGGGCTAGAGCTCAGGCAGGTCTGGCCTCTCCCTTTGTCCTGCAGTCTACTCATTGTGTTAGATTTAGATACTCCCAAGAGGACGTGAGCTAAATGGGCCGACTTCCTGTCATGAGGAAGGAGAGTTATTCTTACTCTACATCTTTGATATGAAAAATGTAGTAAGAGGGATGTGAGGGGATGAAACCTTGGGGCCTGATATAAAAACAACGTCTTTAGGAGTATTTCCACAGTAAACAAAAGATTAAGGCTTCACTCTGAGACATGAGCTGATGCATGAATGAAGAATAGAGACAATAAACTGATAAGAAAAACAAAAAGACTCCAAAGAGACAGAAGACAGACACAGAAATAAAGACGACAACAAGAGGAGACTAAAGGATGACAAATGAAACTAGAAACTACTACAAGAGGACCGAAAAGGACCAAAACCCGGTCTGCATGAGTAAGAAACCCACAGTTAACGACCAAGAGACACAGTAAGAAACAAAAGAAATGGTGATAAAAACAGCCATGAGAAGACAAAAAACAACCCTACTATTACACAAACAGATAAGGAGTGATTACCAAACAACACAAAACTCTAAAGACATGAAAAAAACTACATAATCAAATAAGACACAAAACAACTACAGAGTCTAATGATGACTACAATAAAAGGAATAAAACAACCTGAAATGGCTAGTATGGGACGAAAGGCACCCCAAATCAACACCAACCACCAAGACACACAAAACAACAAGACAAAACCCTACAGACCAACTACAATGAGACACAAAACTAAATACTCAAAGAGACAATCACTGCAACAAGACAGAAAAAAAGATTCAACCCCCATGAAGAATTAGATGAACATAAAAAGACAAACTACAGAGTGCTGACATGAAAAGAAAATCATAACAGAAATCAAAGAAAGGTGACAGTTTCATGGCCATTCACTGAGACGCAAGAACACAACAAGAACAAAACCATCATGTTTAGCAGTCACTCATTTCCTACAAATTTAAACTCTTATTGCTGACCAGTACTAAGACCAAGAACCACAGAGTCTGTAGATAAACTATTTAAAATTGTTCTGCCAACTGTGTTTAACATTAGCAGAGCTAGCACCACCAGCCTTCGGTCCTCTTTGCAGGGTAACGTCCACATGCCTGTGTAGCTCTAGTCAAGCGATTACACACAGTTTAACCAAACACCAACTATGTTAAGGCTGTCATTTTTTTATTCCAAATTTGTCTCTTCATTCAACAGTAGGGCTTGGGAGTTGCACTCAAACTTTGATGAGCTGTCTGAATTCAGTCTGTGCAGTTTACTTCCACATCGAGTTGTCTGACTTAGCGTGCCGTCTGAATCAGCAGAGGGAGCGCTCATCGTTGCCTGACTACATGGCTCTCAAACAAGACAATCAGTGACAAATGATTGAAGGCGAGAAATAAGCCAATGACGTTACCGATACTGAGGCAGCACGTCAGCCAAAGGCCAATATATGATGCTAATATCAATAAGTGACACAGTAGACTGTCAAAAAGTCACTTTTTAAGCATGTAGAGGACAAGATACTCAAAAACGGTTTTGTCCAATGGAGGCACCAAACTCAACATAAACTTAAGTTCTCACAGGAGCTTTAACATGCATATTCTGACTAAAAAGTATGACAAAGAGATGTAAATGACTACAAGAGACTGAAAACAACTTAAACGAGACAAAACCGTCAAAGAGAAAATTAGCTTTTGGAGACAACTGCAAAAAAGGACGATATGGGCCTGAGAATGATTACAAGCAGAGACAGAAAAAGTGTAAGACTCCAGCAGTCCTAATACAGACAAAAAGTAACCAGAATTATGACAAAAAAGTAAAGTGGGACAAACACAGCAACAGGACTGAAAAAGCATCAGTCTGAAGCAGTGGCGATTGCTCTAAGACTACAAGGGAAGCTCAGCTTCCCTTAAAATGTCAACCCCCAAAAAAAGAAAAAGTGGTGAAATACGTACGGCTGTGTGTTCATTTCATTAACTAAATACACGCTAGAAAGCCTTCATCTTTTGTTCAGAATCAGCTTCATATCACACTGTGATAAGAAGCTGATTCTGGACAACTTCGTTCTCATTCATCCTCGCAGCGCCTCAGCGCTTTAAACAGCCGGACGCCCAGCTTCTGCTGACTTCAATGTGGAATCTCAAAGCGGGTTGTTCCAGCAGCGAAACTAGACGCTCATTGGATAAATGCTGGGCTTTGTCCCGCCCATTGGACGCTGGGCGTCTCTGGAGTTCTATGGCGAGAGGGCGGTCCCGACTTTCTCCCAGACTCCGAGCTTCTGCATCCATGATTGGATGAGCTGTCTGAGGCGAAATCCTTTTTTGATTGACAGCTAAACAAGCGAATCAGCGATCTTGAAGAATAAAACATCTACCAGAGCATTTTCCAAGTTATTCATTCCGTTGTTCTTAACTGCTCCAGAGACTTTATCGATCCTCACTTTTGTCTTTGTTAAAAACGACTGCCGTTGTGTTTGGCGACTCTGTTCTGTTACATACAAATAAACAAACACAATTATGATGTAGGCCAGAAAAATGAGCTTCCCCTCCTTGAAAGACCAGCAGCCGCCACTGGTCTGAAGGCTGTAAACATGTTTGTAATCAGGGCCTGAGTCATGTAATCCATCCTCACTGTCAGCAAACAGGAAGAGCTGGCTGATATCAGGGCTGCACTATATCAGTTATAACAAACACAAGCTCAGACAGAGACTGACCTTCAGTCGTCAGTGTGGCCTGGGCGGTGTCACAGCTTCGGCTGTTACAGGCGGTGCAGGTGTACAGACCGCTGTCCTCTTTCTTAACACGTGGGATGGTCAGGATGTGGTTGTTCTGGCTCAGTATCACACCTGAAAACAAACCATCAGACTGTTTTTTATTCATGCTCTTGTCAGATAGAAAAAGTGAGATCGTTTTTTTTTGTTATGGAAATGCCAAACTTGTCTCACCTGAACCGCCATCTACAGTCTGGTTGTTTTTGGTCCACACCACCGTGGGGTTTGGCACCCCAGCAGCATCACAGCGCAGAGAGAAGGTGGCACTCACATTTACCTTCTGATCCGTTAAATTTTTGAGGATTCTTGCTGCTTCAAGACCTGCGACAAAAATCACACAGTCATTTTAAAACAACTATAAAATGATTAGCCTGTTTGAAGTAATGACCAAGTTTTATGAGTCACACTGAAATAATGCTGTCTTTTATTTAGCATATTAAATGTAGCCTTTTAAACATCTAGTATTCAACTAATGTAAGTGATTGTTCTTTCTTCATGGTGGTTGATTTGTTTTTATTTTATCAAAATAAACAGATTTTAAAATCCCCAGATATCATAAAAAAAAAAACAACTGCACCAAAGAGAATAAAATCCTGCAGCAGTTACGCACCACCTAAAAGATGAAGACTTATATAAAGAGATAGAGATTTGATTTGATATGAAACTAACTTTTATAGAATGTCTTGTGTTTTTATCAAAGTTTTTTTAAAATGTAATTTCATTTCTCAAAGCAGAGGATTGCTGTTTATTTGCTTTCCATATTTTTATTTTTACTCTTCTGCACCTTGACACTAAAGCAAATGATTTGTGTTTGTGATTCTACCTGCCTCTAAACTGTAATCATCATCTCAAGAAAGTGCCTCTTCAAGTCATATTACAACAAACACACCTGCAGGATTTATCTACTGAAAGCAAATTTGATTATGGACTTCCCACTGAGCAATAGACTGCTATTAGACGGCTAGGTTTTTTTTTTTTAGACGTAATTTCAACCGTGTAGATTCTGTATATTTTTAGATGGAATTTAGACGTTGGACTTTAAAAACCTATTATTTGATAACTATTTATGTCAAAAAGCAACCGTAAATTGCATAACTGATCTCCAAGTACTTAACCCAAATAACTATGATAGCCGTTTAACAATATACAGTGTAGTATAGATATAGACAAGATTAAGACTTGGTCTAAATTTAGACGTCGAAAAAACTTTCATTTTTAGACCTGTGGTAACCTGATTTTAGACCAGCCGTCTAGGCTACATTCAGACGTCTACTCGACCTCTTTTAGACCAAAAAAAATGCTTAGTGGGTTATCTTTCTTCAAAAGTGGGGATTTGTTTATGATTCTTTTTTGGTCTTACTGTAAAATCGTCTTACCTTTTAGAGTAAGACGGCGCAGCAAACATGTTTTCTCCCCAGTCTTGATGTGTTCCACCTGACAGGCGTACAGGCCTTCATCTTGGTGAGACGCGTTGGGCAGCTTCAGCTCCAGGGTCACGTTGGTTCCCTGCTGGCTGGACAGCACAGCATGCTGCAAAGGCCTCGGCTGCAGTGTCAGAGAGTGACACGACTGCGCTGATGGGACAGGCCCAGACGCTGAGGTATTCATCACACGAAACCAGGTGAGGTTCCCGTAGAGCAGCCTGTCTGCTTTACACAGCAGAACCACATCGTCCTCCTCAAGGGGATCATTGGATGGAGACATGCTCACCTCCAGGCCGCCTGCAGTGACAAGATGCACCTTATTTTTAGTTCAATCAGAGGTGGAATCAATGTCATGTTCATTTTTAATGTTCTTTTTTGAAAACTCTCTGTAGATGGTCAAGTTTTTATCAAACTGATGAAGAGGCTACACTTTTGTTAATGCACAATGACTCATTATATAAATGCATGCAAACAGGACCAGAGGAAAGAGGGAATATTTGTTCCACAGCTGAGTTTGAGGTGCATTCAACCCTTTGAGTGCTCTTTGCATCATTTTGTCTTGTTTGTGTGCAACATGAGACCAAAATCTGGGTGCAAAAGCCAGTCTTTTTTGTAAATCAGGTCCTTGCTCTTCAACTTCACCTCCTTGTCCACTATATGTCATTTCTAAATCCAAGAAGACCCTTATATAAAAGCTTAAGTTTTCAAAGTTTATTTATTTAATTTTCTTTATTTTTACAGGCTAACATTAGACATAGACAAAAAAAAAGAAAAGAAATGCTCACGTGTCACATGGAAAAAGATGATGCGTGAATCCTGTCCCACTTTATTGGCAGTCGTGCATCTGTAGAGAGCGTGAACCTTGGCTTTCTGGATCTTCAGAGTGCCCACGATTTTCTGTGTGAATATGTTCATTTTGTCAGTAATTGTCCTTAAATGTGATCTTATACAAAGTGTAGTTATTCCAATAGAAAAGAGTACAAGTTAGATAGAAATATGAACCTTTTGGTGATTATCAGGGTCATTTATGTTCCACACTGCAAGATGGTGGCCGGTGCTGTTGCTGATGTCTCTCCAGCTTTTACATGAAGCTATCACCTTTTCAGACTTTACCAGCCCCGACCTGCAGGACAGGAAAGAACAGGTGTTTTATTATCTGTAAAATCAGTGCATCTTTCTTTGCTTTATTTGATTTTGCCTGCCAAAAGCCACCCTGTCTTCAATGCCTCTTTTTCTCAGTCTCATATACTTTTTCAGAACTTTATTAGTCTTGGATTGAACTTTTTTGTTTAGTTTTGTTTTGTTTTTAGAGAAATTTTGCTGATACAGATCTCTGACTGATGTTTTCCAATGAGATTTCCATGATGTAGAGTAACACTTCTGCAGTAGTCTATCTTTGACTCTGATCCACCCAACAGCTATAAATAACCCTAAAATGGAGAACTGTGGCTTTCACTATTTGTTTCTCTCTTTTTGTTCGTACTTGGTTATGCAATTAGTTTTTATCTGAGCTCAAACTTTCAGCCCAAATAAGAAAACACAGGAATGTTTGTGCAGATTTTTGCAAAAATTTGTCTGACAAGATAACAAAGACCAGAAAGTACACAAGAAATGCAGGAAGACGCTCTTTTTTTCTGACAGAGACCACGACAGGAACAACAGGAAACACAGCGCACAGACTGAGGAAGAGCTTGGATGTGCAGACAGGAGATAAGAAACCTGCTGATGGTTGAAGCAGATGCTAAATCACACCTCCTCTTTTCTACCAACAATCAGAAAAGCTCTGCATACCTGAGGAGAAAGTTGTGTAACTACAGAGCAGCCACCTTACGAGACATATATCAACAGACAGGTGGTAGAGGTCTCTAACTGTGTAGAACAAGTAAACAGAATAACTGATGTCTCGACAAGAGTTGACATTTTTAAAGCCTGAATCAAATCCTCTGATCAGAGTTCACTCTCATTGTCTCCTTTTGTTTTATCAACATCACAAAAGCCACTTTGAATCAACAACCTGTTGACAATGACTGACTGAGGAGCTTGTGTTTCCACAGTAAACAAAATGGAAGAGAGGTGACTCACAGGAAAGCCCCTGGACAGTCGTCTTTGGACATCCACTGCCACTGGATGTGTGCCGGGGTGGGAAATCCACGAGCAGTGCAACTCAAAGTGGGGCTGCTGCCATACGAGTACACATCAGTGGCCACCGCCACCTCCTTCTCTATGATATGAGGAGGAACTGCAGGAAAAAACAACCATACTATCGTTATCATCGCTGTAATTCAGCTCCATATTTGGTAAGAGAAGAGATAAGATGAACGTGCCATTTACGAGCAGCTGGAAGGATCGTCTCTGCTCCTCTTTAAACTTGTTGGTCAGGATGATTGTATAATTCCCTGCATCCATTTCTATGACTTTACGGATGATGAGGGCATCGCTCCTCTGTCTGATTCTGTAGTTAGGCTGTAGTGGATGGCCATTTTTTAACCTGGGCAGAAAAGATAGAGTTAAATCACCAGATTAGACTGTAGTTTTATACATTTGAACACCCAAATGACAGACTAAAAGGAGAAAGTTAAAAGATTAGATTGCATCAAATTAACCGTAATGCCTATAATGCGATGCATCCTAACCTCTGGAAGTTTTTGTCACTGACAGGCTCAGATTGTTATGCTAAAATTAACTCTGGGATCTTAATTTTTACACCTGGCCTCAATGTGAAAAAAGGCATAAATAGTCTCACCAGAGTGATGCACTACAGTGTAATATACATCTGTTTTGATGATTATTATTATTTTTGTCACAGGATGTCCATTCCACAAGGATGTTAGATTAATCCTACAAAGTATGTGTACCAAAAACACATAACATATAAAAGTGAAAATTAAATTAAAAAAAAAACAAAACAGCAGATTCTACTGATAAAAACAGTCATTTGTTTCACACAGAACTAGTGAGTTGTTGGTCTACCTCAGCCTTTATCAGTTAGTTAGTTTGAGGTGTTTGTGACCGAGTGTGTGAAGAATCATCAAACAGCAACCCCTGTGATGTGCAAGCTGAATTTAGTGTTTCGGTCAGTGGGTTTTGACTGATTTATAGATGGTGACATGACAGCTTCTCTTGGTTAGAGATGTCTGTCTCTGCAGAGATTCCTTCTAAAATGTTTTAACAAGTCTTGACCTGTCATTTGAAAACAATAGTACTTCAGTTGGACATACTTTCATCAGAATAGATTACACTGCAGTCAACAGCTACAAGCTGAAAGAATCTAAAACAAATGACCTGCCACCAGTAAGTCGTTCATTATACCCCAAATGCAGTATATTTAAAAACAGTCAATAAATCCTCCTTTAAAGTCAAATTCAGACTGAAACACTATTTCCAGCTGACTTCATGACACAATTTCCCTTTGCTTCTTGCACTAATTAAGGGCCCGAGTCCACTGGTGGCATTTCTGCACTAATGACATGATATTTTCTACCGAGCAGCCTAAGGGCAAAAGCACCCTCAAAGTCAGCTGATTTCAGTTGCTGCACTCTCAGTAAGTAAAAAAAAAAGTTAAACTTCTGTACAATCATGATTGCAAATGTCACTCCTCCCTCACCCGATACACTCACTAACTACCTGCACAAATGCAAATTTAGTTTAGTTTGGTTTTTAGAGAAATTTTGCTGATACAGATCTCTGACTGATGTTTTCCAATGAGATTTACATGATGCAGAGTGAAATTTCTGCAGAAGTCTTTCTTTAACTCTGATCCACCCAACAACTACAAATAACCCTAAAATGGAGAACTGTTTCTCTCTTTTTGTTCCTACTTGGTTATGCACTTTCAGCCAATATAAGAAATCACAGGAATGTTTGTGCAGATTTTTGCAAAATTTGTCTAACAAAATAACAAAGACCAGAAAGTACACAAGAAATGCAGGAAGATGCTCTTTCTTTCTGACAGAGACCACGACAGGAACAACAGGAAACACAGCGTACAGACTGAGGAAGAGCTTGGATGTGCAGACAGGAGATAAGAAACCCGCTGATGGTTGAAGCAGAAGCTAAATCACACCTCCTCTTTTCTACCAACAATCAGAAAAGCTCTGCATACCTGAGGAGAAAGTTGCGTAACTACAGAGCAGCCACCTTACGAGAGATATGTCAACAGACGGGTGGTAGAGGTCTCTAACTGTGTAGATCAAGTAAACATTGCAAATGTCACTCCTCCCTCACCTGACACACTCACTAACTACCTGCACAAATGCACAGCTATCCATTGCAGCTTTTGCCTATATTTTGTTCATTTTTATTTTGTTTGCAGAACTTATATATCATATATGAAGCAACAGAGCAGTTTGAAACAGAATAATGGAAACTGCCAAGGGAAGCAGTAGTGCTGCAAAACATTTTACCAAATGTAGTAGGTGCAGTGACAAGTGCTTTAAAATTGAGATTGTATGTGCTGCTAGTTTAGTAAATACTGTCAGTGGACACAGGCCCTGATCCTTTTTTCAGAGAACTTACCATTTAAAGCTGGGGTCTGGGTAGGCTGTGTACCTGACAGGGATCTGGGCATTCTGATCATCCACATTCAACTCCCACACCTTTATCCACGGCTCTACCATATCAATGAAAGGCTTTTCTAGAAACACAAAAACACACATTTATATATACATATCAACTTAAAGCTGAAGTTAAAAACAAGTTGGTATTGATTGTTGACATACTCCAAAATAGATTTTCACTTGCTTTTGTCATCAGTACAATAAGTTGCACCTGTATGATTGCATCTTAAGTGGCAGCTGAAATTCAAAGTACAGTTCATGATGTTTCAATTCTCTTTGAAACACCATTTCTATCAATTTTGACTTGTCAGCTGAGCTGCGAGGTAGATTTTTTAAGAGGATGTTTTTCATTTTTATTATTATGTAATACTAATAGAATATCCAAAAAGAACATCCTTTCAGTATTTTTGCTCACATATTTGAGTTTCCACTGACCCCCAAAATTTGAGACAAGCCAACCCAGCTCTATGTGATGGTCTGTTTTTGTCTGAAAATACAAAGACTATCTGATGCTCTATTAAGAGTCTGCCGTGATAATCAAAATCTGTGTTCAGTGATCAAAAGGGTGATATGAACTCTCCTTTTAAAGTAAAATGTGATATCCAGATGTGTTGAATGAGACAAAACAACAGCGTCCTTTGCCTTTTATGGAAACGCTGAGATTTTCAATAGCTGTTTGGTATAATATAAAGTTTTAGTACACCTACCATGGACTTCCAGTTTTACTGAGGCACTTTTCTCCATCTTCCCGCTGGATGCAGTACAGGTGTACACTCCTGCGTGATCCATCGTCACATTTTCTATTATGAGAGTGTTGGAAAGCTCCAGAGAGTTCCACAGCTTCTTCTTGTGAGGCACGGCGTGGGTCGGCCTTGAACTGTTCACTGAGCTCTGACAGAGAAACATAAGAGAGGTCAGAAAAATACAGAATATATCATATGATGGAGCATTAAGCCCATTGGAGAAAGAAAATGCATCACAATATAGTTAAAGTTTTATTTTACAAAGATAAATTTGTAATGTTGTAAGAATGTAGTAGGACTTAACAAGAATTCAGTCATATTGTTGGACCAACTTTTCAGAGGACCAAACAATGAAAGTTTTCTAGGGTCTTGATACCCATGACAATCTACATTTGGAGCTCCTCAAAGGAGTTTTTGACATTGAAAATAGAGTGAAGTTCAAATTAAAGCCTTTCTGTGCAAGGCATGCTGTAACTGTGACCTAAAACAACATTGACATTAACACTATGCAGAGGACAAATTAAGCAAAGACAGGATGACAATTTGACACAACCCAAAAGTTCAAAGCATATATAACTTTTCAAAATGCTTCACAATCCTCATTTCAGTGCAGGGGGCTGGCTGCTCCTTCGATATTACACTTAAAAATAAGACATAGACCATAGCTTAAAAAACAAACCTCTCATAAACCACAATTTAACTCTTGCAATGTCACGACTTTACTCTCTAAATCTAAGATTTTCCTCCTGTAGCGCAACCCCAAAAACTCCTCTTGTAGTTATGGATCTTAGCCCACCAAGAATATGTTCTGATCATACATCAGGACAACTTTGCCCTCTGACCTGGTGTAGAGATAAACTCAAGGATTCCTGAAAGCAGGAAGGATTATGTGCAAAGATGGGAGAGGGTGAGTTTTTATCTCTGTGGGTAAAACCGGCAGACAAAAGACCATCACGTGATTTCTTTTGAACACAGGGGACATTGCAAAGGCAGACTGACCAGGGCCTGACCAGAGTGCGTCCAGTTGAACTCCATGCCCACGTTGAGCTCAGTGTGAGCCGTACAGTTGAGCATCAGCTGCCCCCCCACAGACAGTCTGGGCTGAGTGGGGGTCAGGGTGAGTTCGTAGATCTTGTATCCTGCGGAAAAGGGAGGGAAGATATGGCAGTCAGTCGACGGCCCATTGTTCTCCTGAGACTACAGACTCCCTTTTTCTGTTAAACTCTGCCTCTCTCCCTCAGTACTCAGCGCCCAGTCTCTCTCACACAAAAGCTTAGTTTTCACCACAGAGAAGAGGAACGTTTGCAGTTCAGAGACAAAGATCTAAGTTGAAAACCATTATCATTATTTTACCCACCAAGTACCCTGTCTTTGGGGAAGTACACCCAAAAGTACAAGGACTTTATCAAGTCCCTCTAAAGCAGAAATTGTACACATGGACCAGGAACTTTTGTGGGTCAGAGTTCATTAAAAGTTCTGGTGACCCTTTTATAAAGTAAGGTACTGCTTAAGTTCCACTTTTACTCAAACATTTTAACACTGCAGGAACTCTCCAAAGGGGCAAGAAACTTCATATTTCCAACTCTGACTGAATACAGTAATAAGGACCATGTTCTGGTAGAAAGTACAGAAACTATACCGAGGCCCTGTGATGTTGCTTTACCACTACAGGAAATGTACCCCAGGATAAAGGAACCGTTGTGTACTTAACAGGTACATGCTTTTTTGATTGGAATGAAGTCTAAATAAGTTTCAAAGGCTCTGTTTTAGTGGTCATTACATCCAAAAGTACAGGAACTCTACCAAGTCCATCGAAAGCTGCTTAACCACCACCAGAACTTTTTAACAAGGACTAGGAAGTCCAGAGTTTTGAACAGGTACTGAGACCAAACAAAGTTTGAGAGATCCCTTTTCTCTGGGAAATTACAAAAAAGTTACAGGAATCTTTCCGAGTCCTACTTTATCAGCTTTATTGCAAGAAATTTTAACGGGGACAAGGAGCCCTTTTAGTCTGACAAGAACCAATAAAACTATGGAAGCAGCTTTACAGCAGGAACTTTCTACACAAATGAAACTTCATCTATCAGAAGGGACTTAGCCAAAAATAGTTCCACAGAATCTGCCCCGGAGGTATGGTACCTCAAAAAGTACAGAGATGAAGAGGGGCAGTGCCTCCAAAAGTCCAGGAACTTTACTATCTGAGCTGCCTTACCAGAAGTTCCCAAGGGATAAGGAACCTTTGGGATTTCACAGGGTCTAAGTCTAAGCAAAATTCTGAGGACCCTGGTCTGGGATAAAGTTCTCCAAAAACTACAGGAATTTGTAAGATGTAAAACATTTACAAAACAGAGTTAGAGTCACTTTTGAAATTGCTAGCAAACAAATTTAAAAAATCTTTACCAGCTTTAAGACCAGAGTGAAAACACTGACAACATTCATTTTCAGGAATTAATGAATTTACTTGCCCACAAACACAAAACTTTATACATAACAAACATTACAATATTTCTACAAAAGTATTTATCCACATCAAGAGACTGAATTATTGATGTGTGAGTTTTTTTCCCATCTTACCAACAACAGCAATGATGTAGAGGGAGGACTTGAATGTCTCATTTCCAATCTGGGTCTGGCAGCACACGGCACCGGAAAAACTGATCAGGTGACTAGGAACTGTAAACCCTGTCCTGGCATCCCATATAGAATCCTTCCCATCGGGATGGAGCTCCTTATTTGGATACTTCTGACAGACATACAACATTACTGATTTTGAACACATTAAACAGCACATTAAACACAACAGCACATTAAACACAACAGCACCCTTATCTGTTTTTTTCCAACATGAGAACATTATTCTTTATTGCTAAACGCTGGGTTAAAATAATCTCTGTAGACTGAACTTGATGTTTACAGTGACCCCCCTAAAACTTTAGATATTCCAGTCTAAGAAAACTCTTGGGTGTGTTGCTTTGTTAACCCTTATTGTGGAATTTAGTCCACTGTTTTGTGTTGATTTCCAGTTTATTTTGTTGTGTTGCAGGATGTGAGGAACTTCAAAAATAGGGCTGGGGCTTAGAAGTAAAAAACTTTGAAACAGTGATCCTGTGTCATAAACTAGAGTTTGTAGTTTAAGAAACATAAGCATGAGTGGGATAACTAGATAACCAAAGTTTGGTTTTGGTAAATGTAGACTCTGCCTTTTTATACTTTATAACTTTATAACAAAAACATAATTCAATCTCTTTTTGGCTCTAAAATTGACAAAAACCCAGACAAAGCAAACGAAAAAAAAAATCCTCCTTACAGCGTGAAGTGTAACGTTGAGATTCTCCACTGAGCCTCTGCATGGTATCACCACCCTCTCTCCCTCGCGGATGAACACCAACACCAACTCTTCAGACGGCACAAATGGCATCTTGTAATCTGAAACAAATGTACAAACAGCAGAAACATCTTTTATTTCAGCTTGAAATGAAGCAAAATAATTAGACACCATCAGGGCTTAGAGAGACTTTTGTGGAACAATTACACTGACCAATTCACTAACTGTATACAAACACAGAATGGGGTGACCACTAATACATATTTTTGTGAAAATGAGAAATCAAAATACCCTGTACTGGGTGCTGACATACACTGAAAGATTTAAACACCTTTTAAAACACCTTTCTTTTATTCACAGTGCATTTTTTATCAGTCTAATTAAAATTCATTGTTCCCAGTTGTTGTCATTTGAAGCACATAATAATCACCTACAGTCAAAACATTCAGAGGTTCATAGCACCCCTATGGCCACGAGAAAACACGCAGAAAATCAAGGTAAGAAGTGCAAATCCTCTGTTTAAAATGCGAGATTTGTTGTTTGTGGCGAGATGCACCGTTTCTTCAGACAGTGACTTTGCGGGTCATCTACTTACACTACACTTCTAAGTGAAGTTGCCTGTATTGTTTTTTGTTTGTTTGTTTGTTTGTTTTTTTGTTAATTATCTGTGCAAACTTAATTCTATTTGTGATGTTTTTTTAGCTTTCCACGTGGGAAGATAAGTGGTGATGTGAGAGGACTAGATCATAATGGCAAACTCTTCCTCATCTTTTCAATCTCTTTTAAAACACAAATTCACAGATGTGCTTTCATGGGGCATGTTTTACATTTTTAGAAACTGCTGTTGTCACAATTTTAGGCAAGATCACCAGCAGTACCATAATTTTTTTATCCTCTGACGTCAAAGTTTTCCGCCAACCTATCTGCGGTAGTATATAAAAAAGCATACACTAAGTTTTTACTGTTCATTACAGATCATACATAACTGGTTATGATTTCCTAACTCCTATTTTCCAAAGCATGTCTGCCTCATCTTCTCTGCACAGCATAGCACCATTATGTTAGCTCTACTCCAAAATAAAGTTGGTTATACCATTCACAAACACATAAGCTGATGCGGATGTCTTGCCCTCCTCCACTCTCAGGCCTTTGAAGAAACACTGGTACTGCCCAGTCTCATTAACTGTGGCGTTGGAGATCCGCAGTGTCGAACAGAAGAATCCTGATCCACTGCAGTCGCTGGTGGAGATATGACTGCTGATAGGAGGGGTTGACCATTGAAGATACTGTCGACCTCTAAGACACATTAGATCATCAGAATAGAGTTAGAAAGACTTTGTTTATTTCAGAGGGTACATTTTGATGCAGTAACTGCTCTTATACAAACTCTAAACAGGAGGTAATACAGGAAATGTGAACAGAAGTGAAGTATGTGTAAAATATGTGGATGAAGATTTTTAAATGGCGTGTTTGGATTCTGCTCATCTCTATTTCCAGATTCTAAATGAAAATGTCTGGCATATATTTGTGCTCTGGATTTTAGTATGGGAGGTGCTCTGGTTTTTTACTTGTTTATACACTAAGAAGTATTGACCAATCAGCGGTATCAACAGGCTGTGGTGTGTAGAGGAAAAACAGAAAGTAAAAGCAGGAGGAACACGATACACCATAATGACTTCCATCGTTGGAAATAGGAGGAGGATTTATTTCCCTCTTTGAACAGATATCTGTGTAAAGGTTGGCCAACAATTTACACTGAGACACTAATCTGCTTGATGCTGAGTCACTAAAGATAGTGTTAATATTTCCTGAATTTCAATGGATCAACACTGGATCAATGATGGAAAAAGCAGTCTTTGCTTATCTTGTCTTTTGCATGCTTAAATACTGTCTTCACCAAAAATGTTTCTCTTTCTAACTTTTGATAAACAAATGTGTCCTTTTTTGTTCTATTTAATAACATATAAAAACAAGGTTTCCTCTACAGCCGCTCCACTGCTACTTACCCCCTTGCATTAGTCAGGCATTGAAAAATTACAGTATAAATACTGTCCGTCTTGTTGCTGAAAGTCTTGTTTGCTTCACTGTACCTTAAAAAGGCATTAGTATGAATTTCAGAGTATTTCATAAACAGGAGCTCCTCACAGGAGCTTTAATCTGAGGCATGATGTCATAATTCCAGCAAACTAAAACTCCCATGAGAAGTTTTTGACATGACTACAATTCATATTGATGCCTTTCTGTGAAATACAAAAGCAAACAAGACCACCAGCAAAAAGATGGCATTTGGTTTCTTTTCAGTTGTCTCTCAAATGTGAACCAGAATGAAGCCTCTGTATAATTTACCATTTACAGTAAAACTGAGACCCACCAGACATGGATTAACAGGAGCTACTTTTGTGTAATGAACCAGGAAACAATGGCATTTATTTTACAAATATATTTCGAAAGGCTTTTTTTTTTTTATCTGACCACACAGTCACTCATTTAGTTGCTCACTGGATGGTAAACAGAGCAGATGAATGTTGTTTACTGCTAAGCAGCTGCTACTCTGGAAATACAGAGGTATTTATCATTTCAGGATAATAACCATTGGGCTCTGAGATTAGGATGCTGCAAATAAGAGTCAGTGAATTCAGTGAGGTGTATCTGTTTGTACCTGCATGTAAGCTCCAGGTTGTCAGATTTGTTAATTCTCTGGACGCCATAGAGATTCAGCTCCGGTGGACCAGGACTGAACCCAAGCTCAATGGCTGGAAGAATAAACAAAATGGGTAAATCTCAGCAAACACTGACAACCAAATGATGCTGTGATCAGTTTGAAAGGTTCTAACCACATTGTATTTAAAGAGGGGTCAAAGGTCAACAAATATGCTTAAAATAAGCTTCATGGTTGTCTGAGTTTAATCAGGTCAGAAGTTGGAGGAAGATCTGAAAGGACAACTCAGGAAAAAACTGCTCTGTATCTGGTTCTCTTGCCATTTTTCCCCCACTGCAGAAAATGGCGGCGTTCTGTCAAAACAGGAAGCAGGGGAAGATGGGTTGGGTCAGAGTGAATGGCCCGGCACTGTGTGGTCTAGGTGGAGTTCCTGTTTCTGAGGATACACACAGCCCACCACCTCCCTGAGAGGCCCTAAAGCTCAGAGTCTATTGTATAGAAAAAAAACACATTAGGCCCACTAAGTGCGCATTACATAAAAAAGTCTTAATTAAACTCAGTGACCTCCTAATTAACAAACCAGAGATTATTATTTAGCCACTGGGCTTAAAATGAGTGAAAAACTGATTCACCCTGAAAGAAATTCTAGTCACATATCACTGTAAAAGTACAGAAGTGCCAAATAATACAATAATGTAAATATGTAATTCAATGGCATGTGTAAGGTGAGTGGAAAAAGTACTAATGTCCAGTTTAAAGGCACCTAGCTGACTCATAGCACAACTTTTTCCATACTCTTAACTTTTCAGATCTCCCATCTAAACTGACAGTCTATGGGCCACAAAAGGTAACCAAACAAGCCAATGCCTTTCTTTCCTAATCAACAGAGAGGCAAATATTCAGTCAAATCCAACGCACTGGTACAGAAAACTTAAAAATAACTATTGAACTAAGTGCAGGACAGAAAATAAGAGACAAAATAAAACATTGCAAATATCTCATCGCTGCAAAGAAATCACAAGTTTGTTGCATTCAAAGTTGGATGAAAAGGTCTTAGGATATGTTTAGTTTAGTTTTTTACTGCTACATAAAGTTAAAAAGTTGAGACAGAAGATTTGATGAGTATTTATCTCATCTATTTTCTTACCAGCCACAGAACTGATTTCCAGAATACAGCCCAACAGTGGAATGACGGAAACTGCTGCAATCATCATCCAACATGGACAGAGGACATGGACAGAGCCCTCATTAACATCCAATAAAGTTGAACAAAATAAAACTTCAGTAAAGTAATAACAGTCCTCTTATAGCAGAATTAATCCTTTGACTTCTGGTGTTTGATAATCCACTCCTGAAAAAAATCTGTGAAAGTCATGAAGGCAAACAGCCGGGCAGCAGCAGACGGCCAGCAGTGGGGTGTAAAGTGCAGATCTGAGTGACTCACCCTGGAGCTGATGAGGATGGAGACACTACAGCCAAAGAGGGAGGAGCGACACACACAAACACACACACACAGTAAGAGGGCCTAACAATGAACTGTGAGGAAAGTTTCAGTGGAAAACTTCTATAGATGTTCAGTTTCAGGCCTGGGCAGCATCTCTGGATAAAAAGACAAATAATCTGTGTCCAAGAGGAAAATTATCATCACCAGAAGTTGTAGAACAAACTCAAATCTTAGCCTTTATTTGTCAATATACTCTCATCCATGTAGTTTTAGGAAAATATAAGAATACCAGATGTAAGATGGTAAGGCCACACTCTCTGATCTGGAAGTCTAACAAAATCAAACATGACCTTAAAGATAACACGACAGATACCTGGAGCTAAATTATGCTAACCCCATTGCTGCCTGCCTCCCTCTGTTGTAGCAGTTTCTCTCGTCAGTTTGATTGCGGCGTGTTTTACGGAACAACTTGTATGAGAACTTGTGTCGTTAGCATATATCAACAAGTTACTCCTCCACTTGAATAACCATTTAACTGTACTTGCAAACATCATAGACTGTATATAAAAATGGACATCTTCTGCCTCCTTGCTGGGCGTTCCTCGCAAGAACAGCAACCTCTGGTGACTGGTTGTGGTTTAGGTCATATATCCCACCCCCTTCCAGCAAAATGAATGGAGCAGTGGACAAACTTATAAAATTAATCACTCGTCATATACATTTTTCTCCCCCCTGGATGTGATGTTGACATAGTTATTGTTAGACTGGTTTGTGCCAGTCTAACAATAACTACATGTGAACACCTCTTTTTTCTGTACAGCTCTAAGTTATTAGGGGTTCATGTATCTGTACCACAGCGACTCTCCCGCCAAAATGGAGAAATGCCAATAGCAATTTGGCTTCATATTCATACAATGACTGGGGGCACAGCGACATTGTCTATGCTATTTACAGTCTATGGTAAATGTAATGAGTTAGCGGGTACAGATGTGAGAGAGAGCAGCCTGAGAGGCTGACCCTAACCATCTGTAAGGGAGAAAAGTGGAGAAATACTCTGTCCTGCAATCCGTGAATTGCAAACAGAGATAGTGAGAGCATCTCTAAGCTGCTGATCTCTAACTGAATCCATATATGTAGTGATAATAGTAACAGTGTTCAAGCTTGTCTCATTTATGTTGAAAGAGATTGTACTTCTTACTTGTTTGACCTCTGCAGGGCTGAATAAATCCAAACACCAGGTTTTATCGGCTGCCTGTGCTCTCTTTAAGTTGGCTCAGGGCAAACTTGTACCAGGAAAGCAGGGAGCAGTGCTCAGTAAACCTGGAATTGCAACATAATTATGATGATGTTTTTGACAGAGATCTGAAAGTGAGGACAGAAACATTTCACCTGAGGAGGAGGAGGAGGAGGAAGAGGTCTGTGTTTTGACGCTGGCAGGGATTCAGCAGGGTTATAGGGGATGATTGAGATGTGTGTTACTGTGTGTTACTGTGTAAGCTGCATCCACATGTTTCCTGGCCTGGTCACTTCTACAGGGACCCTCTGCCCACCATGCCGCCCACCCTCCTCCCCACCGATGCTTCCTGCAGGGCGCACTGCTCACTGAATACACCTCTGGAAAAGGTGGAAACAGAACACATTTTCCATTTTCTGTCTGCTTTTGTTTCCAAATACACCTGAGGTGATTCCTTGAACAATGGAACAATCAAAGACAAAAAGAAATATGAAAGAGGATTTCTATTTGACACATGAAGAGGAGAGCAGTGCTTGGAAAGGCGGGGGAAGACATGTTTGAGTCTGCCTGAAATGTTGCACTTTTTGTGCACAAGTTGTTTTGTTTTGGTGCCTTCCATCACTTTTTAGATTCCTTGCAGAGCACAAAGAGGGAATAAAGTTACTGGTATAAAGTTAGATTTTCTTGATCTTGAGGTGGAGGGTTTGCTTCAGGCGTATTACTTGGAAGCCGCTCCTATCCAAAGACTTGACAGCTAAAGGGTTGTGAATAGTTTTGGCACAGTCTCTGTTTATGCTCCGAGATCACAAGAGGGCTTTCAAAGGTCAGTGTCCCACAATTCAATGGAGAGAGAATGGGCACAAAGCATTCATGTACAGAGAGAGGGAGGGGTGTGTGTTTGTGCATTCACCCTACATATTTTTGATTGACGCAGACAAGAGGGCACAGTGCAGATGGCATCCGAGCAAGGACAAAAACAAGTGATCTGAGAACAGGATGGAGAATTGAAATGAGTGACTTACATAAGAAGAAAATAAAATTAAGGAATCAGCTGTTTTTACATTATTAAAAGCAGATGTTACGTCTGGATAGGTTAGGGGTATTCAGAACTAACAAAAGTAGCAATCAAAATACTGGTAAGGATGGAAATAAAAAGAGAACGGCAAGGATATGCAATAACTCAAGTATTTTAATAACGAAACTCAGGTCAGCACCACTACAAAAGTAAAACAATCCTCACACAAAACTAAGGATGGTGTAATCATAACAACAAACAACGAACCTTTTCAAAATAGGACGACTAACTAAGTACAGGTGACAGCTACAAAAACTCACCAAAGAGAAATAAAAGAGACACCACTCGGTCTTAACAAAAATAAATCACTTTTCCAATGACAATTGAGAAAATCACACTAAGGTTGTAGCTGCTCCACTGCAGAATGTCACTCTGGGCTGAGAATGAGAGAGAATGAGCTGCATGTCCTCTGCTCCTTTTGTTGCAGCAGCTGCTGCAGGTGCTGAGCATCCTGCAATCAGAGAGTGAAGCACACCCACAGACACTCTCACACAGCCACTCCCACTCACTCTCACAGAGACACTCCCACACAGGTACATCTACACAGGTACATGCCTACTTTTACATGCAGATACATCCACATCGATACTCTCACACTCACATTTGGATATTCATACACTCTTGGACACTCACACACACATATACGTAACAGCAGAAAAAAGAGAATAAATGGAAATAATATATCCCATGACATACAAATAATCATGTCAGTCAGCATAAACTGCAGGTGAAAACAGCAGGTTTGAGTAGGCCAATTACTACTGGGATGTAAACAAGTACAAATGGCTCTTTAATTTTGGAGACACTGTCTCATAGAACTATTGTTTGTGATGCTTTGATTATTTTTTTTTATGTCTTGTGTTAAGGTTGCTTTATTTCCTGCATCGTGAACAACCACAGTATAGGACCACTACTATGACTTCACGTTTTCACTGTATAATTATGTTTGACACTACATCAATACTACATTTCTTTAAAAGACTGTTATCATCACTGCAACAGCCTTACTGTAAACCATAGGGGAGAGTCAAATTCTGCCATTATGTGTTTTCATCATTAATTCTACATTAAAACTTTCTCTCTGGTATTCTGAGCTCTGACTCTAAACGCAAACTTTTATATTTAAATTTCTGCATCACAAACTTTGCCTGCAGTCTGTTGGGGGGCCTGATGAGGGTCCAGCTTTTGGCACATAAAGAGAGGAGGACACAAAGGGAAGCAGGAAACAGTCCACGCTTCCTCAGACAGGATACCATGCTCCTCTAAGAGGCATCCTGGACTCTAATGCCTCAAAGGCCTTATCAAGTCTTTCACACAAACACACATCTTTCCCTCTGACACATTTCTGCGCTAAACAGAAGACAAACACACAAACCTCATGTGAGTCCGTGAGAAGAAAACTCAGCAAAATATGAACATGAGTGAAACTAGGAGGCCATGAGGTCAGTCTGCACGTTCAATAACACTGTCCTAAAGATCAAAGTGGGCTCAGCTGATGCAGGATTTAACCCTAAACTCAAACATCCACAACTCCTGAAAGAATAGTTATTTTCTTTTGACTCCACGTCTATTTCCACATCTGACAACAAACTTCTACAAAGTTAACAGGCTATATTGTGCCATTCAAATGGTAAAATTAATAAATACATATCCAACAAAATCTGACTATGGTACCCCCATTAGCTGAGTGTTTTGCTAGTTTCCTCTTGATTTTCTACCCTAACCCTTCGCTTCATGTTGGACTTTATTAATGTGTGTATGTGGTCTTTGTTAAATTAACCAAACTCCACATGTCAGCACAAAGTTAGATGGTGTTTCACACTTTGTAGGTGTTGGGTCTAAAAATTATCAGTGTTCTCAGAAGTGAGAAGTGAACATTTTTTGACAAGATAAATGAACAAAAACTAAAAACATTTGAACTGAGGGAAACTCTACATGGCACCAAGCACACAGTTCTTGTGCTGATTTTTGATTGGTGACTTTGAACTGCACCACAAATTTTTCCTATGATGTGATCATTCAAAAAAATAACAGTATCATTACGGTTTGATTTTTTAAGACTTTGAGAGAAAGTCATTGTTTTGTAATGTTACAAGAAAATTAAGTTATAATGTCATGAGAATAGAGTCAAATTATTATGGAAATTAAGATACAGTGGATATAAAAAGTCTGCACACCCCAGTTCAACTGCAAGGTTTTTGTCATGTAAAAAAATTATATCAAGATAACTAATTTCACAACTTCTTCCTCCTTTAATGTGACCAATAACCTGTACAACACAATTGAAAAACAAACAGAAATTTTTCAGGGAGGTGGAGTAAAAAAAAATAACTGAGATCATGTGGTTGCATAAGTGTGCACCCCCTTTAATAACTGGAGATGTGTCTGTGTTCAGATTTAACCAATAACATTCAAACTCAGGTTAAATTGGAGTCAGCACACACCTGTCACCAATTAAGCCCGTCTTAATTTTGCAAAAAGACATCTGAAATCTCCCAAACACATGTGGGAAAATGTGTTATGGTCTGATGAAACCAAGGTTAAACTTCTTGGGCATCATTGCAAAAGGTACATTTGGTGCAAAATCGACACTGCTCATCACCAAAAGAACACCATACCCACAGTGAAGCATGGGTATGGCAGCATCATGCTTTGGGGCTGTTTTTCTTCAGCTGGAACTGGTGCCTTAGTCAGGGTGGAGGGAATTATGAACAGTTACAAATACCAGTCAGTGTTGGCACAAAACCTTAAGCCTTCCGCTAGAAAGCTGAAGATGAAGAGGAACTTCATCTTACAGCACGACAATGACCCAAAGTACACATCTAAATCAACAAAAGAATGGCTTCACCGTTCAAGATTGAGACTTTGGAATGGCCCAGCCAGAGTCCAGACCTGAATCCCATCGAACATTTGTGGGGTGATCCAAAGATTGCTGTGCATAGGAGATTCCCTCACAATCTGTCAGATTTGGAGCGGTTTTGCAAAGAAGAGTGGGCAAATATTGCCACATCAAGATGTGCCACGCTGATAGACTCCTACCCAAAAAGACTGAGTGCTGTAATAAAAGCCAAAGGTGCTGCTGCAAAGTATTAGTTTAAGGGTGTGCATATTTATGCAGCCAGGTTAGTTTAACTTTTCTATTTTTAATTTTTCCCCTTAAAGGTTTCGATTTATTTTTCAATTGCATTGTACAGGTTATAGGTCACATTAAAGGTGGAAAAAGTTGTGAAAATATTTATCTTGGTGTCATTTTCTTACATCACGAAAACCTGGCAGTTGAACAGGGGTGTGTAGACATTTTATACCCACTGTATTAGGTTGCTAAAATATCACAATATTAAAATCCTGCATATATCTTGCACATATTATTATTTGATGCCTTGTACTCACAAGCTGATATCTCATGAGTGCATAATATTCTCATGTAAACCTTATATAATTATCCTCTGGAAATTAATATCTAAAATTATTATAAATCATGTGCACGTGATATTAACTCATGCAAGGAACAAGTGGTAACAAGAGAACTTGATCCCAAGGATATTGTCAATGTCTTGTGCCAACAAAAACTAGACTGTCAATATTACTACTTGGAACCCTCTTAAGTTTTAAAGGTGAAATACTATATCTAGTGCACAGACTGTTGAATTGCGCAGAAGTGGTAATCTTGAGCAAATAATATAGCTACCCATCTTGAGAGAACAATTATTATCATTTATTTATTGTGTTTTGTGCACAAGTTCTCAACTTCTTCTCACATAATTATTTTGTCCACACATTGGGTTTTTTTTCGTTATTTTCCACAAACGTGGTCCATAAAACAGCAATTTCTTCTGACTGGCACCTTCCATAACAAGATATTGTCTTAATAACCTTTTCTTTATGGCCTGTATGAGGGTGCAGGTGCTGCCACCTCCTGTAGCATTGTTCTCTACTCTTCGTAAAGCTTTTCATGGGAACGAAGAGCACATACTGTAACAAACAAGGACATAAAAAGCTTATTCACAGCCTTTTAAGGATTATTTGACACTCCCCGCCTTCACGTTTCATGCGGAACTGTCGCGTTTGTTTTTCGTCGGTCTCCTTTCTAAGTTGCACACAATAATGTCCCCGAACTATAGTCAAGAAAAAGATGTGGAAATCATTTAACTTCAGTGTTGTTGACGGTGTGTGGTCGTCCTTTGCGTGTGGTTTCTTTGTAGCTTTTTGTGCTCACAAAGTCTCACAATACCTGGCTAGACGACAGAACACAAGTCGCGTGCATGTTATTTTTGAGGATCTTATCCGGTACGGAAAAACAAAACAACATCTGAAAAGCGATGACTGGCTGCGAGTGTTCAACATCCCGAAAAGGTAAAATCTGTGAAGAAAATTCAGGATTAATTTGGTTGGATAATTTACGATTGTAGTTATTCTCATTTCATGGAAATTATTAGTTAGTTGTATCATTAGGAACTAGAGGAGAGTGGGCTAAGTTGAGCTAAAGGGTAAGTTGAGCCACCCCCTGTTGCTTAGAAATGGTAAAAGAAATTGATCATGTGACCAAATATTTAGGAGATGGGCATCAATTCATGAAGTCTGTAAAGGTTTGAAGCACATGAGTGAAGGGGTTAGACATTTATTTAAAAAAAAAATATATATATATATACTGTTCACTCTCGAAAATGAATTTAGTCTATCATAAGTTTTATTAGAATTGTGTTCAGACCAAAAAAGATCATTTAAAAGTAGTTTTATACATCAATTGTGGTATTTATGCGCTACAACATGAGGTCAAAAACCTAACATAAAAGATCACCATTTTAGCTAAGAGGACTAATAAAGTCATCATAGTAGTTCTGGGGTAAGTTGAGTCAGTGGCTCAAGTGAGGAAGTAAAGAAGTCTGATGAGGGATCAGAGTTTCAGTTCAGATTGTTGAAATGTGTTACTTTTTCTTTTCAAAAATACGGATGTGAATGTTCTGAATCACTTAAAGGCATTCTCATGTTAAAATGGCTTTTTACATAACAGCTTTTTAGCAGTTATATGCAATAATAATAAAAAGAACTATTGTACCAGTTGAATAGTGTATAATAGATAAAAATACACATGAATGTGAAGAAGTGACTGTTATTTAGGGAGAGAGAAGGTGAGGGAGGGCTGGGGTGGAGAGTGGAGGGGTAAGTAGGGATACGGCTCAACTTACCACACTCCTATGGTCAACTTACCCCATACACCGGGTAAGTTGACCACAGGAGACCACTTTTTTTGGCATGCTAAATTATCAACAGTTTTATTTACACTCATTCTGTGTGTTTGCAGGGATGCACAACATCTTGAGATATGCAGATACACTTACATAGTTTTGTGTGTGTGTCTCGTTAATCAATGCATTCACACACAGCTGTTAGACATCAAAGAGACCGACTCACCAACTGTTTGAATGAGAAGCTGCCAAACTGCAGTGAATTTAGAGCCCTCTGCACTTCTTCACATTGTGCGATTTTCTTAAATCCCAGACGGAATATAAGAACATAGAGACAAAACTATGATTGCCTTGATGTAGTTATCTGAAATATGAAAAATGGCTCATCTTACCCCACTCTCCCCTATTTATTTTCCTACTATTCTAGAATGAATCCAGAAATAGACAGCTGGTTTGAAACAGCTTAAACAAAGTGGGTACAGGTGCTTCAAAGATAATTTAAAGGCTTAAAAGAGCAATTTGTGATACATTTTATTTGTAAGAGTATAATTTATGGTCTTTGTAGGCTTGAATACTACAATCCAAAATTCCCCAAATGGTGTTTTTAAAAAATGTATTTATTTTTTGTTTACATTTGACAAAAAAAACAAAACTATTTATTAACAGTTTTATTGGTCTTTCTCAAATTGCTGAAGTGCATCCTATCTTTGCCTTTCTGAAATACCACTTTTTGCTCAAATAAGATGAGCAGACTGTCTGTAGTGTTAGTAGAGACCAAGTGATGCTTTTAATCTTAATTATAGACCTCATAGAATTACGTGTTGTACTTTATGGGACCCAGGTATGTGTAACTTTAACAGGTCTGAAGTAAATTATATCCACAGTGAATTAGTTAAAACACAAAAATCCTGACTTAATTCTTAGTGTTTGTGTTTCAGATGGTTCTGGCACTTCTATGCCGTCTCTGTTGGCTGGAACAGTTTCCTCCTGGTGTTATGTCTGAACTTCACATTTCAGCATCAGCCATATCCAACATGGCTGACAGGACTGTTGGATGTTTTGACAAGTGTACCGAGGTCTGACAGTGCAGGTATGCGTATCAGTCTTACACACATGAAGGTATTGGGTGATATCGTTACATGGCACATCACTGATGAGCAAGAGTGTGAAAATAGAGCAAATATCAGCCAATACTCATGATCCTGAAAAGGATCCATCCCTGTTTAGACATCCTGTATTTGCTCACCAGCTGATAACTTACAGCTTTATCAACACAAAAAAGATTGGAATAACTTTAGATAGGAGAACTTCTAATTGCTATACTATTATTATTGAGCTCTAAGAAACTAGTTAAAACAAAAAATGTGTTTTTATGTCTGTGGCTTTGCATGAACTTGCCCTGATTTTATGAATTCTTCTAAAAAGGGCTGATAGTTGTATTGGCACAGTAGTGACCACTAGAGGGGGCTCTGAGGTGCCACATCAGGTGCACCACATATGGACAAACTGGGCTCTTACTAACGTGTATGTCTCACACATTAAGTCAAACCAGAATCCTCACGGTTTTATGTTTGATTGTTACACAAACTAATTTGGTATTTTTCTTTATAATGAGCTAAAAAAATTATAAATTAGGGAAATATATGGTAGTAGAGCATGATTATTAAACCATTTTCCACTAAACAAATATGGAGGCATGCATGTGTTGAACTGGAGGATGCCTGAGTGCAGCTCTCCTTGCAGACTGATGCATTATGTCTCATCCATAATCAATCCCAGAGAAACCTGGAATTGATATATTCTGTTTATTGTCACTTGTTATGCCTGTGCTTGTGTTACTTACCCAAGGAATATGAATGTAAATCACTGTCATCCTGTTATTTTACACCTTGGTGTTTATGCACATTTTAAGTTACACTCTCTGTTTCTATTAAATATGTGAAGAAGAATCAATATATAGTAAAAGCATTTATCCATATAACCACCTTAAAGATACACCGTTATTATTTTTTATTCTCATGTATGTAAAAAAACACCAATTAGATAATGACCTCAAAAAGGCAGATATTATTCATGTATCAGTTGCCTAATAAGACATTCGCAATAAATAACACATTTGACTGGCAAGACTCAATAGAATGAGAATCTTTGCAAGAAGACACCACTAAAGCATGTAAAGGACAAAATTAGTGATGAGTGCTTTGTGTACAGGGGTGCAAAAGTTGACACAAACTCAAAGTTCCTCATGGGAACCTTAAGGAAACCATAAAACATGCAAAGAATGCTGTTGTTGAAAAAAATGCTCAAGATACATGACTGGTATCCAAAAAAGAAAAACAACATTGAGGTTGTTCCACCAAAAGTGTGGCACTTAAAGATGAAGATAAAAAGCTCTATGTAAAGTGTTTTTATTTACAACGAATTACTTTACATTCAAATGACTGCAGTAGATCAGTTTAAAAAAAATCTAAGATATATTTAAAATTTATATGAGTACACCTGAATATAACTGGTTGTATTTGGTGGCCCCAAAATATCCTGTATCCTAGACACAATACCCATGGGTTGAACTTCATCAAAGTCTTTTGTTGCAGACTTTATGATATCAGCAAATATCATTTTTTAATTGATATGATCTCTGATTATGGTGTTTTCGTTGTCTACAGTCCCCCAGCTGACCACAGTGCTGGTGCAGCTGCTGCTCGTCTTCCATTCGGTCAGGAGGCTGCAGGAGTGTCTGTTCGTCAGCGTTTTCTCTAATGGATCAATCCATTTAGTGCAATATGTGTTTGGACTGGTTTATTACATCCTGATGGGGCTGACGGTGCTTGGATCAGATCGTCTACAGGAAGGTGAAAAAAAACTAAACCAACAAACCTCTCAGAGCGATCCTCTTACAGCTTCTTTTATGGCATATTTATGTTAATGTTGTTGTGTTTTTTAAGGGACTGGGCCTTTGCTCTCTCAACTGGAGTGGTTTCATGTGGTTGGAGCGGTTGTTTACATCCTGGCCTCATGTATGCAGCATCAGTGTCTGGTCCATTTGGCTCGACTTCGTATCGGAAAGTCAGGTAAGATTAAGCAGGTGTTTTACTTTTGAGACTGTTACTCCAACTACAACATAGCCATTACCTTTTTGCCAGTACCTTTACTTTCAGACATTATTAATAAGCTGATGTTGTCCTTTTTTTTTTACAGTATTACATAGCAGCTTTAAAAATTCTGCTGGTAAAAGCAGAAAGCTTGTCTACTTGCTGTGAATCAAGTATTTTCATGTCAACCCAGCACATCAAATCATCACACCAAATAAGCTCTGTAAAAACACAAAAGTCTGTGCAAAGCTGCATGGATTAATGACTTTGCAAGAAATAAGCTCTCAACAATAGAGGCATTTATTAATAATTAGAAAACAGTGAAAGCAAAATGCAGAAGAATTGGTTGACGGTATTACTAATGAAAATGTGGTCTCAAAGTCACTGTAGTTTACATCATATTCTGGGTGACTCGAACTAAAATTTGCTCATTAGATAAGTTAAGTTAGTTTACATAAGAGAATAAAAGGCACAATGTAAACCTGTTTTTTTTGTATAAGTAGGGCTCTAAATGACTAATGTGTACAGATGGGATTGCTGTAAAGTAGATTTCTTGGGTTAATAGCATTGTAACAGGCTTTAACAGCATGGATATAATCCGTGGGAAAATGCAGCAGTCAAACAAAATTCAACAATTCTAAGGTTTTTTTTTTTGTTATTTTCTTTGTCTGATTGATTTTCAATTGTTTTATATCTTATTGATTTTAAATTGTTTTAATCTCTTTTTTTTCATTTTCAATACATGTACTTGCATCATTTCCAAGCATATCTCTTTTTATTACTTGAAACACTAAAGTCACAGAAGAGATCAAACAGAAACTTGTGGATAGAGGCAGCAGTGTACCACTCAGACTGTACTTTTTATTTTCAATATTAGCTTAAAATCCAAATATCCTGCAGTGTGGTGCAGTTAACAGTTTTTCACACAAAGTTCACCTCCTTGCAAGTTTGAAACAGTACTAGTTCACATGGTCATTTTAACCCTGATTAGTTCAGTAAAACTCAAACCAATATGATTATGAAATACTTTAACCTGCTGCACTCACTCTTGCTGTTCTCTCTGAATTTCTCAACCAATAATTACAATGAGGTGACTATTGACTGATCTGCACAAACACAGACTTGAGGACTGAACTCAAACACCCTACATAACAGTCTAAATTCATTTTCTAATCTGAGATTTTTGCAGAATAGAGGACTTCATTTGATGTTTTTATGTTCCCCAAATTAATTTGCATTTGAAAAATATATTTTTATCAAAGTTATCCTCTGTGGACATCACCAAACCCGGTCCAGGCCTGGAAAACAGTTTTCAAACTGTGAATCTGTTTCTATGATTGTACAATAATAACTCCAACCTGCCACTTCTCTTTTCTTCACTTACTGTCATGATGTGCAGTGAAGAGAGCCCATCTGAGCCCAGAAGACAGTTTATGAATATTCAACAATGTATCCCCTGAGAGGACAAAAAGAAGGGACGGATTCACCGCATATGGACTGAGATCAGTGCAAATACATCCAGTCATTTAATCGTATTGACAAATAGTTCTCTAAATGAGTGTTGTGTTCCATTAGTTTAGTAGAACTGAAGCAGCCTTGAAGTTTTTTGTGATTTTTAGTAATGACATAGTATCTCAATTGTTAGTTGCATATTTTTTGATTTAAACTAAATAACAGGTAAATTCAGAAAGTCATCTAAGTATTAGATGATTCAGCAGAGACTGTTTGTATCGTCTCCCTGCTTTTGTAGAGCTAACTCCTGTTTTCTTCCTGCCTTTAAACCATGTTTTCCGTCAATTATGGATGCTCAGAAGTGACTGATTTCCTAATCTTTTACATCAAGAGTTAACATAGTCTGAAGATAAAAATACACTCAAGAACAGTCTGAAGATTATCTAACACCACTTGACAGGGTTATTGTGGGTAAATATTTTTAAACAGGGTAACAGACTGTGGCTCAGAGTCGAAAAACAACACAGATTTATTTCGTAATACAGGCCCACGATGATTATAATGACAATAGTTTCTGTAACTGATCAGAAATTCAGGTGCTCACCAGCAGAAGTGACACCATTTAATAGCGGACTGAACACTCTCATCCCTACCATGAATGCTGATGTTTCTGCCTGTTGCATTACACTTTCACTCTAGCTGCATGATTTTTGCATGTTTTTTTATTATTTGTATCAATTTTGTAGTTTTTCAGATACAGATGGTCCAAACCTCTAAGTCAATAACCATACGCAGGCCATGCAGTTTAACTACATCTCTCATGCATATGTACTGACATGTCTATAAACACTGAGAAAGGACTTATAAAAGTTGTACTTAAACATTTTGCAGTTCTACAGATCATATATAGCATCCGTCAATGACACACGTTGAGCTTGTCACTAACTGCTTTCATCAGCTCTTTAGTGCCGGGCAGGTAAACTGTTTATCTGGCAGCCAAAATCAGCTGTCTGCTGCAGGAGAGAAGGGTGTTGACAGCAAAATAGTGAGCCAGAAAATTAAAATTAATGCCTGTAGGAGCTGGAAAGATTCAGATTATGTTTTGGGATTTGTTTAATTAGCAACATTTTACTTTATAGAAATTTAGAACTGGAATAGTTAGAACCAAAAACCACATAAAGTAGGTCTATTGGATGAATAAGGATGGTGTCTTTTTTCTTTCAGGATCGGTAGAGACGCTGGCTCACAGAGTACCAGAGGGCGGCTGGTTCGAGCTCGTCTCCTGTCCACATTACTTAGCTGAGCTGCTGCTCTATGTGGGACTGAACCTAATTTACGGAGGAGCATCTCTCACCTGGTTCATCGTCTTCCTCTATGTGCTCTTCAGCCATGCTCTGGAGGCTCAGCTCAGTCATGAATACTACATCAGCAAACATGAGTCATACCCGAAGAACAGGAAGGCGTTCATACCTTTTCTGCTCTGAGTATTATCGTTCTGCAAAGTCCTTGAATACTGTGGGAAATGGATGAGGGTGGGAGTCGAGTAACAAGAAGCTCTCAGAAAGGTGAATCTGCTCATCAGCTGGCAGCACTCAGGTGTGAGTGTGAAACACGACTGTGCAGAAGAAACATTCTGAAACAGTGAAATTCAGACCTGAGCATTTAGTATAAATGCACAAAAAAACTTAAAACTTTCTGAAATTTTTAGAGTGTGCTGCATGTGTGAACGCAAACAATCAAATATTTTACTCCCACATTACCTGGATTTCTCCTGCTGGCCCCCTTGTAAAGTTTTTGCCTTAAGAAGACGTTACCTGATGTAAGAGCAAAGCAGGATATATTAAAGGGAATTCACAGGGTTTGAGAGTGATGACACATTTTGCTGCAGTAGATGTGAAACTGCAAGAGTGACATGGAAGAGGATGAAGAAAGTCATCTGAGGTTGAAGAAAGAGGATTATTTTCAACATGAGAATGGTGAAGATTCTGCACATCTGTCTATTAGCATGTAAACGTTTACATTGTTCTTGCCTTGAAAATGATTCTCCTTATCCAATTTCAGATGATCCAATCATCCTTTTGTGTGTCACTCTTATGATTCCATGATATAAACATCACTACCCCAACCCCTTGCTCAAAAAGAGTTTCTATGATATGAATAGATTCAAAATGAAGTATTAAGTACCTGAAGTTACAGGTATTTCATCCTCTGTGCAGCTACTCTCATTCAATCAGTATATTCTTAAAGTCACCATAGTCCTTTCATAAAATGTAAATGGTTTTTGTCACAGGAACATTTCAGTTTTTGTTGTTTAAGACATGTCTACCTGACAGTTTCATGTTTTTTGATCCATTTTTTATAGAAGTATACAGAATTTTTTCATTTTGTCTTAAAAAGTACCTGTAACTAAGCACATTATAAGGGAATTTTTCGTTTAACACATCCATCAAAGTTCTGCAAAAAGTCCCCCAAAATTAAGAATTTTTTTAAACAAGAACAAGCGATTTTTTTTCACACACACAAAATAAACAATCCAGGCTTTTTAATGCAGCTGGTTATAAACAGTGATGCCTTTTTATGAGCAACAAACGCAAACAAGACTGACAGGAAGATTTTGTTTGTTTTTTTACCACAGGAAAAATCTATTGTGAGGGATACACCTGACTGTTACAAGACAGCAGGATGAACCATGTTCTGATAGAGCCCTGCTTATTCATGTGCAGGATAACATCTATTGAGAGCTGAGTACTGCTTTAACCAGAGGGGGGAGCAAAGTTGACACAAACTGAACGAAGCTTCGAAAGCCCTCATAGGAATGGCTAAATCCATAGAAAAGCATGCATTTTTTAACCTCCATCAATTTTGTTCAAGTCTTTGGAAAACATTCCTCCAGAGTTTACGAATGTTTTGTTTGTGTGTGCTTGTGTGTGACAATTAATGCACTATATTCACCTGCTTATTTTTTGTATCAGTATCAGATGAAAGCCCATAAAGAGTAATGGCAGATTTATAAACTTCTGCCCATACGTGTCAGCTCCAGCAAAAACCTGCCTGCAGTGTCTTCCTCCATTTTTGACAAAGGAAAGAAATTTAGCAGAGACCACCCAATGTTAGAGGATACACAGTGTCTGACGGCTTTTTGTTCTGGTCTCTGTATTGGCACTGGAGTTGTATTTAGAACATTTGCATCCTTATCAAACAACCATCTGTCTTTGCCTGGGTTGTTGTTTGCTTGCTAGTGTTTTTAAACTAACTTCCCACATGTCGTCTCTTTCTGTTACACAAGTTGTTTTTTTTTTAAACATAAAAACTATTCCCTTTCTATCAATACTTTCAATACTGTCACATTGTGTGACATTTCTTGCAAGGAGGCACTGGGTTTCAATAAAATATGATCCAAACATGACACTGACTCTTTTATGTTTATTTACTTTTTGATTATTTTCCTTTATTTGCTTATTGTATTCATATTTTGTACATTTCTGAAGTCCACATCAGAATTCAAGGTAAACCACTTTGTACAACTGCTTCACTAAACTCTGGTTTAAAACGGATTATGATTAAAAAGCAAAAAAAAATGTGCCCAGCATGTGTAATTTTTTGGGTGTTTCAATATAATGCTATATAATCCCTGCAGATTAGCCAAATTCTCCACGTAAAAGAAGCTGTCAATCCGGATTAATTTTTGTAAATTGGAAGTTAATTTGGGTTTCATTTTTTTAAACACATTTTAAGTCTTATTAATCTATTTCAGTTTTGATTTAGTGTGACTGACAAGGTAGTTATTGTCCTGAAACCCTATCTTTATTCTTTTTATTTACATTAGTTGTTGCCCATGTTATTTTCATAAAACTACAAGTACCACACCGCGAAATCCCTTTATCTGCTTTTAAAGATGTTTCTCTAAATGTTTGGACATAAAATGGAGGAAATGCATGATAAAGTTCTATTTGTAAGCAGTCGTGAAATTTCATTGACCTGCCCTTTTTTTGCAATAAAAAAAAAATAGACTGTATATACTATAGACAACTTGGTTCCGCCTCCCGCTTGTATACGGATTTGAAGCCAAAAGGATTTCCAGGATTTTTCTTCATTTCCTGAAACCAGCCCTGCGCAGTAGCGTTGTGCGCATTCAGCGGGAGAGACGCAGAGAGTCGCTGTGATGACGTTCGGCTCAAACAGCGTATCCCCCGGGTGAGTCTACGTAATCCCTGAACGCCTATAGGCTGTATCAGGTGTCAATCATAGAAAACATGAACCCCCTAATAATTTAAAAATGGAGCTTCACAGAAAAAAGAGGACTTGAGCACAAACCAGTCTTACTGTAACTACATGTCAACATCGCAACCGGGGGGGAGAAATTTTTTTTGTGTAATAAACTTCTAAAGTTTGTCCACAACTCCATAGGGATTGCTGGAGGAGGCGGGGTTTATGATCATACTGCAGCCCATCAACAGAGGGTGCTGTTCTCGGAGTGGCTTCACTCAGCAAGAAGGCAGACTCTGTCCATTCTATATACAGTCTATGGTCAGGAAAGTTTTTAACCGATTGTCTAACTTCGCTGTTGAAAGCCTTTATATTGGACAATAATAGACTGATAAATGTTATTTGACAGTATTTTCTTGTTGTAATTTGACTCAGTTGATTCCCCTGTGTAGTACAACCGAAATATAAGCATTTCTAATGTCTGACTGTAACTAAACTAAGCAGTAAAAAACCATCACATTAGATAACGGTGATCAAGCCAGCGTGTGCCTCATGTTTAAGTCACTTCGGTTGGTCCTCCACAGAATTTTTATCCACTCTTTTACACTTTTTACCGACTTAAAGGCTCTTTTTTTCTACCAGAGAGTGAATGTTTCCGATTATTTTGGTATGACCTGAATGCACGAAAACTCACTAACACGTAGCTTGCGCTGACAAGCCAACCGTCCAATCAAATAGCTAACATTTGTCTACGTCAGGGTAAAGAAACACGTCATTCTTTTCAACGACCAATCATTTCCTTCGTCTGATGATGAACCCGGCAGTAAGATTCTCACTACCGTCCCGAGTTAACACGGTCGGTCTGATCGTGACGTGTATTATCAAGGAGTCCCTTACATTGTGTTGGTTGCTAACATGAAGTTTGTCACTTTTGTAGTCGATGATACAATGTGATTATCGGTGGAGAAGTCGAAGCATATAGTGAATCTTGTTGAGTGTTTTTGGGAGCAACAATGCCTCTCCGGGTCAGCGGGGGAGACGGACGGGCTGTTAGAAATGTGATCTGTGCCTCGTTTCCACTCGTTGTTGTGTTGTTGTTGTTGTCGGTCGGAGTTAATGCGAGTCCAGGGGAGGAAAAAGCTGTTCAAGAGCAACCCCCAGCAGAGGTAAAACACCATACTCTTATTTAAGCATATTCACCGTCAAATGTTGTATGTAGGGAGCAGTTTTAGATGCCGGTTTCGCTGCTACTTCTTAGCTGCACCGAGCTAGCCACCACATGCTAACAGAGACACATTTTCCACCGTGTTCCGGGTGATGTTAAAGTCTGTAAAGTTAGTCACTAATCTTTACAGGTGGCTGGTAAAGCAAATATTTGTAAGGAAAGAGAGATAAGATTTAGAAAATCCCTATCATGAGCGGGCCAGGGGGACATAATGATGGTGAGATAATGTTTGATCAGACATAGATGTAAGGAAGTTAGCCGTGATTGTAGAGTGTGGGGCTCTGTGAGCAGGAGACTTGGGGTTTTCAGGAACCTAATTTCATTACACAGTAAAATCAGAGAATTACAGAGTGTCAAAATTCAATCCTCTGATCCCCATCAAACTGTTTGATATTCAGTGTCTGCAATTACTGAGTCCCGATCTGTGTTTTGTATTTATCAGGATGATAGAGCTGCTCACTTTTTTAGATATTAAGACAATTTGATCGTCCAGATGAAGTGAAATATGTCTGGGGCTTATTGGGTGGCACTGATTTGTGGCATTTGCACATAATCAGTATCAAATCGGTCTTCATAAGGTCAATATCACTGTCATCTTTTCCAAATGAAGACACATAAATCATGAATTTATAAGCGACTTTTTATCATTTAACACAGATATCTACCCTCCATTTTTTGCTACTTTTTAATCCGGAGTAAAATTGATTTAGGTTCAAACACACTGTAACACTGAGTTAGACACCCCCTTGAGAGATGAATTTTGCTGACAGCTTGCTTCTCTAGTTGTACCAACTTTAGTAACTACCGCACGATAGCAATACACAGCGGTCTGAGGAACCATAAACAAACCTCAATCAAAAAGCCACTATATAGCCACAAATAATGCTCAGAACAGCACCTAACTTCATCAACAGTATAGTGTCGCAGCCATAGCACTAGCCACCTAGCTAGCTTTTCCTGATTTTTTTAGCAAAGAGACTAAATATAACTCACCTACTCTCCTCCAGCAGCTGCTTGTTTGTAGAGAGACCTTGGGCCAGTCCATGACAGACTACAGCGGGGGGACGCAGCTCAAGGAAGAACATTTATGATCATTTCTTTAGCATTTCCTTGAAGTAATAATTACCATTTTAATCATTTTGCACTCCAGACGCAGTAGTTCTTCTGCCTTAGCGCCTTGGTCTGATTGTGTTTCCATGAATAAATGATCATAAATGTTCTTTCTTGAGCTGCATCACCCCACTGCAGTCCGTAATGGACTGGCCCGAGGTCTCGCTACAAACAAACGGCTGTTGGAGGAGAGTGGGTGAGTTGTGTTTAGTCTCTTTACTAAAGAAATCAGGCAAAGTTTAAAAGATGTTTGGTGGCTAGTGCTATGGCTTGGACCCTATATGTACTGTTGATGAAGTTAGGGGCTGTTCTGTGCATTATTTGTGGCTATAGAGTGACTTTTTGGTTGAGGTTTGTGTATGGCTCCTCAGACCGCTGTGTATTGCTATTGTGCGGTTGTTACTAAAGTTGGTATAACTAGATAAGCAAGCTGTCGGCAAAGTTAATCTCTCAAGGGGGTGTCTAACTCTAACTTGGTGTTACGGCGTGTTTGACCCTAAATTAATTTTACCCCAGAATATCCCTTTAATAATTCCATATAACTGGACAGGAAGCTCAAAGACTCTTGTGGACACAGTTTTAATTTTGTCTACATTTGTTGGGTAAAATATTCTTCTGTGTTCAACTCTTTTTTGTTAGTGTTATTAAATCTTATATTTTTTCAAGTGCACAACAATCTGTTATTGGCATTACATATCAGCCCTCCTGTGTAGTGATGCTCAGCAATGACATGGGACACAACTCAGAGCTTTTCCAAATATCTGTTGTCAAATTAACTGCAGTGGTCTCATGTTTCAGACCACATCTTATATTTTACCTCTAATAAAGTTCCCAGAAGGCAACATGTGAAATATAGTGTCTAGATGGTGTTTTGTGGATCCAAAAGCTCCAAGAGATGGCAAAGCTTTCCATCTCTACCACAGAGATGGGGTAGTTGTCCAAAGTGATAAATAACACTTTCTCTGTGATCTTTCTTGCCTTCTCACCCTCTCCTGGGTACTTGTCCTCCTTTTCAAAGTCCACGGTTTGTTGCTTTGCTAGAGCAGACTTTCCTCTGTTGCTGTGGTGAATTATTTTCAGATGCCATTTTCTGTTTGTACAAAAGGCAGCTCTACTGGTGCCACCTTGCAAAACAATCCCATTGCATTCAAAGCAATATGATTGGCTGTAGGTCTGTTTTCACTTTGTAAATGCTAAAGCAACAGCATTAGCATTAAGCTAAAATGCAGCATTGAAGAATGTTTAGACCTTTTTTAACCATGAATCCATGGAGAGTTACTACAAGCTACTGATGTTAATTTTATGTGGCTGCCTGTTCACCTCTGTGTTCAAAGTTTAAGCAGAGTCTTGAGTCCCTCAATGACGTCCCATCTGTCATTTTCTTTTTTGGATACTGTCAGGTCTCCCCCAAAATGTTCCACTCAAAGAAGTTACTTGTAGGTTTGTGATCTGTTCAGTTTACAGCAGCTGATATTAATGATCGGGATGAGGTGATTGGCTGAAATTGCGGCACTTCTAACCAATTGCAATTTTTTGTCATCAGTGAAGGCAAAAAATATGAGATTGGTTTGCCACTGATGAAACTGACACCCCTGCCGGCAACAGATGATCACCAGCATCTGCTGTCAGTCTGCCAGGCAGACTACCAGCAAATGCCAGGACAACTTTTAGACCTCACAGTCACTCTTAATCTAATCTTTTTGTACTACAATAACTGTGCACAACGTTTAGAATGAAAGTTGCCTTTGTGCATTGTTGCTCAAATCTTATTTTCATATGCTGGCTTGTAGCAGGTGTGGGTCAACACCACAGGTTATCAGCTTTAGCAGATTATCAGGGCATTTGACTGGCTCTATCTAACAGCATTTGAAAGGTTAGAAAGTTTGCTACTTTGGCTCTGTTGCCAGCTCCCTCTGTGTCTGTCTTCAGTCATCACTTTGCCCCTAATGTCCCGCCCACAGCAACATGTGAACAGCCTGATATCGTCACATCAACTGTGTGACATAACAGTACTGTTAAGTGTAACCAGTGAACTGTAAACTCGATGATGTTGAAAGATTCAGTTTGAGCTAAAAAAAAAAGTGTTGGACTTAAAAATATTCCAAATTTGTATATATTAACTGTAAGTTTTATTTAGTTCCAAATATCATATCATATTCTCATGAAGTACTAGTAATCTGTATAAGCACTGAAAAGACATTTTGGTTGACCCCTAATAGCAGTTTAAACATCACATAAATGTGACCTTAAAAAATAAGACTCTAAAGAAGCAGGACATGACACAGAGTAACACAGCAGTGCTTTATAGACACACTCAGCAGTAATAAAAAGATGTCCATCAGGTTAAAAACAGTGATATGAAACTAGTGGTTACACAGCAGAGAATGTTTTAGCTGAATCTTTAGCCACAGATAAAGCTGCAGTTGTTCCTCTTTATCTTAACAGTAAAAATAAATGTGATTATTATTATTATGTTGATGTGGTGCTGTTGACTCACAGAAGTGCTTCCCAAATTTAAATACTGACATTAATTCTCAGACAGGAGCTGGGGCTGAGGTCAACACATACTCCTCTGAATGTCACTCATTGCTTGTTGACCTTTTTGCAGAAAGCAACAACTCCCCACCCAGTGGGCCCGGCCATCCCTGAAAATGACCCCAGCAAAGGAAACCTGGGTTTCATTCATGCCTTTGTGGCCTCGATCTCTGTCATCATCGTTTCTGAGTTGGGAGACAAAACATTTTTCATCGCTGCCATCATGGCCATGCGTTACAACCGGCTCACCGTGCTGGCAGGAGCGATGCTGGCACTGGGACTCATGACGTGCCTCTCTGGTTAGTCTAGTGTTTTCTAACTGAAGTGAGTGGTCACTTCTTTCTCGATCAGTTCAGAGCATTGTTAAAGCTTTTCTTCTCTCCACCCTGCAGTGCTGTTTGGCTACGCCACCACCATCATCCCCAGAATCTACACATACTACGTGTCGACTGCTCTGTTTGCCATTTTTGGTATCCGGATGCTGAGGGAGGGGCTAAAGATGAGTCCAGACGAAGGCCAGGAGGAGCTGGAGGAGGTTCAAGCTGAGATCAAGAAGAAGGATGAAGAGGTGAGAAAACTCCTTACACTTATATCCTTGAGGAATTAAAAACCTCAGTGTAATTGGTTTAATTTACTGCTGGATCAAGAGCGCATAATTTTTTTTGCAAAATAAATCATAATTTTTTTTCTTCACTGAGAAGAGCAGATGTTAAACTCAATAAACACTTTAGAGACAGAGATGGTTTGAAAACTATCTTGGCATCATTTCAGAGCGTTCATCAGTAAACCATTTTAATCAAGGTTATTTCCATGTTTTAAGTTATCGACCACACATTTCGTTTTCAGTTTACATCATTAAAACTAAAAAGAAAGAACAATATACCAAAATACTGGGCTGTGATCTGGACACAATAAATGATACAGTGCTAGCAAAGTTAAACAGTTGGTGAAAGGTGCTGTTTTTGCACATGCGTTCATATACATGCAACTGAGGTGGAAGAGTTCATATATTAATCCATTAAGAAAATTGGCTCTAATTAACTCTGCAATACAACAATACAGGATGCTGAAAGGGTTTTAAAAAAAAGACTAAACTTAATATCTGTGTGTTTATATTTGTTTGTTTTATTGTCAGATGCCAGTCACATCCCTACATGATACGAACACGTATTGATAGTGCTGTATGGTTCTTTTAATAGTAGAAATGCCACAATGTTCTACTACCTGGATGTAAACAAGCACTGACGACCGATGGCATCTCGAATCGTGATATGTACTGTGAGCTAGAAAATGAAGGAGATGTTTGTGTGTCTGTTTAAGCTGCTATACGACCACTCATCTGGAGCAATGAGTAACAGACACATTAATCTGCAATGTTGACTGAGGGCTGTGCTAACATTAGCCACACCCTGCTAAGTACTCTGACATTGTTTATTCTGTGATCTTGTGTTGAATTAATAGTGCTCAGTTTTAATCTTTTTCTGATTAAGCCACATTTTGATAATAAATAATAATAAATAATAATAGATAATCTAATAAATCCAAAAATAATTAAATTAAGCTGTAGTTTTGTAGCACCAGGCCACCTCCTCAGTTAAAACAACAACCATTTGTAGCTTCTACGGTGGTTTCTAAGGCCTCCAGCTTGACGATGTTGTAACAAACTCGCACACTCCCTCACTCTCTTGGAAGCAGCTGCTTAGAGGACCTCTGTAAAATCTCCTGAGTGTTAGCACTTCTTACATGATGTGTTTTTGCTCGCCGTCTTCACACATCACACTTCATATTTCAGTTCAGGGACAGCTGTTTGGTGTCTCTGCAACACTGGTACATCAGCGTCATAACTGCCTAAGTTAATACATAACTTTGCCCACTTTATCCTGGACGGTCACCATGTCTCTCCATCTCTCCGGGAAAGGTCTTTTGATGGTCCTTTTGTTGGTGGTTTTCTTAAAGAGAGTTATACGATAGCAACTGAAGATGAAAGTATTGTCTCCCTGTAAAAAGGGCATCACAGCCTTTATCAAAGTCAAATCTCTCCTTCTTCTGTTTCATGTGAGCAGCTCCAGCGCACTAAGCTGCTGAACGGGGCCCCAGACGTGGAGGCCGGGACAGGAACTGCAGTTCCTCAGAAGAAGTGGCACAGCTTCATCTCCCCCATCTTCCTCCAGGCACTCACCCTCACCTTCCTGGCAGAGTGGGGGGACCGCTCTCAACTCACTACCATTATTCTAGCTGCTCGGGAGGTTTGTCCTTTTTTATTCTGCTGTGATTTAATACCTGAAAGTGTGTCCTTGGGTGGTCCCAGTGTGAAAGAAATCCTTCGTCTGTCTTTTTGAGCCAGCAGCAAACTGTCCTCTCTGCTGTCTTAACATACTGACGTTTAATATCAAAGTGAGTAAATGTATAATTTTCTAAAGCACTTAAATTAAAGCTCTGTTGTTTTTTAATTCCTAGGATCCTTTTGGAGTTGCTGTTGGCGGGACACTTGGTCACTGTTTGTGTACAGGACTAGCGGTTATAGGAGGGAGAATGATCGCCCAGAAAATATCTGTCAGAACAGGTCAGACTGAAATTTAATCTTATTTATTTATTTCCAGAAGCAAATTACACCTGGAGCTTTAAAGTTTGACATCAAACAACTTCTCAGGGGCATGACAGCATCTCCTCTGCTGACCGTCACCGTCTATCATCTGTGGCTTTAATTTTTGTGGTCAAAACAGCACGACCAGATCAAAGTTTTTTCCCTTTAATTTCAACAAGAAAAAAAAAGTCTCCATCATTATTTGACAAATTTGAAGGAAGTGTCCAAAAAAAAAAAAAAAAACTTGCATCATCAACTTATTTTTGCTGACTCATTTTGCAGAACGAACAGGAAATAACTGCTGAAACTACACACACACACACACAAACACACCGCACCCCCAACACTTTCTCAAACAGACACCAAAAGACATCTAAAGCTCTGTTCAGGAGATTTGCGGCCACAAAAAAAAACAGCTCTGTTGCAAAGTTGCAGCAGTTATTAAGTCTCTCAAGCAGCTGAGATGAGGCTGTCTGAGATTGAGCTCATAAAGTGAAGTCAACAGTTGCTGGTTGAGGAGATAAAAGCAATCAGCTGTTTGCAGAGTCAGCTTGGAAAGTACTGACAGTAGTGCCTGGCAGGTTTGCAAACTCCATATGGTGAAAACAGATGGTGCACACGGTCACAGTCATTTAAACCGTATGTTGACTGAAAAATAGTGCAGCGATGACGTCAAATGTTGAGACTGAGAAGATTTATAATTTAAAGACAAATATTGTGTATGCTCATTTCAAATCTGATGGCAGTAACATGTTTCCAAATGATCGGTTCATATGTACTCTTTCCTGTGATTAGTTCTTTTTTTCCCAACATTTTTGTAAATGTTAGTGAACCCAGCAGACCAGTTTCTGGAGTCTGAAAGTGAAAGTTGTCCCAGTCTTGTTTGATAGAGGATTTAAGCTGCTCAACAGTTCAGGGTCATTTTTGTCCTATTTTTTGCATTATGATGCTCCAGATGTTTTCAATGGATGACAAATCAGGACTGCAGGCAGGCCAGTTTAGCAGCAGGACTCTTCTACTACAGAGCCATGTTGTTGTAATCCCTGCAGAATGTGGATTATCATTGTCTTCCTGAAATATGAAGGTCTTCCCTGAAAGGTCATTGTCTGGATGGCAGCTGATGTTGCTCCTAAACCTGTAGATATTGTTCAGCATTAATGGATCCTTCACTGATGTGGAAGCTATCCATGATGATGATTCCCAAACCATCAGGGATGCTGGCTTTGAACTGTGAGCTGATAACAAGCTGGGAGGTCCCTCTACTCAATGGTTTTGGAGGTGATTTAGAGCTCATGCAGTGATTTCTACTACAGAGTCCTGTCTATTTTAAGTGAAGTGCCTTAGGACCTGAAGATCATCCAGTGTTGGTTTGGTCCTTGTCCCTTTAGTACAGAGATTTCTCAAGAGATGAGAGATGATGAAATCCACTCATTCTTTCACATTTAACATTTAGAAACATTAATCTGAAACTTTTAAACTATTAGCTCACACAGTCTCTCACAGAGTGGCGAACGTCTTCTTCTTTTTACCAGTTTTGTTGTTCCTGGCCTTAGCTATTTAGAAACATGTTGCCTGCATCACATTTAAAATGAGCACATATCCTCTTTCAAAACAATGAAGTTCTTAGTTTCAACATTTGGTCCAATGTCTTTGCTCTGTTATAGATTAAATCAAAAACCACTCAGCTCTGTTTTATAAACATCTTACACAGCACCTCAACCTTTAGTCATCACACTTGATAATGTTATAGCAGTGTAATTATGTGTTTCTCTCATATCAATCAGGATGACTGTTTTCTCTCCACCGTTAAATGACCCATATTTATCTTGTTTTCCTCCACAGTTACAATCATCGGAGGGATTGTTTTCCTGGCGTTCGCCTTGTCTGCGCTCTTCATCAAACCAGAAGCTTAATCTGACCACAGACTTTCAGGTTTTCTCTGTACATAAAATGTAAAATGTGCTGCCGTTGCTGTAGAGAGACTCTAGTTTTGATTCTTTAAGTGTCCTCGACTCCTTATGAGCCTCTGATCCATGAGAGCCTCAGTGTTTCTTTTTTTCTCCGGGTTTAAAAACTTTGATTTCTCTGCATTTAATGACAATTCCAGGGTCTTGACCTGCAGTACTCAAAAAGGCTCATGGGAAATGTTGTTTAATGCCATTAAATCAATGTTAATATTGTATAGTGTAAGTCCTGGGAAGAAACGCAGGTTTACAGAGGCAAACTCGGGGAGAGAGGGATGTCTGTGGCTCTTTTGTTGGAGCTGGATTCTCATCACAAAGTGTGTGATTGAAGGACGACCATATTGTTACTGAACGCTGCCCTCCAACTCATCTCTAGAAACTTCTGCAGCTCCGACACTTGCAGTACTTCCCTCCCACTCAGTCCAACACTGAGCCTGTTTCATAACTTTCATAACCTTTTTCTTTGTTTTTAAATTGTTGGGGGTTGAATTTTTGTCTATTTTACCTGAGCCCAGGTGACTGTTGACAGAAGAGAGACCTTAGACTGAGCTGCCAGTTTCTCCTAAGTGTACAAAGATTGTGATGAACCGAACAAGATTTAAATGTAGTTGTCTTTCTTTTTTTAAGCTGACATAATTTTGAAAGATTTCCTAAAATAATCCTCTGCTTCATGTCAGCGTGGCGTTTTAAAGAGACCCAAACCACTAAAATACCTCTCAGTGCAGATTTCTGTTGTGTATGAACAGTAGGCACACAGCTACACTAAACTTTCTTACGGTTATTTACAAACTGGGGCCTACTTTTTACATATTTTAAGGTAAAACAATCAAATTTATTCAAAGAGCTCCTACAGATTTCAAGAAAACAAATATGTTTGACCTCAAATCCTCCAAAAAGCGTCTGAGTCTTCAGACCCCGTTTTTTGTGCTGGCAGTGCCCATGTTTGTATGAAACTGAAGGATTACATTATTCTCAGTGCTCAGCATCCTAAAACTGACATACAGAGTTCCTGAAGGTCCAGAAAGTGTTTTTTCTTTTTAATTATGTGCGCAGGATATCTTTAGCACAAAACAGGAATATCTTGTTAGACACAAGAAAGCAGTTTTTGCACAATAAAACAACCATCTCTACATGGTTGTTTTATTGTCAACAAAAGTTGTCTTTTCTAAATCCTTTAGAAAAGAAAATCATCTTGTGCACACAATTATTTGTTCACACAAGATACCATTTAGTGTAAAACTTGATTCTTTTGGACTTCAGAGGGGCTGTAGTAAATGTCCCTGGGAGCTCAGTTGTTTGTGTTTCTTCTCTCTAGTTAAATCTCAGCTAAACCCTCCCCATTAGCGGCCACTCAAAACAAAGAAGAAGCGAACATATATCAGCTATGTTGTCTGTGTGTAAAAGGTCTTGATCTCCAAAGAGAAGATTTTTTACATTTTATTTGTAATGTACCTTCATAAAGAAAGCAAATTTGAGCTTTGAAAAACAGACTTTATGGTTACTAAGGGACAGTGAAGTGCTATGGGCCTGTGTTTGTTACTTAGCAACAGCAAGCACTCTGAAATGCTATGGGTGCTGCCAGCACAAAAACAGCTTTAATGGGCACAGTTCTTGTTTCCTCTCAGATTATTAGTCTATCTTGCAGGTACAGAAATTTAGTAGAATTCAGGATATTGTCCATTCAAAGTTAATGCTCTAGATTTTTGTTTTTTGTCCCTCGTGGATTCAGTTTACAGACAGATATAGACCTTCTTTGTTAGAGAAGAGGATGCTTTTTGAGACCAGAAGCAGCTGTTACATCACTGTCTTCAAAACCACCAGTCTGTCATTTTTGTCCTTACAGTACAGCAGAGTTTAAGGTAAACAGCTACCTGACATCACCCCTTTTTTACAAAGGAACTCCTGAAATTTTCTGGACATTATCCGGACATCCTGGTCCTGGATTTTCAGGATTTTGTTGTCACTCTCACACCCCTCAGTGAAAGATTACTTGATTAGGTGCACTTACATCTGGAAACCCTCAGTTTAGACAGACCTTTTACAAGGAAACATCTGGAAAAATTCAGGGTAAACTGTCCCATTTGTCTAAGCTGCCCACCTGAACAATGTCGGGACATTGTTGACACTGCAGTTGTGAAAGAGGCTTGTGTTATTATTTTTTTATTATTATTTGACGACAATGTTTTATTTGTGTAGCTGGGGTCATGTTATATTCAGGTAACATGACAAAAACACTGATGGAGGCACAAGTGCAACAGCAACTCCTTTGCTTTATGAGATTAAATTCTTGTTTGGTGGCTTTTAAGACAGTGATATTTGATGGTCATCTCTGTGTAAAAAAGCATTTTCCTCCTCAAAAAAGGTCTATCTCTAAAAAAAAACATCTTGGCTCGCTAATAAAAAAGTATTTCTCAGACTAAAAATATGTCAGAGCAGGACTCGAGTTGGGATAATTTATGGACCTTAACAGCCCATATGGACCTCTTTAAATCATGAAGAAGGCAGCAGAAAGGCCAGTTACCCTCCACACCTATGAAACATAGCAAGTCTAAGCCTGGCTGCCTCTTTTGCTGCTGCCCCCAATCCCTATAATAAACAACCTTCTTAGGTACAGAATAAAAGAAAGAAAAAACAGCTGACTGCTCCTTTAAAACAAACTCTTTAGTTAAGTAAAAGATCACTCCTGTATCCCGCAGCAGCTGTGTTATAGTTGCACCTCCACCTGGGCGCAGCAGTGTAATCTTCCACCTACGTTTGACCTTTTATTTAAAGTGGTTGATCTATTTATTTAGCTTCATGTCTTTTCTTTTTAATTTCATGTACTGTAGAAACAGGCGGGGAGGACGAGGTCATCAAAACAAGAAAAGAAATATTTTTATAGGTGAAAAAGGCTCAGGCTGCATTGTCAATATTTGACAGACTCTGCTCAGCTGTGAAGTATTTCTGTTTGTGTTATACAGGTTGGCTTAAATGTGGATAAATCTAAAACACTCAATAAAAAGGTTTCAAGTGTTGTTTGATTACTACATTCATCTCTGCTGTCTTAGGATAAAAAATATGGTAATAGTGTCATCTTAAGTAAAATGAAAGTTCAATAAATGTGTATTCAAATATCGAAAAATAGAAAAACTAACAAATACAAGCAACCCTGTACATAAATGCTCTCTAATTTTCATATATTTTCTAACAAATATCTTACTGCATGTTTTTTTATTTCTACTTGAAGCTGCGAAATTTTCTAAGTTTGACATGTATGGTTTACCACTGCTTTAACATCCCCCATATAGAAAACTGGTTTGTCAAGTTTGGCCTTTGAAAAAGATGGAGGGAAAAATCTGAAAAAATTAAAAGACAAAATGTGATTTGGGGGATTAAATGCAATCAAGAGAAAAGAAGAATTAAAAGATTGAAAAACACAAAGACAAAATACACATAAGGGACATAAAATTGTCAAAAATAAATAAACATTTATCTTTAAAGGTAAATACAGAAACCATTTAAATGGTCATATTTACTTGTATAATCCCATAATTTAATCATTCAATCTCTTTGGTCCTTGACTATTCCTCAATTTTTTATGGTATTTATTATTTCTCTGACTCTTGTGAAGCGATGTGTTTCAGAATCTGAGGTAATTAGAGAAACATTTTGATGTTTAATTCATAAATTAGAACAAGTAAGCAAACAGGGGATACATTCGACTTTAAAATGGTTTGCTTTCTTAATGATTTATTTTAAGAAATAAAGTCAAGGCAGCTGCTCTCTCAAACACTCAAACTAATGCGTTTGCATCTGTAAGGAAAAAACAAATTAACTCAGGAAAAGCACAACTTTAGTTTATTGAAGTTCAAAGATCCAAATAAAAATTCATTTTAACGAGACCAGTTCCTCTTTTTTTAAAGTCAAGCAAAAGTGTATTTCAGGTCCGTGCCTGAGTGTGAGTGTGTGTGTCCAAAAAATGACCAGCAGGGGGCAGCATGTACAATACACAATTACAAAGTCATTTAGCAGACACCTTTCTCCAAAGCGACGTACAATTTAGAGAGATCTTAACTGAAAAAAACATACCTCTGAACTCAGAGCTTCAAAGAAATCAGGCAGGTGGTTTTAAGGGGATAGTCCACATGTTCAGTCCTCGAAATTCAGCAGAAACCGATGCCATATTGTCATTTATTTGGATGAGTCATTGACTGTTTTAATGGGCTGATTTTTTTTGACGGTATACAGGTTATGCAGCCATTTTCTCATATTTATCAAGGGCACATTTATATTTGGGGGTTTTAAAAATATTCTTTGGTAGTTAATCAAGAGATCAATCCGAAAAAAGGTCAGAATAATCGATGATAACAATCACAGGCTGCAGGTCAGTTCCAGGTTGCTTGTCGCTTTCTATGTGGAAGAACTGTAATAGTGATTGATTAATTGATTGTGTTTTAACCCGGCAATCAGCCTTTTCAACATTAAACTAATCCCAGGTTTAAGCTTTTTTTCTGAATTATTTATCACCTTTATGAGTGATTTATATCTTGTAAAGGCTAGTTTATAGGAAAGTGACTCCTATCATATGTATGTGAAGATCAGGTGATTGTGAACAGAGTAAGATTTCACCATCAAATAATTTTAAATATCTCAGTTAGTTAAAAAGTTGTTCCTGAACCCCTAAAGTGGTTATAAAAAGTATAAATCCACACGGGTCAATAGTACCTCTTACAGCTTCATGACATTTACATCCTTTTCTTTGCTTGTAGCTTAGTTTTGGATCATCTTGTTTCCACTTTAACCAAAAGAAAGTCTTTTCTTGTCTAGTCCACTTGACACCTCCCGCTCTCAGCACCACCAGATGCTGATTTTTGTCTTGTCTGGATAAGTAGTTCAGAGGGTCGGATCTGGATTAGGAAATCCACTTCTTTCAAACTAAGAACAGGTAATCCATTTTCTTTTGACCTGTTTTTTCAAAGAAGAAGTGGACTACATCAACCTGAACCAAATTTATTGTAAAGATGACTAGACCAGATTATTGGTGCTCAAAAGGGACTTTGTACTATATATTATGCCAGCAGGGGGTGCCGAAGTCTACAGGCCATAGCATTTAACTGCATCATGTTTGACCTGTTTTATGGGAATAACTTTGAACAGAACAAACCCTTTTTTAAAACTCTAAGATCTACCCCACTTGGTATGACTTGGCAATTATTCAAGAAGATATCTATTAAAAAAAAACAACTTTAGTATCAAGGTCACTGTAAAAGTGTTTTGGCTAATTTGAAGTTTCCTCACAGGCAGATCCTGTAGTGCAGCCTGAATCCAACAAGTTATCAACAACAAAATCTAAAGGTGTTTATCGAGTCAAATTCAAAACTGGACTGTGGTGTGTTTCAATAAACACACCACAGTCTAAACTCAGATCTTACTTGCGTTTCCACAGCCAACTATACACTCTTAAATCCACCCTAGCTCCACCCAACGGGGCCAGATCAGTATGCTTGATAACCACAACAGAAGGGCGGTCAAATGTAGGACAGCACAGACCGGTTATTTTGAAACCTTTCACAACTTCTGACTCTGTGAATGCAAATAACTGGACAAACTGAACCAGTCCACTCAGGGGGAACACGGTTTAGTGCGATATCTATTTTTTGTCTTTTGAACAAACTTATCGAGATTGTTCAAATCTGATTCATATGATCAGGTAAAATTTGCACAGCTGAGCACAGGGTGACAGGTTTATGATCTGTTACCCAGTTGTGAATGAGCCTATATGTACAGGGCAGAAAGCTTAGATGCGTTAGCTTCGGAAAAAATGAAGTACCAGAAAAAGAAGGTCTGAGAAGAAAAGCTTCATTTTCACCAATAACCAAAGTTTGTAGCTGCAGGTAGGAGGAGCTGGAGTGTATAGTAACTGACTAGGAGCTCTCTTTTTTTGAGTCAGTGCTTTCAAAGAGCAACTGAAGTTGGTTTGTGACACTCAGAAGTGAAGACGCAGAGGGGGTTTTGGCTGCTCCCCTCACCCTGCAGACCCAGATCTTTACTGTAAGACTAAACAGAGGATCAGACTGAATGAAGGACTCCAACACAAACCACTCGCACACAGTCTAAGAACAAGTCTGAGTTTATGTTTTGAAGGTCTTTACAGACTGATTAAAGCCGTTTAGGCACCAAACAGGCTCTGGGATCTCCGCAGGAGTGCAGCTCTGATCACTGCATACACTTCACCTTTCTTCACATTCATACCAGCCTTTATTGTGCAGACCTTAAGGAGGAAAAATACCCTCCATCACTTTAATAAGTTTATGAAACTCTGTGCATGTTGAGTTTAAGGATTAAACAAACTGACACAACGAGCAGCATCAACATCGTCTGCTATGCAGACACACAGACATCCCACAGGAGGCAGAGAGTGTGTGTGTGTGTGTGTGTGTGTGTGTGTGAAAACAGCCACTGAGCGTTTAAGACCCTTTTTTTTCTCAGAGGAGAAAGCAAAGCTGCAAAAAACAGAATACATTTTTCATTTCATGCATCATATAAAATATTAGTTTCTCTTTTTCATCGTATTTACAGAATATATTACACATGATGTTCTGTACAGAAAAAGTTCAATCTACAGCACATTCTTAAAAAATATTTTCTGGCCCATGATTTTTTTTTTTTTACGTGAAATAAAGAAACAAGGTTCTGGCTGCTATGCAGAAAGTCCATGAACTCTAAGAGCTCTGCATGAAATAACCCTGTGAGAGGACGACAGCACACACACACACTGAACTCACACCGAACACACACAGGGGCTTTTAAAGGAGGTCCAATATGGCCCCCTGAATTTTCATAGAAAAGGCTTCAACCTGGACCTGTGGGGATCCAGTTGTGGCTCCTCTGCAGCTCTCTGTGCTCAGGAGTTTAAGTGCAAACATCCTCGTAGGGGCGATAGAGGGTCTCAGGTCTTCTCCTTTAGACCCCCCTCACAAAATTCAGTCTCTGTCCTCCTCTGAAAGAGTCCATCAGTCACTGAGGCTGAGCAGCCGAGCGCTCAGACAAACTGTCTGCTCTGTGAGGAGTCAGCGCCACTTTCTGCTGCTTCTGCTGCTGCTGCAGCTGTTGATGTTGTTGTTGTAACTGTTGCTGTTGAAGCTGCTGCTGTTGTAACTGTTGCTGCTGTAATTGTTGCTGTTGCTGCTGCTGCTGTTGTTGTAATTGTTGTTGGTTAGTGGCAGTGAAGGTGCCCTGTTGCTGCAGAGAGACAGCCTGCAGGATCAGCTGAGTGGACTGGTTCCCATGTAGGAGTCGAGGAGCCTGAAATGAAAAACAAGTTGAGGTTAGTTTCATGTTTGAATGAAAAATTTAAGGCTCCATTTTTGAGGGGCAATGATTGATTCCCTTGATCACCGAGAAGGAAAGTTTCAAACAGGATATACTATTTCAATCTGAGGTTAACTATTATTTGCTCCAACAGAGCAAATAATAGTTATTTCTTGGTCCCTGCCTGAAAGAGCTCTGTACGACAGGGTGGAAAAATGTGTGAGGAAAAGGTCACCAATCAACAGAGATGACAGCAGCTTGGACTGGGTGACCACTAACAGTTGATAAAACAGCTTGGGAGAGCTGCACAAGGAGTTGACTTACGCTCGGAAGTCGGAGCTGGGAATGACGTTACACCCGAGTTGACAGCATTCCAGTAAACAAGTCGGAAAACCAAGATGGACACTATCAACTCGGGTGTAGCAGTCATTAGCTGCTGTTAACAATTGTTAGTTAGCAGTTATTAGCTGTTGTCAGTTGTTGTTAGCTATACCAGTTGTAAACAACATATAACACATTATTTTACTGTATTTTGATAGTTATTTTACTCTTTCAAACAACATATCACCATGTTCACATTTAGATGTTAGGCAGTACAACATATACCACTTATTTCATTTCACAAAAACACAACAGAAGTGCTAATAAATAATACATTATGAGAGCTTTCACTTTTACTCTTAACTGTTGATACACTGCGCTGCCATCTTGGATTATGACGTTGTCATCTAGTCGGGGTTGGTGACGATCGTCATCAACCTCGAAAGAGACTAAAACTGTTACACGCCTGATATCAAAACACTCCAGAACCAGAGACAACTTCAGGCGGAATAAACACCTGCCTACAGCGTCAAAACTACAATTATATGGATGCTAACCATGATGCTGCTACTTAAGGTTCAGCATGAAGTTTCTGTGGTCTGTGATGGTTCGGGGTGCAATGTCACCTGCTGATGTTGGTCAACTGTGTTAAAGTAAGTATAGAGTCAATGGAGAGATTTGAAAGCAATCTCCAGCAGCCGCCCACAGTGTTAAAACAACCATTAAACGGTCTTCTTGCTATCAGCTCACTGATACTAACAGCACCAAAACTACAACAAAATGGTTTGCTGAGGGTGATATCACTGAACTTCACTGGTCAGCCAAGTAGCATGCCCTGAACCCAATGGAGCATCTGTGGGATATTAATCTTATCCTGGCCAACACTGCACCAAATGACGTTCGACACAGACAGTGTGCAAAAATACCCTGAAAGCAACAAGCTACTCATGCGTCGAGAGCTGCTTACAAATAGTGACCTGTTGTTCCCTCAGCATGTTACCTGCAGGAACTGTGTTTGCTGCGGGTTCAGAGGAGCCTGTCCCGGCTGCAGGGCTGTGACCTGCGACTGAGCCTGAACCTGCTGCTGCTGCTCCTGCTGCTGCTGCTGAGGCTGAGCCTGTGGCTGAGCGATCCTGATGGTCTGAGTCTGACCCTGCTGAGGACCAAAGGCCGTCACCACCTGGCCCATGATCATTGTGGTGGGGACCATGACGGCGCCACAGGCCATCTGACCTGTCACTAGTTTAGTAAGTAGCTGAGGAGCAGCGGGGAACCTGCAGAAACAGGAGGTGGAGAGCATTCAGGTGAGGCGAAGAGGAGCGATTCTGCTGCTTGAAATCACAAATATGAAACCATGAGACTAAAATACATCTAATAAAGACCTGATCTGAGCTCCTCGGTCCTGTGCAAATGTGGCGACAGCAGGAGTGTTGGGTCCAGTACTCTGGGCCAGACTTGTAGCAATCTGGACCACATTGGTCTGGTTTTGCTGAGGGATCATCATGGTGTTGTAGAGAGATGCAGGAAGTGGATTCTGCTGAGGCTGCAGCGTGACAGACGACCGCTGAGTCTGAAAAACACAGAGGAAAAGGAAGTAACCAGAACTGGAGCTGACCAAAACAAAGTCAAACAGAGGTGGATGTGTGTGTGCTGCTGTAAGTCAGGGCATCCTTATAAATGATGTGAGGATGAGTATCTACAGTGTCCCACCTGTGTAAGCGCCGTGCTCTGATCTCGAATCAGAGTCTGCTGCTGGGTCTGGGGCTGGGTCTGGTTCTGCACAGGAAGGTGTTGCTGTATGCTGTTCTGCAGAGGCCCTGCAGAGACCAGCTGACCCTGCATACTGAGAGTCCCCCCCTGCTGTACAGAGTTGCCCTGAGTCATCTGAACAGAGCTGACATTCAGTCCTCCGGCTCCTTTCTGCAGGAACATCTGAAACACAACACAGACTTTGACCCTTCAAAGAGAAAACATCAAAAGTAAAACAGTGATGATCAGGATTCATCTTTGACTGGATTTACTCCTCAAGGCTGACCTGCAAGCTCTGTCCCTGCACCCTCTGCAGCTCGTCCTGGATCTGCCGCAGCTCGTCCTGCTGTCTCTGAATGTTGGCCTCGATCTGCCGGGTCCTCTGCTCCAGCTGCTCCTTCAGGTGCTGCATGGCTTCTATCTGACTGGAAAACTGCACCAGCGACTGCAAATAAAGAAATAACGAAATAAATAACAAAAGCACAGCAGAGACACGAGAAGGAGATTAAACAAACAGCTATGCTCATTATTTCTTTGCACCAAAAACACAAAGACAGACCTCCCAGAAATGAGTCAGTAAAAACTGGGTCAAACATGATGTTCTAGCACAAATAAAATAAACACTCTACCTGGTTATTTGTCTGAAGTAGCTGCTGTTGCTGTTGCTGCTGTTGTTGCTGCTGTTGTTGTTGTTGCTGCTGCTGTTGTTGTTGTTGTTGTTGTTGTTGTTGTGTAACCATGGATGGGGCCATGTTCTGTCCTGTGTTTTGGGAGCTCATTGACTGCTGAAAGAAAAAAATACAGACATCAACAGCAGTGTGTTTGTTACCTAAACAGCTCTTTAGCCAGTCTCATACCTTCTCTCGATCAGGTAGAGGACAAAATCTGTACCTCACACCAACGCACAAATCCTTTTTTCAATTATACTCTACACTTTCTTTGTTTCTACATCAAACACTCCAACTGAGTTTTTAACAACTGCATCTTCATTCTTAAAGACATGAGCTTTGTCTTCTGTATTCCTGTTCTTTTCTCAAGGCTGCACTGCCTCTCTTTGCAAAGATGAAAATTTGTCTGACTGTCTTGAAAACGTTCGTTTTTAGAGGACATCTGGAGGCTGAATGACAAGTTCTCCTTAATCCCTGAAAGAAACAGGACACCCTCAGTGGGAGCAAACACAACAGAGAGACAGAGCCAGGGGGGGATGTTGGGATTCATCCTTTTTACTCAAACTAAATCCCTGACAAGCCAGAACACGCTCAGACAGAAATGTGACACCAGACTGCGTGTTTGTCCGCTCTCTGACCTGACTGCTGACAGACGATCTGCGCTGTGACGTCACGTCCACGCCAGAGACAGACTGTCGGCCTGGCGTGCTGCGATCGCCCTGCAGCTTCATCTGAGACACTGAGAGACAAACACAAACAGGACGCTTAAATTCAACAGACAAAGGCTGCCGCCTTAAAACAACAAGCAGCTGATCTACAAGATGACGCTCTCACAGGCAGGGTCGGACATGGCGGTGTGTGAGGATTTGCGTGAGCTGCGGGACGAGGCAGAGGGAGTCCGGCTGTGGGTGAATCGCTCCAGCGCCTCCTTCAGGCTGGGGGGGTTTTCCTGAGACTCAGAGCCTGAATCCTGGGTCTGCAGGGAGGAGAGGGAGACAAAAACAAGGTCAGAGTTTACCCCACTTTTCCTTACAAAAGACATTCACAAAAGTCGAGTCTTTATCAAACAGGAGGACGGAGAGTGGTCAGGCATTTACTAGCTGAATTTCTGCACCTTTTTTTATCCACATTACTGTAGTGGCAGATGTAGGTGCAACAGCAAGACGACCCTAATCTTCAAAAGTGTCTCCAAAAGCTTCGGTGTTTATTACAATGAGTTTTCACTTGGTCTGAAAAAAAACAACTGAGTGACAAAATCAAGTTGCAAACAAACTCCAAACTCTCACCTTGTCTACTGTGATGTCAGGTGGAGAGTTTTCGATCCCCAGCTCTCTGCGCTGCTCTGCTCTGACTTCAGCATAACTGAGGAGCAAAAACAACCATTAATGCAAAAGAAAACGCAGCTGTATATTTGTCTATTTGTGAAGCATCAGGATTTAAGTAAGAGATGGATTTTCTTCCTCCGTGTACCTGACCACAGCGTGTGTGCAGACAATGAACTCTGGTCTGGAGTTCCACTGGTGATACGTGATGTAGTAATGAGTCTGCAGCCAGATCCACTGCTGCCCTTTGGTGAGGAACCTGTAGTAACAGGACTTTCCTTTCCCATACTGCATCACTGCAGACACAGAGAGATGAAGAAGAAGAGGAGGAGGAGACTTACATGTAGAGTCTGAAAGCTGAGGATCATCTTACTGTGGTGATGTCTGACAAAGGAGGAGGACTTACAGTGTTCATGACATTTGGCCAGAGTCTCCAGGTCATCCACGTGATAGTAATCATACCCTGATGTACCCAGGACCTCAAACGGGAGGTAACCTATGATAGGGGGCGCTCTGGACAAACAAAAAAAGTATTATTACATTAAACAGCTAGCTGAAAACCTCACTTGTTATTACCATTATTAGGTGAAATTGAGGTCCACTGCCTCACGAAGAGCTCAGGGAACCTTTTCAGACTGAAGCTTATAAAAAGTCTTTATCACAGGGTCTGGACTCGTTTGCTACCATGTGATTAGATTTCTATCACAACACAAAGAGTTCACAGTCAAACCTCTAAGTCTCTTTGGCCTCAGGGAAAACTAGTTCTACTCGGATGTGTACACATATCAGTTTGTTACAGGTAAAAACAAACAAGTATACAGGAAGGTGCTCCGACTGAAAGGTGATTCAATGATTGGATAATTAAATGGTGCATTTCTGTGGCATCAGGATCTGCCCAGAGGGATCAAACTGGAATGAAAAACAAGGTCATTCACCTGTGTAGAGGTTTATGTTTGACGAATCTCTCTCTCTTTCTCTCTCCCCTGTTTTCCCCTGAGTGTGCAACAGGTGACCGAACACACAAGAGTCAGGCCTCGTCTTCACCAAGTCTGTGAGGGCTGTCCGGCTGTCAAATCTAATGAGTGAGTGAGGGATCTCTGGCAGATTTTTCGAGCCACTTTTTGCACCCTTGCTGTGAGTGCAGACTTGTTGTCAGGAAATTACCCAGAGTTCATAGTACTGTGGTATAAAACTAGGGAATACCAAAGGAAGCCTACAAGCATAAAAGGGTAAATGAACACCACAACAGAGGCAACAAAGAGGCAGTGGAGGGTGCAATGCTGACACTTGTCTTTAAGTATGAGGAGATATCACCAAGTATGACGGAGTATAAGGGCCAAATTAAGAAGAACAAAATTTGGAATTCAAGATTAAAGTCGTTAAATTATGAGAATAAAATCATTACTAACAAGAATAAAGTCGTAATAATGTAATTACTTGTTAGAATAAAGTCGTAATAAAATCATTTCTTTCGAGAATAAAGTCGTAGTAAAATCATTATGATAGGCTTCTTATGATCATGTGGTGCTGATGTGCCAAAAGATTAAGTATCTCCTTGTTTGAGAAACCTGTATTGAAGTACATTTGGTTCATTCCAACAACTGTCATCTTAAACAACAGGTTAGAGTATAAGGACTATTCTGACTTTACTCTCGTAAGTGATTACTTCACTACGACTTTACTCTCATAAGTAATTACTTTATGACGACTTTATTCGCATTAGTAATGACTTTATTCTTGTAAATTAATCTTGAAGTCTGAAATTTTTCAATCTTAATATGGCCCTAATACTCCATCGTAACCAGGATCTATCTGTCCACCTCAGCAGGGTGCTGAGAAGCTCTTTTATCATCAAATCAAAGCTTTTTTTGCCCCACTTTTCATGTAGCTTTCATATTTACTGATACAAACTAAAAGCTTTAAATTACAGGATAGCAGAAGGGGAGATATTTTGTTTTCATGTGTTGCTTTATAGTTTCAGAATGATGGAGAAAGATAATGAAAGCAGATCATGAAAAATAGAAATCCTTATACCACTCAGCAGAGCAACATAACGTTGTCCTGTCAGTGTTTTGTGAGAAGTTGCAAAGTGCTGTTCTGTTTCTATTTGCATCATTTAGCCTCATGCACTCGATTACTTTCCAGGTGACGTCATTCAGGCCTTTAAGGGCTCAGGGAAGAAAAGGAGATTCAGCCTCAGAGTAAGATGAGCAGAAGAAAGGGGGGCAGTCAGTAACTAGCTGATCATCCCACTGTGAGCGAAACAACCAGCTGAACCATAGGTATTTTTTTTATCACCACTCAAATGCTGATGAGTAAAAATAATAAGCTGGTTTGTCAAAAAAAAGTATACAATTGTGTGGTTTGGTAGTGCAATAACAATACTGAAGTGTGATGAATTCGGCCGGCAGAATTACTGCACAGTCAGAAGTACTCGCACATCACAGTTAAGCCACTGGAGCGTCATCCTGCTGCAGCCATAACAGAAACGAACACCACCACTGTGCTTCTGAACACCACACTTCACTTAGAAAGAACTCCCAGACAGTTCAGTTGACAAATAATCTGCACTTGTGTCAAACTGAACTAAAACATTACTGAAGTACTTTGAGCGTGAGCTAACACTTATGAGCTAAGCAAACAGGTGCAGCTAAACAGAGTGATGACAGCAGGCAAACGCAACACAAAAGCCGACAGAGAAATATGTCAGAGTTCAGGAATCAACACAGACCTGTGAAGGAAAACACATGAAAGAAACAGAGGGGGCAACCAAAATGAAACTCCTAAGAAAGTACCAGTGATGTTGCGTGAACCAATCACATGAAATCAAAGTTTTGCAGTAAGTGCACATCATGTTGACACTGATTGGTTTTTTATGGGAATGCACTCCTGCATATTTCTTAGTGTAGAAAAGTTTTATTAAATAAAACCTGTGCTTGACGGGGAAAAACCTAGAAGCTGTCTACTCACTCAGAGTCTTAGTTGTAGAGCACACTGGTGCAGCTTTTACATGAATAATAGATAATAAATAATAATAAAGTCAAACAACATTTCATCACATTAAACATTTAATCCCAAATCAAGACGCTGCTAGGAATTGTTTTCACATTTTGATGCAATGCAATGAATTGAAATAAAAAAAAAAAGATCATTTGACACTCTCTGTAATATCCAAATATCAGTCTGTAGAATCGATTTCTCACAGTTTCTGCATCTGTCTGCTGTTCTTCAATGCAAAACGTCCCCCCAGGATCCACCATAAATTCAAAAGGCTTTTTTCTCCCTCCATTTAATCTGCATCAGTTAATCCCAGTGTAGCTGAGAGCCAGTTTAGCTTCATCTGAGTGCATCTTAACACTGTAAAAGCATACCTGAGCCAGAGTAAACATGTCAGGTGTGAAAACAGCCTCATACCACACTGAGTGCAAAAACACACAAGGTTGACCTAAACATCAAAGCAAAAAGGTACTGCACGGATCCACACAGTAAACACACACACACACACACACAGACAGTATACCTGTGGTCCAAAAAGAGAAACTTCCACTCTAAACTGTGCCTGGAGGTGAATTCCTCATTAGGTTCCTCTACAGTGCACATCTCCTGAGAGACACAGAGGAAAAAAGAAAGAAGAAATTATCACATTGTCTTATTTCATTTACAGAAATATGTACTACCACTGATAAATAATATGTGACACTTTCAGTATGAACATGCAGGAAACCAGGCAAGCTTGTTCAGCTAGATTTAAAGTCTGTGCTGACTGCCATCCTCTGTTCATCTCTGCTGCATAAATTTGGATTTAGTTTCTGGCTCCTCTTTCTTTCAGTTTCAGTACAAATGTCCTGTTCCATAAAACTGATGAATCATTGTGTGAATTCATTCCACACTCAATTTCCCACAGAGTAAATAAAGTACACTGAAGCTCTTTGACTCAGCTGGGAGGGAGACTTTAGAGGGAAAGAGACAAAGTGCTTTTAAATCAAGTAAAACTGGCCGATAGAGGCAGCGGGGGACCGCACACAGACAGGAGCCCAAATGCGTCTCTGCATGGGGTGACTGGGAAACTGGGCGCTGTCCTATTTAAAATCTCTTTCTACAAACCCTGAAGCATGAAACTGAATGTGCGTCAGCCAGATTAAAAGACTTTAAGGTGGGGATAATGATCCTCACCTTGATAAACTGTGGTTTGGCAAGCCGCACGGTCGCTATGAGACACACTCTGTCCTCGAGGGCGGACTGAAGAGACCGCTGGATCACTCCATCAAAGCTGTTTCGGTTACAGTTAGGCACTGACGACAATCAAAGACAGAAGAGTTAGACCTCACAGCAAAAGAAAATCAAATTTCAGAGCATTAAAGAAGAGAACTCACCATTATTCAGGGACTTAAAGTTTCCTATAAACTTCACATATTCATACACAGGAGGCTCTTTGGGGTTGAGTGTCCCTCGGAGCATGTGGCAACAAAACTCCAGATGATTTTTTGCTGCAAAATATTCAAAAACACAATAACTTTGATTGAAACAGAGTAATGGCACATCTAAATATTCTAGGAAACAGAGTATTGTATAACTACATATATATCTTTCTTTGTGGTCTGTAGCATGGATGTCCTGTGTTTGTAACAAGTGCAACAACACCTTATGTGCAGTAATATTTTTGGTATAAAATATCCAAACCTGCAAAATTTATATTACAATGATATTTCATGTGCAACACTATCTAAGTGGTGATAAGCATTGAATGTACAATATTATCAAGAATGCAATGCACGATACAACATAATGAGTGATAATATTGATGTGAGAATTGACATTTCGTGCAATAATAGTCGTATCAGCATGAAGATTAGATGTGCAATAATGTTTTTGATGCATAAGCTTGGGTGAATACTCAACTCATGGTGCAATAACAATAAAGAAATCTCATGTGCAATGTTTAACATTCAGACTACATCATTATTCATGGAGAATTAACATTTAAAACAATATTATGTATGATGCTTCAAACAATTGGTTGTCATACGTTGTTGGCTAGCAATAACATTTCAGTTGCAGTGACATATAATGTGGAACTTTATTCTTGTTGTCCAAAGACATTCAATGTGCAAAGGCATTTGATGAGCATTAAAATGGAATGTTAAATATGCAATAACATCCTTGTGAGGTGCAATAAATAGGCACAAAATTCAAGACTACAGTTAATGAAATTATTTTCCTTCTTGATTATTTTCATCTAGCTAGATATGCACACATATGTTTCACTGAACGCATGTGAGTACTTAACAAATGTTATTCCTTTCTTTTATTCTTAGAAACACAATACATTTAATGTAAACTGTGTACAGACAATAAAAGCAATTTATTCTGTTCATGTCAATTTTAGTCTTTAGAATCCAACTAAAATGCTGAATTTAGAATAAACATCTCTTACTTTTCATATAATCTGGTGTAAGATTCTCTCCCTCAAGGATATGAGACGACAGAGCTTTGTAGACGTCTGAGTGTTCTCCTTTGGGCAAGAAGTTTAAGAGGTTCTGATCCACGAGATCAGACTGAAACACAGAGAAAGAAAAATATCAATTTAAGAACAAACTGTCTTAGTAAAGGACTGAGAACCTCCAAAACTGGCCCTCTTTTTTTCACAGATTTAGTATTGTAAATAACTTTCAAGTACAAAAAGTTTAGGGATTGCTCCAGTGGAGTGTAGGATATTTTTATCAATCTCGTGTTTTTGTCACTGACATGCTCTGATTGTTCTTCATAGAGTCTGCCAACATTACAGAGAGGAACCCTCCAGAGATACACCTTTCAGTGAAATAGCTATTTTTGAAACCACACATGGTTGTTTCATGGCCCTCTGCAAAGTTAGTGATACTCCATAGACAGAAACAATAATCTCAGGAATTTCAAAAAAGAGATTTAATTCATCATGGCATTATCAACAACCTGCAGCCTAGGCTCAGGAATAAACAGGGAATACAATCACAGCTACAAAGGTCCTAGAAAATGTCATAAACACTCTAATACAGGGGTTCACTAAAATTGTTTTGTTTTTCCCCAAAAACTGTTTAGTGGTGTCAAAATTACCTGACTGATAGGAAGCAATGAGTCAAAGTTGAAGGTTTGGACTCTTATTTTTTAAATACAAAAAATGGTGTTCCACAAGAGTCCATTTTGGGACCTATTTGATCTATAATTACAATAACTTGTGTTGTAATACGACTTTACAATTATCTCCACCAGTATCTCCACTGGAGGGCACAGAGACACACTGGAGGGTTAGTTTCATGACAGATTTATAAACAGATTAGGGGTGCACAAGGATGGTGTTCATTCAAACACAGAACAGATAAAATGGAGAGAATTCTGATAAGAAGAAAAAAAAGGAGCTAAATCCTCAGAGACAAACAAGATAGGCGACAATAATCAGCCAAATGCTGCCGGCACTCACGTGGATTTGTAAAAGTTGCACCAGTGAAACATGAAGCACTTCATTTTTTTATACAGAGTTGCAGAGAAACCTCACACCCTTTCGAACAAATTGACAGTAGATTATATTAAGGTTCTATGAAGGGGAAAAAAAACACTCATTCAGAAAGGAAGTAATGTGACAAAACGTAGAGTAAAATTGAGGTTGCTCCTTTTAGCAAAAATATCAAGTTTTCTTTCATTTCAAAACTGCACACACACTGATGTAGCAGTTTAGAGAAAAATGTCATTAAAAGCATTTTGTCAAAGTTGAAACAAAGACTGCTTTTTTTCCTGGCGTATAGCAAATTTTCATAAATCTTCTGTTTTGAAAACAAATTGTATTTTTGTAGCAATCAAAATCCACAAGTCAAAAGTGTTTAGTTCCATTTCTTTGGGGAAGTTTATTTTGTAGCACAGTAATTGCAATTCTTTTTAAAGTTCAATTTTTTGTGAAAAAGTACAGTGTTACACAACTGAAATTACAGAAAAAGCAGGGAAATAAAATGAGAAATGTCAACGACCTTGTTGACGTACCAACAAGTCCAAAATATTTCACTCTTTAAAAGGGTGCATGGCAGAAAACGTTTGGAAACACTCTGTTGACCTCCCTACTGAGGGGAATGATGTCCAGATGAATCTTTGTAAACAAAGGCTGATGGTTTTCAATACCAGTAAGACAAAAATGAAGTTCTTTCTGCATGATCTGCCTTCTTATTTATGCTCCTTACTGACTCCTAAATCTGGCAGCGGCTTCACTCTCCAGCCTCATAAGTTCTGAGCGTCATTCCCTAGACCCGCTTCGTCTATAGAAAAGGTGTTTCTCATATTTTCGCTCCCTCATCCTGGTGTGAATTACAAGGTCAGCCAAGACTGGGTCATTTTATTAGTTTACAGAATTTTGAAACCAGGATTAAGGATCACCTAGCTGGTGGATGCACATTTCACTACTGAGGGCTGAGGATTGGATGCTTTCTGGTTATTTGTTATTGTCTGTTGATTGCGTTGCTCCTTGTGTGAGACTTTCTGAGCCACTGTCTGGGCAACGACAACCTTGAACAAGAGATTTTGTATCTCAATGGGAATATTCCAGGTAAAATAAATATTTAAAAAATAGGCATTTAAACCTCAATAATAATAATAATGAAATTAAAATAATATGGCACGTGTGAAATGACACAAGAAGCCCCTTTGGCTGAATGATACTCACAGGTAAGTGTTCCAGCAGACAGGTCACACTCTCAGAGGCGTAGATTATGTTCCCATCAGTCATAATTGCAAGGAAAAAGCCATCCAGTGCCTGAAAGGAGCCAAATCTCATCATTTTTGTCATGTTCTCGTTCATGAGAAATAATGAGAAAAAGGACAGTCTACAGTAAGACATATCTCACCTCCAACATCAGCTGAGTGAACTCTTCATTACTAAGAAAAGAAGGCTTCCAGTCCTGTCTGATCTCTGTGGACACAGACTGAGCAGCGATTTCTAAAAAGAAAAACATAAGACATGCTCATCTGAAGAGCCTGACACACAGATCAGTTGATCATCTATCTGTTAGCCCCTTTCTCACCTTTGTGTTTGTGCAGGAAGTCGATGCTCTTCTGTAAAATAGTGGACTTGTCCATCTTGCGGGTGTTTCCCGGCAGCATGGTGCCCAGCTCTTTGATAAGGCCATTGAACTGGTCTCTGCGCTTCTTCTCCAACTTGTTACGGGACACGCTGCAGGTTTACACACAACAAAAATAAAGCTATATAAACGGCAATTCATCAACACTATTGTTTTTAATATTTGCAAAAGTGGCAAATGAGCCAAGCTTAACGTTCTACATTCAAATAAAATTAAACAACACGAACGCAAAGCACAGGGATCTGACCGTTTGGCTTTGTCCTTGTCATCCTCGTCATTGAACCCATCATAGATACTGCTGTCATCCCTGCAGAGCAAACAGTGAAAGAGCCTCTTTCACTTATTTCCTCTTATCTTTATAAACTCTTAAGATAGCTGATCCCAGGCAATCATCCTGTCAGTAAACTTCCCCTTTACACTATAAGGTTCAACTCTCTACCCTCAACAGGTAATAGGTGCAGTTTTCTCTCCTGCATTTTGGATGCATTCAAGGACGCCAGGAAAACGAAACACTGACTGTCAACATTAAGAGATTAAAGTCTCAGAGTAAATGTTTAATCTAGAACAGTTTGTTGGCTGACTTTTATGTTAATAGAGGGACATTGATCCTGAGTCGTCATTATGGTGGATTATGTTCCTCATGCTTTTGCTCTCCATACAGGCTGTTTTTCCTGCTGACACCTGATTGGTCACTATTCACTTTGAATGTACTATAAACAAAACCCACAGCACCTCCAGCATTTACTGGAAATCCAGACTGCTGCAGACAGATTCTCTATTTCAATAAGTTTAAAAAATAGATGGTTCATTAGTGCACAAAAAGCTGAAGGGTGTGAAGTATTTGACTCACCGGTCAATGCTGGAGGTCATTTTGTCTCCTGTTCAGGGTCTTGGTGTTGGAGAGGGGTCTTTTAACCGTGAGGTCGACATTTGTGAATGAACCTTTGAAGAAAAAACACAACGTGAGTTCAGAGCTTTAACCCAGTGGCTCCAAACAGAAGGAAGATCAGATAAAATCTACTGACAGCAGAGTCAGTCCTGTGAGAGGGTGAGGAGGCTGCTGCTGGATGAAGATGGGGTATGCTTTGACAGGCTGTGATGGAGCTCATCAATCAGAGGGCAGGGGGCTGAGGAGGTCTCCACTGGGTTGAGTTTTCCTTCTGTTTCCTGTGTGAGTCCAGCACATGGTGGCAACATCTGCGCCTGAACGAGGTCAGAAAAACATATTTTTAAAAAATCAAACCATGCTTTGTATGCTGGTGTGGGAGATATGTGAAAGAAAAAAACCGTCTAGTATCAACTTTTCTATTGAGGTGCATATTGCACTAGAGACACACCGTTTGTGAAAATCAGAGCCAGTTCTGGTGGTGATGTTTAATATATTTATTTAGCTGATGCTGGCAGCTGATACCAACGGTTTTTGCATCACTTCTCTGTATTTTTTGTGTCTTAATGAGCAAAGAGATTTGATATGTGTAAATAGTAGGGCTGGGCAACATGACCTCAAATCAATATCACGGTATATTGAGCAGTTCACCTCGATAACGATAAATGGACGATAACTACTCCACAAGCTGCGCTCCCCCTCCCACATTAACTTTATCTACTTCAGCCGCTGCTCCAGCTGCTACAACTTTTGAACCATCTTCCATCTCCTCACCTGTCTTTCCCTCTTTGTTATGAACTGGATGAGGTGGAGTCACATCTCTGATGTAGGACAGCGTCTTAAAAGGGACATGAAACCACAGCCTACCTACACACATCCAAAACCAACTTTTATTTATTTATTTTTCGGACACCAAGTATATTGACATGGGCAAAATGACGTCGGTTATAGTAAAAAATTTCAGTATCGGTAAATTTTCATTTTTTCACCCAGCCCTGGTAAATAGTCACTAATCTCTCCAGTAAAGTCCTCCTTCAAATGTCTCTCAAACATGAGGACTTCTTCTGACCAGTACACATTTTTCTGAATTGTAGTAAGGCATAAGCTGTAATGAGGTTAAGTTAAAATTGGATATAAAAGATATAGATTTACTTACAATACGTAATGCATGGCACATTGTTTGCCAAATCCCTACATTCCTGCTCATATACAACTATATTTCATGAACCCAAACTGTCTACATGAGGATCACAAACTAATGGAATAAAACACAAAAAAACAAAAAGTGCCAGATCTCGGAAAGTAAAAAGAAGTTAAAGGAAAATTACAGCATGTGAGGGAAATCCTCAGCAGGACCGAGGCTTTTGTTCTGATCTAAAAATAAAACAGGGTGAGGAATTCAGCGGTGGCAACGTACACTTTCATGTTGACACATAAACTATGACAGTGACAGGAGAAGTATGTTTCCTTATGGTGTGTTAGTTACCAGGTGCAAACTTTTCATTTCATGCTGCCTGCATGTCACACTTTAGACACTGAGAGGCCACAAAGAGCAGCTGCTTATCTCAGATCACAGTTTTGTCAACACTAGCAGAGAAATGAGGTCTAAAAGGGAGAGGAGAGTCATGGTGCTGAGTGAATCTGCACGGAAAATCTGTCAATGAGTCACAGAAAAGAACCACAAAAGACAAAAAAAGGCATATAGGGTGCCAGGGAATCAAAAAAAAACAGAGGAAAATTTGTAGCAGTGACTCCGGTGTATGAGCGGCAGCGGTGCAGCGTGAGCGTTGTGTAAGCGGTGAGAGCAGAGGTTGTATAACTGTGATGTCATCCGTGCTTCACTGACCTGCTGCCCCAATGACCTACTTTCCTCCTCCTCCTCCTCCACCTCCGATCTAACTGAATCACAGCTCCACAGGAAACACCTCATGTTCTCACTAATAAACACCGCTCGCTCTGTCGGAGAAAGGGCTTTAAAAGTGAAACAAAAGGTGTGAGCCAGGTCCCAATCTGCCCGCGTGCAACAATTATCTGTTTAATCACATGACAGGCTAAAGCGCCCGAGTGTTTTCTCACCCTCAGGGAAAGAAAAGCAGCAGCAGAGGAGGAAAAGTGCAGATATTTACCTGCTCATTCTCTGTTTCTAGGAAAGTAAGCCAAGTACGCTTGAAGATGTGTTTTTATCAGCACACATCTCACATGCAGGAACGCATCCAATCATCAGCAAAAAGATATCAGGCATCATTTTCTATTCACACAGCATTGTTGAATGTCTCAAAGTGTTTGTGTGGGGGTGTGTGTGCGGAGATGTAGGGCAGCACAGCTTTGAGGATATGAGTCACTCTAAAGTGGATCTGTGGTGCCTCTTGTCACGCACCCCGCCACACCCCTCGCCAAGATGCCAACGCAGCCACCGTGCCAACGGAAAGCACCATGACAACCGGGCTCACCGTGCAGAGAGGAAACAACCTGACTGACTTCATCTGCAGCTGATTCTCTCTCTCCTTTAGACTCTGAGACACACCAGACGACACAGAATCCAAACTGTGTCATGCTGACCCGTGCGGCTCCACAGCAGCAGCATGAAATCATTAATTTTGTGTTCTCTCTTGAATTATGTGGACAGAACCACCCACCAGAACCCCTGCTGTTCTCACACTGACATGAAGCAGACTCTCCCCACTGCAGACAGCAAACTGAACCGCAAAATTATGCAAAAAAATGAGTTTCCCCTCATGAATCAGGCGGCTCAGACATTCAAATGAAGAGAAACGCAACCAAATCCAAAGTCAAACACAGACGAGTAATCCAAACACACCAGGGATGCAGCGCTTGTTTTCTTTCTGCTCCAGCAGACAGGATAATATCTCTGTGTATGAGAGGACGGCTCTGATGAGAACACAAACGACTTGTTGATTTGCAGAGAGTCTTCAACACAGAAGCAGACTGAAGATTCATACAGTGTGTTTCCCTCTTCTTTTAATTTAAAGGTACAGGCTGGAGAATTCAGCAGCATTTATTAGGAGGACAGACCTGGAACTACCCCATTATAAAAAGTATTTTGTCAACACATAAACTTTGAATAATTACATATCTTGAGGGGCAGACCCCTTTCCATACAGGCTGCCATTGTGGCACAAAATAACAAAGAGGTTATTTTTCTAATCCAGTCCAAAATGCTCAGGATGGATGACAAAAAAAGAGTGTGGTAGTTGTTGCGCACAAAAAAATATTCAGTCAAAATAACTTCAGTCAAAGAGACATATCTATTTCCATCATATCTATTTCCACAGAGTTAGTTATATTTAGTGTAGTGGCTCTGTTCTCTGAGCTCCCTCTTTCTACTATAGCACAGAAAGGACAAACCAGTAACATGTGGGTTTTGGTATTTAGTCTGAGATGCACCAGTTGTTTTTGTGCACAAAAGGATTTCAGTCATAACCTCTTTATCCCAAGTGGATAGTCAAGGGTTTGCTTCAGACCTTTGGCTCCTTCCCTTGAGGTTTCTCCTCACGTCCTACCCCTATCTCCCCTACTATCCTCTCTGTGATCTTATTGATTTCATTATTTTTTTAAAGCTCCCATGAGGAATTTTCTGAGAGCTCCCTGCCCTTCTATGTGCACACATGGAATACCAAAGCTTGAGGTGGGGAAAGCACACTTCCCCTCTCTTTTATGTGGATATATATGAAAAGCCAAGGTGGGGGGAGCAGCAGCAAAGACGGAACAGGAAACAGAGCAAAGCAGGAACCGACCCATACGACACTGCTTAAGTTAGGGCAGCTGGGGTTGTGGTGGGTTGCAAAGCAGTTTGCAGTTTTCCTGCTTTGCTTCAGCTGAGCTCTCAGCTGATTTGGGCTTTTAACTAGCATCGGCTGATGTGCAGTGGACTGAGCTTTATCTGTGCACCAATTAATTTGTATCTATAGTAGGGCTGGGCAATAAATAGAAAATTTACTGATAACGAAATTTACGACAATAACCAACGTCATTTTGCCAATGTCAATATATTCTGTGTCAAAAAAAAAGTAAATAAATAAAAGTTATGCATCAAGCCTCACTACTGGTGCGGTTAGCATGGGCTTATCTGACTGTTTTCTTGTTCTCAATACCTTTAAATCCACACACTGTACCTTAAAAACACAGGGAAGCATTGAAATCATTTCACAGTGGTAACAAAGCACAATTATTGTTATTTTCTGTAATTACTATTATTATCATTATTATTATTACAGATTTAATTTCTGGTGCCCCAGATAACAGAGCATCCACAAATCAGCATTTCTTCATCTGTTTCTGCTTTATGAAAAAGTGTAATTAGGGCATCAGCAAAAGAGGGGACACTGAGTTGTTTTTAAATCATGAGTAATTACCCACAGAACTTCAAAAGTTCATAGTTTGGATATAGGAGAAAGGTAAGTGACAGTATCTTTACTGATTATAGTGGTACGAAGTGTTAACTCTTGGCAGAAACCACTTCAATATTGTGCAGCATTGATAAACACTGATAAGATAAAGACTCTAACTGTTGCAGCACCTAGATTTACCCCTGAAGGATGGCCAAATACTACTAGCTGATGGAAAATGTGTCACTTACTGTACACTATTTGCACTGTTTCCCCCAAATACTGACCACAGCTGGTTAATAATACAGCAAACACAAGGTCACATTAAAGTGTAATGCCTTATTTGGCTGCATTTAGTAACTAAAAGGATCAACCTGACAGCTCTCACGTTCAAATAAAGTTAAAAATTAAACATGGTCTAGGTCAATCATCCTATCTGAGGCAGCGTTGTGGCCAAGCTTCCTCAAAGATGTTATTTTCTCATTTTGAGGGTTTGAGTGTTTTCCATTGAATGCTGCTGAGGATGGTTTTAATAAATGTCTGGATCTGCTGGCGTTCAAATCTGCCAAACAAGCTGCTTAAGACTGCAAAGCATACATCTGCACAGACAGGCGTACCAACCAAGCCCTCCACTCTGCACACCCAGCTGTGTTTCCACTCCATGCACAGACATCCATCGACCCGCTGACACAAAAGAACTCATTGTTTCACGTTTTTCCTCCACAGCTCACAACAGGAATATTTGAGAGGCCGGCAGCAGCAGCAGCGGCTGGCAGGGGCCCCTCGACTGCTGCTCGCCTGCTGTCCCAGGAGAGTGGGGACGCAGCCAGGGGCCTGATGCCAAGTGGGTCAGTAGAGTTCAGAGGAATGACTGGCAGCACCAGAGAGGCAATCAAGACTGAGTATAGACTTCAAGCCCAGTGAAACCGCAGCCCACCATCAAAATATGTCACCCACATGTGACTGCCGACTCTTCATCTGGAGTGGAAATGCTTCACATGCTATTCAGGAACGTAAGAGCCACATTTAGACGCCACAGTAGTAGATGGAAAAGATGCTCAGACAGTCAAACAGTTGGGGGCATAAATACAGGGTTTGTACTGCTTTTCAAGAGCACACAACTCTGACATTTAACAATTCTGAGGCTCTTTGCCATCAAGCAATTCAGTCCATCGATTTTCATTTTCAAAAGGACACAAAAAAAAAAGGTTCCAGTACATTTCACTTCTGCCCAGGTGCCTTTTAATAAGAACTAGATTAAAAATTCACAGCTTTAACTGTGTATTACATCACTTATGAGTCCAAAATAGTATGTGTACAAAACAATAACTGACGGCAATTTTTCAGCACCGAGGACAGTGCACGTCACATGTTGAAATTCTATCATTGTACTGTAAAATGGAAAATGTACGCTCATTTTAAATTTGATATGGCCAACATGATCCTAAATATTCAGGACAGGCATGATGAAACACTAAAAGAATTAAGAAATGCCAGAAAAAAACAAATAGCTGGAGGAACATCTCCAACTAATGAGGTTAATCTACAACAGGTCAGTAACATGACTGGATATAAAAAGGACATTCAGAGAGGCTGGGACTCTCAGAGGAAAAGATGGGAGGAGGTTCACCACTCTGACTGAGACTGAGACTGAGTGAGCTTTTAGGTCAACAGTTTCAGAATAATGTTCCTGAGTATCAAATGTGATAAAAATGAGTGGATCATCATCTACAGAACATAATATTATTAAAAGATTCAAAGAATCTGGAGAAATCTCTGTACTCAAGGGACAAGGACCAAAACCAAGACTGGATGGTCCTGATCTTCAGGCCCTAAGGCAGCACTGCAATAAAAACAGACAGGACTCTGTAAATCACTGCATGGACTCAAAACCACTTCCGTTGCATTCACAAATGAGATTAAACAGTACTATAAAAAAAGGAAATTGTATGTCATCATGGTCCAAGATTTATCTAGGTCTCAGTGTGTTTAAGATAGACTGAGGCAAAGTGGAAAACTGTGCTGGTGTCGTAGGAATCAAAATTGGACATTTGTTTTGGGAATCATGAATACAGCATTCTCCACTTTGGAGAGAGGGCTTTTCATGGCTTGTTATCAGCTCCCAGTTTAAAGCCAGCATCCCTGATGGTATGGGGATCATAAAGATCAATTTTATGGGTATCTTCCACCTTCATATTTCAGCAAGACAAAGGCAAACCTGCATACTGCAGGGATTAAAACAGCACTGTAGTAGAAGAGTCCTGCTGCAGTCCTGACTTGTCACCCATTGAAGACATCTGGAACACACAACAATTGCTGCAATCATATGATTGGACCTACCAGGATGGATGTTGGTACCTGGTATGAACAGAGCCTATGAGAATTCATCCATGACCTTTCCCATAAGACTTTGCATGACACTCCAGTAAATGAAACTGCGCAGAGTCTTGTGTTAAAACATACCCAGCCCACTCTGTGCAGGCTAGAACCCCATTTTATTGACTGCAGTTAATCTAAGATAATTACAGTACTCCTCCACTCACCGTTCTGCTGTGCACTGCAATAAAAAGTTTTCTCAGTCTACCTACAATTAACTTTTTATGTTACCTGTGTATTATCATAAACTGAGTGAGTGTTTGACAGTTGGCAGACAAACAGGTGCTTTGAACACATCCCACAATCTCATGAATCATCTTGTAAATCAATGATTAGAGAGTTCAAAGACCTCATGTTTGAAAAGAATTATCATGTTATTTTTTCATCAAATGTCACTCAGCCTACTCAAGAATTTCAAGACATTATGAAATCATAATAAATCTTCATCGCTCTGGCATGATGGAAACTTCAGATACTTTCAGTGACGCCACATAAAAGTCTGAACCTATCTAAATAACAGCTCAGAGTTGAGCATTGATTTACCAATCCTATCAGACTAAAATGTGTACCATAAAATTCTCTCAGAATTATTTTAAGGCTGCAGATTTGACTTACAAAAGACTGTCAACAGTGCATCACATTTCCATGAAATGCAGGAATTGATCCTTTCTTGCCTTCGACACATGCCAAACAAGATAATAGTTTCTCTCAAATGTCTTGCTGCAAGATTGCATCTGTAATTGTAATGATCCCCACATGTTAGAACAACAAACTAATGTTGCTGCCCTGCCTTTGCTGGATCCACAAACTAATTAGACTTCATTTATTTAAGTTCACTTCGAGTTAAACCTCGTACTGGATTCCCATATTGACCTAGAACTGTGACAATTTTGTTCAACTAAATGAATAAATTTCTTCTCTCTTGCTTCTACAGCTCTACTACCTGAATGTAAAAAAGCATAGACAGCATCTCATACTGCAGTCTGTTAGTATTTTGAACTAGAAAACTGAGACTAAGTCGTATGTAGGATGTGTCAAGTTTCTGCTAACATTAGCCACACTCGGCAAACCAGTCTGCCTTTGTCTCCATGTTAAATAGATGGCACTCGATTTTGACTCTGAACCAAGTTTTATGTCACCTTATAATGTTGATTATACATGATCTTTTACATAAATTCAGATTTTTATATGAGGTGTCTGTAATGATGACAAAAGAGAGTATTTGAAGCAAGTGAATATTAAGACTCAGGACTTATGAGGACTATCACATTCAAGACTCTAGAATTTACCCTTTAGGATAGTGAGGGAGACATACTTAAAGCAAAGAAGTACGGTACATATTAAGAGATATTCAAGGACAAGGAGTTTGTCTTATTCATATGAAGGCTTTTTTCCACAAGCACACACACCTCACAATAGCAGGACACGGACGCCTCTATACATGAGAAGACTCTTAAAATACTCCAGTGACTCAGGAAAAACCCTTCAGCTCCATATTGGGGAGGAAAAACAACAGGCTGCAGATTAAATAAAGGAAAACATTGAAATATAAAAGCCTCCAAAGACTGCGCCAAAGCTCAAACCAAATCAGAATTCAATCTGTGAGGTCCTCCATGTCTTACCTTCAGTCTGAGTGATGGTTAATGGAGTAACGGCTTCGCCTGATGACACATCACTCTGCAGGAAGCTCCTCTCTGAATTCTTCACCTGCTGAACACAAAGAGGAAAACTGCATGAAAAACTCACATCACTGAATCACAACTAAAACATCTGAGTCATCAGCCTCGCAAAACACTGCAGGGATACAAGAACAGCTCTGAGCACACACACACAAACACACACACACACACACACACACACACACACACAGGCCATCCGCTTCGATAGAGGTCTATTGTCAGAAATCTGCTTGTAAGATTATTTGATTGTAAACTTTCTGTTTTCTCCTATAATGAATAAAACTGTGAAAGTACTGCAAAAATATATATACTGTATGCAGACATTTGAGAAGTGTGTGGAGGAGTTTTAGCATCAAATGCACCAAAAAAATCCCTCTCATTTTAAAGGATTTAATTATGAAATTTAAAGGTGGAAACCTTTGCTCTGGTTTGAGTTCATTTGTTTGAGAAAAGTTTCATTCAGCTCCTGTTAAAAATCGAACAGATGCTCAACCTTAAAATAAACTAAATCACTGCTAATTCGAATTTCCTGTTAGTGAAAAAAATCCAAAAATATCCCTTTTTTTTTCAAAGAAATCTATGATTTATTCTTCCTTTGGCTGGATTTATTTATCTTTCCTTTTAAAAAATACAGGAGCACAAGCATGATGAGCTAACATGATCATGTTTTCAAGTTCAGATTTGTTCCTTTAAAGCAGATTGGTGGTTCCTCCTAATGCTATCTCAGATTACTAATCCCTGTGAGTTTTAATGCAGCCTAAGATAAGGACAGAGAACTCTGATCATTCTGTAATCTTTCTTAAAACTCCACTTTTCAGAATAGCTCATCTCTTCTTCTCACTAACTTCTTAATTCTTTCCTGTAACTCTGTGTTTTTCATACTTGGTTTCAGATGTTTGTTGATCTGGTTACAACAATTAAAAGTTCAGTCCCACATTGAACGATCTGGACTCAAAAATGCAACAATTTTTTGGTCCCATGTGCTCCAAATATTTAATCGGTGTAACTCCAAAATAACTAGGGAGCTTCAGAGGCAACCTCTGTATTCATTTTGATTAGTAATGCCTGCAAAAGTTATTTTCAATTTAGAATCAGTAAGTTTTAACAGCATTAGCTATATATCAGCTTTAAATGCATGGGCACATCCAAACAGCACTCTATTAATTTATTATCTATGAAATGTTATCATCTACACAAAAAAAGAAGTCAAAAATTATTTGTGATGGAGTTTATCAATCAATTTAATATGTAACAATTTTACTGATAAGGCAAAGAAGCAGACTCACTGCAAGTGTCCTGTAAATTTGATTGAGAGGATAGACCTTGTATTTTTGCCCAAATGATTTTCATTACAAGTGCTTAACTGATTATAATAACTGAATTTCAATTACATCAAAACAAGGTAAATGTACATTTAAGTTAGCAGTTTTATTCAGAAAACTAACAGTTACCACATCTGAGTGTATTCGTTAACCTGCACCTACAAATATGGTGGACGCACTGGTGTGTGGCTGTAGCAGGAGATCACGGCTATACGGGCGTCTACGTCTATTTGCTCAACAGCAGCCACACTGACAAGTCTGCCTGCAGTGTCTACAGATAATAGCAGTTTTTTTTTTAAACAAGTATCACGAGGACAGGCATCAGCTGAAATAAATCTGCCTGATTAATCGTCTGGTCTAATTGATCTGTCTCTGGTTCAAACCCACTGTTCCATCATAAAAAACCACACTGCACACTAAAACTCATCTTGCATTTAACCCAGTTATGTTTGAAGGCAAAAACATGTTCTAAATTCAGGTTTTTATTGTTGTATTTTGACATTTGAGAGTATTGACACGTTCAAAAGGAGAGACTGAGTAATTGTGAGGTTCATTCCCCAATCAGCCAACAAATTGGTAGCGAATCAACAACAACAATAGTTGTTGGCTGGTTTATCCGTCATTGGTCATAAAGTCGCAGTTGTACTGAGTGTAAAAAAACGCAGGGGTTGGCATTGCAACAGAAACCACCGTTATTTTTTGCTACATGACAATGAGACCATAGGATTGCAATTAAAAATCATTTATAGTCAACTGACTTGCAGAGTATTCTACCAATATTTCAATTAGTTCGTAAAGTATTGTTTAAAAAAAAAACATAACTATTGCTTATCAGAAGTTCTTGGTTCTCAAAGTGATGTATTTGGTGATTTTTTTTATTCATAACTCAAACATTGTTCATTTTTCTGTTATTGATGATGAAAAGAAACTGTTCATATGAACACTTAGTAAAAAGTAATGGTTTATCTAGATAGGTGGAGATCAATTTTATTTCCCTCTGCAACTGTAGCTCTGCAACAGAAAGTTGCTTGGAATTAAGCCATATGAACTCTATTTGCACTTGACTTAAACCCTTCTTTCCAAGCTACAACATGGTGCACAACAAGTGACTAACTTTAAAGACCTAATAATGACAATGATACGTTGTAAGGGTGTGTAATCTCACAAATCATACATAAATACTGTGCAAAATAATTTTCCAGAAAAACAAAATAAAAACTGTGAATATGGATTTATATTGCTTGTGTATATATGCATATACAGGTGCATGCATTTTTGTGTGTGCCCGTGTGTGTTTTTCTCCTGAGTCTCCTTAATATTTCTTGCAGAAAGATCCAGCCATCAGCTCAGTAACCCATTTTCACCAGTTCAGAAGTTCATCATCAAACCTTCTCTGCCTCCCTCTCTGACTCCTCTGCAGCATCACTGCAATAGCTCTGCACACACAGAGAAACCTCTAAAGCATGAGTCAATTTACAAGTAAGGGAACTTTGTCTTGGCGTTCTGGTGTGTTCTAAAGTGTGTTAGGACACAAAAAGTGAAAACTGCTGACAGGATTCCTCTCTGCTCTCAGAGAAAGGTCAGACTGACAGAAACAGTCGGTGTGGAGGAGGGATTTCTCTGCAGCAGCTCTCTGTGGACAAGTTTCTGTTGTTCAGAGTTCAAACTAATTTAACTGTTATCTCTCCTAAATGTCTGCACTGTGACAAAATCACCTTTGTAAGCTTTTTATTCCAGCACCTCTCTGGTAGAGGCCATTCAAGCTTTGCAAATTCACATTTTTATGATGTTTTTATTAAATGTCGGGTCTGGAAATGAGTTCAAGAATAACACTTGTGTTGTTATATCTCACGATTTAATCTACCCGAAAGCTGTAATGTTGTCCAAAAACACCTCACAAACACATAAAAGACTCATAGAGTTGCTCAGAGTGAGTTATTCCTTCATTACATTGAACATGGTCAGAGCAGAAGACTAAAAAAATAAAATCAGCTCTGCAGAGATCAGTTTTCTGAGGGTTTGATGTAAATAATGAACATTCACTTTCAACAACAGCTCAGAAAAAAACAACCCTGCAGCTACGGCAGCACAGTGAGCTACGGGGTCAAAGGTTTGCCATTAAAATAAGAACTAGATAAGGATTTTGACTTATGTTGCAGTAGAATAACACATACAATTTAAAAGCATATTAGACACAAAAAGACAACAAAAAAATGCAAAATTAATCCTAAAAACTACTAATTATTTGTAATTTCTTATATTTAATATTTGTTGATAGGCCTATAATTTAAAAGACTTTATAAAAGGTGATTGACTGTATTGTTGCATACAGTTTTTCATTTTTCTATTGTGTTTCATCTGTATTGCTTTAATCACTGATTAAATTTATCTTAAAGGTTTCATTATTGATGCCTTTGACACGTCTCTTTGGAGTTGTATTGATTGTGAAAAACAGGACATGAATTTTAAAAAATCAATAACCAAAGAAGCGCTTAGAGTTTAAAAGAAGTTGGAAGTAAATAAAATTATAATTTCGGAGTCATCTTACACTATCTAGTCGAGTAGTGAATATGTTATATACCTGGTGTGTTAACAGGTGTGTGTCAGGTCCAAGTTAGACCTGCAGAGAAGTCGGGGAAGAAACGCAGGAGCTACACTTCTTGCATTAATCACTTAGACAACCCCTGAAAAATACGCAGTACAGGTGTGAAGGGCAGTGCAGGTGAGATGCACACAGCTGTCAGGTGATCTCCTGTCCGTAATCAAGAAACAAGCCCGGGAACAGCTCATCTATCGGCCCCCCCGCTGCCGCTGAAGCCGGCCGGCACAGCGGGCTGTGATTCCCACAAAGCCAACGCCACCTAGCTCAGTGCTAACATCAAATACAGCCACAAACAACACAATTAGAGTTTGGCACACTTACTGCGACACACGACACACACTGTGAAGGCTTCGTAATCCAACACCAATGGCAGAAGTGTATTTCCCCGCTGTATACAGACTTATTCATTCAAAATAGCGAGCGTTCAACTCGTCCGCAGCAATGTTGTGAATGTGTGTCAGCCCACTTCCAGCCGCAGCTAACAAGCTAGCTAACATCAGCGATGGGGGATCCGGAGCGGTTTAGTGATCGGATCATTTGACTCCGTTCTACAAAAAGAACCGACCGTCAAAAACTCAACCACTCAAAAATTTTCAGAGATTTAGGTTTAACAGTTCATTGAAGTTTTTAAAGTTTAAGTGAAAGAGTGGTATTTTTGTAAAGCAACCTTGAGTTTTATCAATGGGGCTGTATAAATTACATCTACTTGTCCTTCTTCTTCTTACAATAATAATAATAATAATAATAATAATAATAATAATAATAATGATAATAATGACAATAATAATAAAAATGACAATTATTGATATTATTATTAGTGGTAGTAGAAGTAGTTGTAGTAGTATGTTTAAACATAATAATTTCATGTTTTTGGCATATAATATCTTGAAATATAACTTTTTTTTTAATATTACAACCACACAAACATTGCAGCTTCTTATCGCGTTTTTTTCTTGATTCCATATATTCTATAGCAAAAATAAAAATACAGGTACCTACCAATTTAGGACATAAAACCTGCACTTCTATAAATTAATATTTTTACTTTAATCTCGAATTACAGTCACGTAATTTTCTTATGACCTTGTTCTACTAATATCAAAAAGCAATTCCTTTGAATTAACATTTTTTTACTTTTAATGCTACAACTTAAATTACCTAAAAATGTGAGGTAATATCCTAATACAATGACCTCTTATGACCTTATTTTTCCTTTTGCTCTTATAGTCTCATATCTACTATAAACAAAAAGTGTTCATTGTCCTACAACTTCTGACTTAGTTTTAAATGTTTGATCATATGAATGCCTGGCTTTCAAAGGCTTTTACCAAAGCAAGTCATGTTTTTGAGTGTGTTCCAGCAAATAAAATCTAAATTCTAAAATTCCCAGAGCGAAAACCAATAACCATCAACCAGAACAAGAGATAAACAAATCACCAACTCACAACAACTGCTTAAAGAAGTTTGTTCTGAAAGCCAACTCGTCCATAAATTACAAAGACAAAGCTTTTTGTGTTTTATCAAATAAAACGTAGGTAATACAATTTTGTAAGGCAAAACCATCCAACAAACCAATAAAACATTAAACATACCAACTCTCATCAGCCGCGTAAAAGAGTCAGTTTTAAAAGCCGACTCGTCCATGAAGGAAACCTCAGTAGCTAACATGCAGCAGCATTAGATAAGAATGTGGGTCAGCGGGCCTCTGGCCAGTCTGTCACCAAACCGGCAATAGAGAAAATGTGCTGTCTGTCGCTGTAGGTGTGACGGCAGCACACAGAGGAGCTGCAGGTAAAAGAGACAGCCACACAGGTAGAGGTCCACCAACACAGATGTCACACTTACCCCGAGTAGCCTCCTCTTCTACCCGTTTATCCCCGCACACGGAGACGCTGCTGCCGGTCGACTGCGCAGTGCTCAGAGAGGCAGCCTGGAGGATGAACAGGAGCCAAAAACGGCCTCCCGCTGAACTCCAGATAACACTGAGACTGCTGAAGGGAGCCGATGCATGCCCAGATTTACTTCGATTACAAGTATCCAAATGTCATACGCAGGTTATGGAAGACTTTGAGGGGACCGATTTTTTCGGCTCGCAGAAAAGATGGATCAAATGTGGAGAGACAGAACTGAGGGGGAGTTTATTGAAAATTAAACATTTAAATAAACAACAACAATAATAATATTGCTGTTGTTTTTTACTCTAAAAATGTCATGAGCCAGTCACTGACTATCACATTTCTACAGCTACGGAAAAGTGGTTGTGAATATTTTCTGTCAAGCAATTTTGGAGAATGTTTTCCTAATTTGGGGGAATCTAGACCACTTGAACAGCCAATTATTTTTAGGCTACCGCACTGCACAGGCCAGTGTCACGCTAAAGTATGAATCACTCGTTTTTGTATTTCCATGAAATACTCAACTTTTTTGTGAAAGAACACGTCTTCCTGAAAAAAAAACAGATTTCGTATCTGTCGTTTTTACAGTGTAGGACACTCCTCTTGCCTGTTATTTTGTACTGTTTGATCTCATGGCATTTCCTCATCCCTGTTGTTCAACTTATTACCATGGCAACAGCCAAACTAGCCACAATTGCAGTACCAAGTTTGACCACATCCATAGAATCAACGGGTTGATGGCGCTGTTTCATCAGAAAAGCGAGGAGGAGATGAAAGACTGGATTTGAAAGTCTGGTTTTAATAATGTAAGGCGAATAATTATTAATTAAGATTATATTTGATAATTATAACAGATTTTTCTTAATTATCATTTTCAATGAGTCACATTTTAACCCAAATGTGTCACACCAGCTCGAAAGGCTACTCCGTGATACATTTAAGACATCTTTAACCTGTTGGGATTAACACTTTTTGGGATTGATGCGTTTATTGTGCCTGCAAAAACATGACACACACTTTATTGAGGCAATAAAGAACAGACCCGAGGATGGAAAACAGAAATACTGTTGGTAGTCACAGACTTACTTTCAGACAGACTGTATGATATGGACAAGCCAAGGACGGTTCAGTTTTTACTGGGTGACAATGATGACACCTACTGGTATTGGGCGTCATTACATTTTAGAGTGGGCAAATGACAATTTAGAAAGAACATTTAACGTGTTTGAAAATTTAAGACAGATTAATAGTAAGTTACTAAGTAAGCTTTATTTTTTAGCACATTTTTACATGGTTTCCACACACACATAGAATAAGCAAATAAAGTGAATACAAATTTTCAGAACTATGTAATAGGAGATCATCCAACTTAGATCCAAAGGAACAGAAATGCATGAACAGAGAGCTACAAGAAGGCTTGTCTCTTTAGATATCATTGTTTCATTTCAGTATTTATGGTTGAATATAAGGCTCCTGCAAGACGTTTTTCACTGGTTGTGGAACAGACTGAAATAAACCCTGAAACCTCTTTCCATGACAATTTTTGTCATAACTTTAGTAGCTTTAACTGTAAGAGGGCAGATGTTAGAGGGGATTTATGGCACAAAGCAGGAAACCCTATTTGTATTTCCTCCACAGTAAATACTCATGAAGCAGAATGGCGTTTGTTGTGAGAAAACGTGAATTATACAGTGTCAGAATAAAATAAGTGAGGGGCACAAAATTCAACAAAAACAGAAAATTCTTAACAGAAGCTTTAAGTTCTTTGTACCTTTGCTGAAAGTTGTTGAATTTCATGTATTCCCTTTTCTAAATGAAATGGTTTCATTTTTTCATAAGGCTTATCATTTCTAGATTCTAATATCATTAGAAACAACCATCTCAGTTTATTCAATTTATTCAGTTTTCCTACAACTTAATTTTCCTGTTTGTTTAGGAGTCTTACTTCAAGAAACAATGCAACTGCTTCACCCTATTATAACCATTAAAATATTGTTGGAATACATCTGTTTAATATTGTTCTGGTTTATTCAATGCTGTTATATACTTTACACAAACCACAGTAACATTCAGGAGGTGAAACAAATAAACCTCAGACCTCTCCACATCAGAGCAATTTTAATGGAAATGGCACACAAAATAAAATGTGGACGGATGAACAGTGTTATAGTGTTTTTGTACATTCAAACATCACTGTACAGCAGAGGCAGAGTTCAGAGGGAGAGTCCGCATCAGATCAGATCAGATCAGATGGTCGGTTATGGGGAAGCAGCTCGGGGTCTCGGGGTGTGTGTGGTTTCTTCCTTGTATACTCAGCTTCAGAGGACTATAGAACAAAAACACACATGATGAGAGAATAAAAACAAAGGTATGAAAACTGTAGCTTTGGGCTTGATGTACACATGACTTTCTTTGACTGCATCATAGACATGTACTTGTTCTGGTTAAATAAAGGTTAAATCAAATGAAATACAACATTTTTTATCTGCTTTCAATTTATTATGTTACTGTGTTAAGAGTTATACTTAAAACCCCCAAAGAAACTCAATTACTGCACTATTAAGTTATATTTAGCAGAAGAGCTTTGGTAGAAATTACATTAAAAAGTCAGTTTAAAGCAGTGTATAATCGCCCTGAGCCTTTTAAGCCTGCATAAGCAGCTGCTCCGCTTTTACAGAGGTCACAATGTTTCTACAGTAGCACAGAGAGGACAAACGTGCAGTTTTGTATTTAGCAAGTGGCTGTGCAATAATGCACCTGCAGGACAATGAAGAAGAGGAAAGTGGTTGATGTGCAGAAAAGAATTTGTATAGCTTGACACTTCTGAAGAATCATAATTATCATGTAGTATTTTAGTTTAGAATCTGAGAGCTAGATGTCAGCAAATATTCCTATTCCTGAAGTCTGTACCTACAGCAGAATAATCGAATAATAGTCACTATTCCATGGTTATCTTAGCCATTAACATGTTTTAGAAGGATTCTGACTTTATAAAATAAAATGAAATAATTTGGGCTATGCTTTTGATGTCAGAATATGCCATATTCATGTTAAAGGATATTAAATCAGTCTACCTCTATTGAAATTGTAGAGACATCTCTGTTAAACACTGAAAACAAGGAGTATCACCAGAGTGTTACCTGTAATTCATTCATACTCTAAGGACCGTCTTCCATTTCGTGGCTGTAAGTGAAACAAAAATCAAATAAGTGCTTCTCATATTACAGTGGGGAATGACTGTATTTGATTTATGTTGAATGTAAAGATCTTCATACCCGGTAGAGGAAGTGACCTCTACTCTGGATTCCCCCCGGGCCCTGCAGCTCAGCCTGCAAACATACACAAACACACAAAGAAAAAAATGTTAAACACAACCTCCTTGTTTGATTAGACATTTTCTCTGTGTCTGCTGCTCCTCCATCTGCCCTAACTCAAACACCAACATCTGGATTTTCCAAAACAAACATCTCTCATCTCTCAGCCACAATTCCTCTGTGTCCACTCTGTGAATGTCAGCCGCTTGATAGCATCGAGGGATACGTTTACCTGTCAGCTGCACTAATTTTAGACCGTAATTACCCTCAGCCCAAGAAAGAACAACTAATGTGGAGCGAGCTCGTACACAGAGCGAGGAGAGCTGGCTGATACGAAACAGAATTACTCACATCTTAGCTCAGGAGGGGTAAACATACGTTTCGATGGAGCTCACATCTTTTAGTGTCAACCACTGATCCAAACCCACCAAAGTATGAATCATTTCTTCCTTTGCGCATCATGGAAGCAGAACTTTTCTTTAAATAACCTTCTATCTTGTTAAAGCTGAGACATTTTCATACAACCAGAAAGCAAAAAAAGATGTCACAAAAAATAAGATTTCACGTGTTATGTTTGTAAAACTGACTGAAAACAAAGTGTTTATATTCATGCACATCTTTGCTTTATCAGAAAGATTCTTTGTCTAAATGAAAAACAGTGGGCACCAGACTGATGTGGGTGGTGCATACATGCTTTAAAAGTTCTCTATCTACCAGTTCAGAGCTGAGAGGCAACAAGAAGAATGTGACAAACACACAGATGGAGCTCGACACACAAACATAAATAACACAAACATGCAAAAGACAGCCGAACAGACATGCGCTCTTAATTCGAGTGATTTATCTTTGCAGCTACAGCATCACTGTTTTGAAAACTGCATCAATTTCAGAGCAGAGATGGAGGACTATAGAAAAACAGCATTATAGTTCATAAAAGAAATATGGCTTATTGTGTGCAGTGAGTGTGCTTTTATGAGGATACCCGTCACTCTTATCACAGCTGCAGAGAAACAGCTCTTTGCTTCATCTATGCTGCAGGAGCAAAAGCACTTAGATGTTTGAACTAACACAGAACACATATCTAAAAATGCATGAATAAAAAATGAGTTTATCAAAGAAATGCACAAAATATAGGGCCTTTAAAATGAAGAAGTCTTGAAACAACAAGCACAGCATTTTAAAAGCTTATAAAATGTTTGAAAAAACAAGAAAACTGATCTGTGTGCATGATAAGACCATAAATAAGTATGAACAATAAATACAGACATGTATACACTTCTCCATAAAAGCCAGACTCAAAAGATGGTTTTAATTTGGGTTTGTATAATAAACATCATTTCTGGTCATTTTTACGTTCTCTGGAAAAAAAAAACTCCCCCAGGATTTTGGAGAACAGCTACTAAAAACAACAACAACAAAGATTCAGACACAAACATCTTATGTCACTCACTGATAAATTTAATCTGGAGTGGACGATTATTCTGCTATCATAAATTTTCTCAGTCCCTTTTGGAGGCATTGAAATAAAAAAAATACATAGAGGTTTTCAGTCTACTGACTCCCTAAAATCCTGATGTGAGAGATTTGAATGGCTTGCATTCAAAGATATTGTGAACTTTTTACTCATAAGGTCTGATGTGTACACTAAATTGTTGAATCCACATAAATTGTGTGTGCATCACATCAAATGGCACTTTTTGTTGTTGTTTGTTTTGGAAGTGACTGGTTTTGACTGTGTTTGACTGGTTTATGCCATGGAGAAAAAGTAGACAGAGAGTGGACAAACAGCAGGTGCCAAGTGAAATCAAGTCAAACAAGAAGTACTAATAAAAGAAAAAAATCCCAGCTAACATTTGCAAACAGGGGAAAATAAGAAAACATAAACATAAATTTGTATTTTAAATCTTGAAGTTAAAGACTATTAGATAAATATATATATTTTTAAATCTCAAAACAGCTCATTAGAAATTTCAGAAACAGACAGGTGTGTGTCTGTTGTCCTGTCTTCTCCAGGGCTCCTAGATTTGCACCTTCTTGTCAAAGGTGTAAAATTTACAGCAGTAGAAAAAACGGGCACTATTTTCAGCTTTAGTAAATCTCAAAGTGTATGCTTAAAATAACTCCTCTGCATTTTCTAGGGCTGAAACGCCTCATATTACATATCCATTGAAGCAAATGTACTAAATGGAAAGGCATGCTGTTCTGCATGTTTGAAAGTTGCTCATTGGGTGCTGTTGGTAGATCAGCTTGATCAGCACATTGTTTGTGGGTGTTTTGTTGGTTCGGAAATAATTTACAGATAAAACTCAGTGCATTAATGCTCAGGGCCACAAACCTAAATTTCATAAGATCACTAAAGGTGTCTCCACGCTTCCTTTGTTATAAAAGTAGTGCAGGAGCTTCAGACATCTTTATTATTTTTAAAACAACTATTCTGAATTTAAATCTTTTAATGCTCATAAACCAAAGTTTTTTATCTTTCCAAAGGTTTACTTGCAACAACCAGATGAATGTAACATTTTTAACTGCTAAAGGTAATCCCATTAAAAAATATGGCCCTGCACGAGCACGTCCACTTCTTCCTTCCAAAATCTGATTTATAACTTGTTCAGACCCAGACTCATTCAGCAAACATTAATGGAGTTGTTCTGTTAAATGGAGCCCTGTGTAGTGAAGAGGAAATTTGTGTTTTTGAAGTGTTACACATTTTAAATCCACTTTCAGGCATTCAGTTTCTGTCTATGACATAAGGAAGTACAAGTTAGAAACACATTTTAAGTCAAGATGACCAAACATAGTGAGGTATCCTTTCTTCACACTTATTTTTTTAAAACCAGGAAAAATGTCTGTCTTTGAAAATGATCATAACACAGTCTGACAAAGATGTGACTAAAATTATAGACAAAAACTGACACTGACTAAAACAAGACCAAAATGAAAACTGAGTTCCTCTGACTAAATCTGGACTAAAATGCATTTTGAAGAGGCTGTAAAAGATGCAAATCCAATTTTGTAAAACTGGCAGGGGTGTGTCTAGAGAGATGGCCAGATGTGGCCCATGTTCATCATGAAAGCAGACCATAAAATCCTGGACCATGACTGACTATATACCTTATCAGAGGTAAAACATACATGTATGTTAAAATTCCAATTTTTTGCTGTCAAAAAGGCTGCTGGACGTTTTCTTTGTAGAAATAAGCAAGTTCTTTCAACAACTACTCGTAACTGTGTAGAAGGGTTTTCACTTTTATTTAAAAAGATGATACCAATGGATTATCAAATGTATAGATTAAGACTGGTATTTGGATGCCCTTCTTTACACATTCTATTAAAAGACTTACAAACTGTGCACTAAAGGAGATAAATGACTTAAGCACTGAAAAACTGAAAAGGTTGTACTTTGGAGTGAAAGGAAAGGCATTCTCCATTTCCATATTTTGCTTTCTGAGCATACGTGTAGCCAGATAGTCTATTTTTCAGATCTGAAGAGCTGTTTCACTGTCTGTTGCATTTGTAATGTGTTGAGTGTTTTTTTCTCTTTGCACAAATGCTGCAATAACTCGACTGTTATTATGCTGTATGTCTTGTATAGGGAATCTTGGTGAGTAATGTAATTTATGTGGCCATTGTTTGTTTGTTTCCCAAACTGTTCTGTCGCACAGCTCAATGTGTCTGTAAGTGTGTCAATATTTTTAAAAGTACAATGAAAATAGTGGCGAGAAAATGAAATTCTAAAATAGATAGGAAACCAGGAGAAAAATCAGTCTGGGTACAATCACACCTTGAATCTTGCAAACTGTTTAACATTTGATTTAAGTATTTAAATTGTAACGTCCAACAAATATCTTTTATTTAGTCCTTGGAGAATTGAGGGAGATCTGTTGGGCTGATCTATCATTTAAAGCTCATGTATGTAACTTTTAGTTAATGTTGGATTTGGTGCTACTTGACACTTTTTTCTCCTGTTATGTGCAGCTGGAAGTAGTGTTTTCACACAAAAATCTAATACTGTATTCTTTAAATCAAGAGATGAATCACTTACTAAGAGTATTTGCTTTCAGTGCGCAAAACTTACAACAAAAATATTATCAGTTGTCTCATTGGTGTTATTTGCTTTTGAAGGTCGTATAGAAACATAAGTCTTAATTTCAGTATCTCAATCAGTGAGGAACTCATCACAATGCCTTTGAGATTAAAGGGGATTTATGAGGGGCTTTGTGACCTCCATTTTAGAGGATCTAGAAGTAATCTAGAAGAGAGGGGCCACAGATGAGGGCCAACTCAGGTTGGTATAAGGGGATATAAGCTCCTGCTGAGTCAAATTTTAATACTTACATCTGATGTTACAATGTTGAAAGTCCATATTTAACCTTAGCAAAGTTTCAGAGTAATGATGTACACAGATGTTGGCGTTATCACTGGATATATTTTCTGGCCTGATAAAGGGTGTATATACAGTATATACATGTACCCCTCTTTCTGGGTTATAATATGTATGAGTGTTGGTGTATGCATCCTAAGGTTGGATTATGCATTCTGATTTTTGGTTTTGTTTGGTTTGTTTGTTTGGTTCACAGTCACTAGTATGAGATCAACATGAGGTTTTTGGAGCTGCAAGTAATGCAAAGCTTCTCTATAGATGTTCTTGACTGACACAATGAAAAATGATAAGTTAATAGATCTCCTTTAAACATACTTCTCTGGTGGTTTATGCATTATTGTGCTACACGGGACTTTTATTAAATTTAGTGAAATAAAACAATTTATTTCAGGAAAATATGAAGTCTTACTCACTCTTTTACTACTTTCTCGCACTTTCAGCTCCTGAGAAGACAACAAAACATCACTCATTAAACACTTAACATTTGACGAAACTGTTTAATAATCCAGGTTTTCTAAACATAAACAGTTTGACCCACCTTTGACTTCTGCACCAGCATCAACACACACAGCTCTCCCAACACATCAGAGGCCTGAAATGAGAAGAGCAGCTGTTTGTATAAATTATACATGAAGAAACTTCAGACAGACGGACAGAAATAAAGACAGCTCACTCACCCACATCCTCAGGTCTGCAGAGAGGTAGGACGAGCACACGGTGCCTATCTGAAAACAGCACACAGGACGATAATGTGATGAAACATTTATACACACACATACATACACACACACTCTCTGGAGGAAAAGAGAAACACATGAATGGGGAGCAGCATACCTGGCTGAGGAGCTGCCTCTGGTCTGTTGTGGCTTGATGAAGTTCTACTGGAGCGCCTTGTGTCAGACAAGATCAGAAATACACAAAAACAAGGTTTGAATATCAGAAATTTTACAGTACATCTGTGCTCTGCTGTAGTTGTTGTTATGGTGGCCCTCTGTTTCCACATAACTGCAGTGGATGTTTATTATCCGTATAAAACAAGCAGACAGTTGTCCTATATGTAGTCACAATTCAAAAATATGTTTCAGCCATTCTTCTATTTTTAAGATGTTCCTGCAAAAATGAGTCGACAGCATCAGTGTCACTCTGAGTCTTGAATCTTTTGAGCCTTTTTGACATCCCTATAAAATGTGATGGACAGTCCACATCCAAACAGATCTCATGTAAGAGAGTGGACACTTGGTGTCAGAGGATGCAGGAGCTCAGCTGCTGATTTCTGCCAGTTTTTGACAGCAATTAAGTCTGAGATTCTGAGAGAAGAGTGGTGGTGATGGATGGGTGAATTACATGATCCTCTGGCTTATGAACTTAGTGGCTGCACTCTTTTAAAAGTAGAATTTTTCAATCCAAAAAAAGAGAAACATTAGCACAACTTTTGCACAACACGACAAAAAGGTGTTAACACAGGCATGGCTTATCTAACAAGCTTGAAAGTCACCTCATAATGTTCTCACCATCTCTTCTCTGTAATTTTGAGCTAGTCAAAGTTGTGAATGTTTATGTGATGAACTTTTGCCATATCATACCGATTGACTAAGTGCAAAAAATACAATTCGCAAAAAAAAAAAAAAAAGATTGGACACCATGTAAGAAAGTGCTCATCTGGTAAGTGGACATGTCCAATCCAAGATTTAAGATCTCTCCCTAGTGAAAATAAGTCTTGACCTTCAATATCCAAAATAAAATCTATCAAAAGAAATTTAATTAAATAAAAAGGAATTTAAAATTAAATCCATACAATATAATAAAAAGTTAAAAAATATATATTATTGAAAAAATATTTTTAAAAAATGAAAATAATATAATACAAGGTAACACAATTATTAAAAAATTATGAAATAAAATAAAAAATAAAAATTTAATAAATACAATAAATACAATAAAATAAAGCAAATAAAAATAAAACCAAGAAATTCATAAAAGTTGTAATTGGGACATTAAACAAAGTAAAATTTTAATGAAATAAATTTTGAATTAGGTTTAGGGTTTTTATTTTAGGATCAGCAGAAACACTGATGCACTGCATTGGATTTCTGTTAGACCTGATGTGCCAATATTTTCAAACTCATTGTAGCTGACACCAATACCACTCTTCACCCTTTTTTCATGGCAAAGAGGACTCTGTGTAGTTTTCTCTTGTATGAGAATTAACCTGTTAGTCATACATTTAAATTCTATTTTCTTTACAGACTCAAAACAAGACAGACAACATTTGATTCTGGTGATTGGGTGGTAAGTGTTTCTCTTTTTATAATCTATATGCTCAGTAACATGTCTGCCGTCTGTTTCTGGTGCTTCAAAATGCTTTCATGCAGCCGACAAATTTGCATGTGCAAGCTGTCATTATGTGAACATAATTGGTTAATGCCTGGCTTTTGTGGCCGATAACTATATCAGCAAGTATTTTCCTATCTACTGATAATGATAGTTAACTTTTGAAGCTTTTATCAAAGCAAAAGCCCTAACACAGAAGTGGCTGCAGGCAACCCCAGTGAAAACACACGTGCACTAGGAAGATAAACAGTATTTTCCATCAGACTGAACACTACTTATGGAAATAGACCTTCAGGTCTTTTGGATGTTACTCTTCACCTGTATGATTCAAAGTCCCCAGTATATAAGCTCCTCAAAACACATAATCCTGTGGAGCAGAGAGCCTTCAGCCTGATTTTCTCTGACTGCGTGCACTGAAATTCATTTGTTTTGATTCGGCATCAACCGCACACCCTTCACCTATATTGTCTTTCCCCCTGACACACCTTTAGATTGGAGCTGATGGTACTTTTATAGAAATAGCACCACCTTTGAAACGCTCTCCCTGTGTCTTATTGTCTCAAAGACTCTGTTCAGTCTTTTCAAAAGCTGCTAAAATCATAAATCTGTTCAGACAGGCATATGGGTAAATGATTACTGCACCAAACCCCAAATCCAGAGATTTTTTTCTTTCAGAAAATCCAGTGAGTATCTGGATCACATCTGGAGCATACATGTAGATTTATTGATAAGCCTACAATCAGAACAAATACTAAGTGTGTCCTGATATACCAAATGTTATTACACAATGAATTAAATATACAAACATGCTCTCATGCCAAATCTTGGGCTATATGACTGGGTTGACACCAAATCTGTGGCATATCAATCCTTTTTGTCATAAAACCAAACTGAACAGAATTTAGAAACATGTAGCATTAACAATCATCTCAGAAAAGTATCTTAACTTTATATTCTGAAAGTTTTAAAGTGATTTAATTCTGGAGATTAGATATGCTCCACAAATGATGACATTTACAAACCTGCAACGGATTGCACTTCTCTTGCTTTTTCGGTCAATTCATAAAAAGGTACAAATTTCACTATTTGCCTATTGTACTTAATATATATATGTGTGTGTTAACGTCTCTAATTCTGAAGTATTGTGTGCAGTGGATCTGCTCTTAATATAAACCAGAGTTTATAGTGTATTATACTCTATGTATTTTTGTAAATGTCCATTGAATTGTGCTAAATGTAGTATATGATGTAAATTAGGGAGCCTACCTTTGATTTATGTCTGTATTATGTTGATTTAAGTAATTAACACTTTCCAATGAGGGAACAAATTTCACACTTCCCTGATGCTGAAGTAATGAGTGAATCAGCTATTAAATCCATAAATTAATATCAGATGTCTCATTAACTCACGTTGCTCAAAATGGATTACATCAGTTTAGGAACTTTAAGTCATTGTTATTTTTAATGCTTAAGTTGGTGTAGAGCACATAAACTGAATTTAACTGGTTAATTCATAAGCATATTATTACTATTGCTGGTGTTATCCATTCACCTTGTCATTTCTTTTTCCTCTTAGAATTTTCAATGCTTTCATTTTAGTATTTTTTGCCTCTTTATTTGCTATCATTTAGGATCTCTTTCCCCTCTGCTGTTATAATCCACATAACCTGCTTTTGTCTTTATTTTATTTTACCACTAAAGTAAAAACCCATGAAACTGTTTCCATGTGACTGCACAAGATTATCATTGTTATATAAGAAAAAAATAATCAATTGGTCTGCTCTTCAATTAATATTAGCTTGTGTTTGCAGTATTGATCATAGAAAAATATGAATCTACATTGACACAAGTATTGATGTTCATTCAGAGAGGCTAATCAAATAAACCGATAAGAGACTCGTGTCCAGTTATTGTGCTCCATACCACCTAACTGTTCATTTTGGCTTAATGATACAATAAAGGAGAAGTCACTGAATGAAGTATGAGTGACTTTATGATACTTAAAACAAAAGTTAATAATACATTATAAATTCATGCATTAAATAATCACAACTCAAACTGAAACATAAGTCATTTTTACCCTAATTTTGAAATGTTTCCTTAGGTATTATACGACTTTTCTCTCATTCACTATATATTGTTACCTCTATCTTTTTATAACACTCATAAGCTCTCCTCAATTCTATCCACCCCTAGTATTTTGTAATTTGTAAAAATGCTGTTTTCATATGAGTTCATTTTGTTTTAAAGAGGATGCAAAAGCTTCTTCAAAAGCTAATGTTGTCATTTACACATTTAAATAAACGTTTGAGTTTGTTTTTATTAAATTTAAAACCCTTTTGGAGTGTTAGAGTACGTTTGTAGTGTTTATATTACTGATGTGCAATGCCTGGATAACCTGTTGTTCTGGATTGTTACTGGATTGCTATCCATAAACTCATTCATGCAAAAGCACAATATTATCTTGGTATTACATCGACAGTAATAATAATAAGAGAATGGTATGCGTTTTCAGAGTTTTATGATTTGTTGTGCAAGGTTATTTTTCATTTTCATGTCTTGTTTTGTAACTCCACCTGCTGAATTGCTCAAATTTTTCCCCTGATAGTTATGTCTATTTTTTTCTACCCCTGATGGGTGGTTTTTATTTCCCTTTCTAATCGGAGCCCAAATGTTCTGGTGCCCTCAAACAAAACCAACATCTGTTAAGCAGTGCAAACACAAAAACTGACTCATATTGTCGTCATTTTAGTGTCCACACACAAACAGTTGTACTAATCAAGTTTATATATATGTAGAATGATATTTAGAAATGAAAAAACGTTACAAAATTAAAAATATATATTTAGCTATTTATAATTCTCATTGAGTGTCCCAGGAGAGCAAACTTGACAAAAGTAAATATAAAAGACAGACATACAGACAGACAGACAGACATAGATAGATAGATAGATAGATAGATAGATAGATAGATAGATAGATAGATAGATAGATAGATAGTGGAAATAAAGCTGTGTGTGTCTGACCTGTGCAGACGGGGACGCTGAGGATGAGGAGGGCTGTGAGGGTGATGAAGCCCGCCGTGCTGAGGGGACTCATGTCGCCGCTGCTGCCGCTCACACTCCGCGCGCTGCTGGAGGATCCGCGCGGCAAAGACTGGATCTGATTCTGGATCTGAAATGTCCTCATTCTCCTCCTATTTTTTCTTCTATTTCTACTGCTTCTTCTTCTTCTTCTTTTTCTTCTCCTGTTTGTTGTTTAGGCTCTATCTGCTTGACTTCTTGCTCTTCTGAGAGTTTAATTGTCAGGTCAGAGTAATATGAAGGCTCGTGCCACTAACACACCCCCACCTTTTACGCGCCACTCGACTGCGTCATAGGAGGGTCTGCCTGCGCGCAAGGAGTTATTGAGAGTGATGTACAGGTTTGTTTAGACTTTATCAAAGTTAAAGTCAGTGTCGTGAGGATAAGTTACTAAATTGTTGAGATGCTCTGACGTGATTCAGAAATTTGGGACTGCATGACTCCTGGGTTAGCTTTTGGAACTCTTAGACCCCTGCTATCCAGGGGTATTTTCATGCTGATAAAGGGCGATCAGGGTTGGTTGTCACGTTGCTATTTATAGCCAAACCTTAAGGTGTGTCCCACCATGTTCCTACAAAACATTTGGTCTGATGTGATGACGTGGTCAAGTATTGAATCAGGTACAAAACATTGAGGTAAGAAGACATTTTGGGATTGGGTTTACTGACCAGAGCAATTTTTCATATGAAAAATTTTTTTAATGAAAAGTTTCAAGGTAATTGGTCATTTCACAATCAAACATTTTTTCAAAAAGTGGAAGTCAAAAGCTTTCATCTGAGCCTAATTTTAGTTTGCCTGTTTTTTTAACTAGCTAAACATAGAATTGTTTTGCATACAGTATATACAGGTGTCTCAGCCTACTTTTAACATTGGAATTATTCACCTAAAAGCAGTTGCTGTAGGGGAGACAAGGGCTTGTTGTCACACTTTTTACACTCTTGTATATTTCTTGTAATCAATACATCATAAATAAACAAAATGTGTACCAGATGAAAGGCCAAAGTCTCAGGTAGATATTTTGTATTCATGTCATTTTCATATCTTGTGTCAGTGCAGAGTTATAAACAATCAAATAGAAGGTGGGGAAAATGTGACATGTTGCCCCACCATGGGGTAAGTTGTCTTACAGCATGGGGTAAGATGTCACAGTGGATTTTGCAGCTTATTAAACAAAAAAAAAATATTGTTCTCATTTTTTTACATGAAAGTGGACATCAAAGTCAGGCACAGAAAATGTTTATCATTGAGCTAAAAAAAGTAATTGAACAAAAATTAACATTAAATATTATGCAACATGCTCTGGAGTTTGGAGAGCTGTCTGACTCTATATTTCGGCTGGGGTGAATGTTTTGCAGTACCGAGCCAAGGTATGGTAGTTGACATTAAAGTCCTTTATTGTAGTCCAGACTGATTTATTAGCTAGGGTCACCTGCCTGACTGCCCTCAGCATCATGTCAGGTACTGCACTGCCATGTTTTGTTTTTCCTTTGAAATTCTTGACCACGTCTTCTCACTTTGTCTTCTCCTTTAAACCACTCTTTTTCTGTAAAAATAAAGGGAAATTTTCAATTTTCTATGTTAATTTTAATCCCTTTTAAACATGTGACAACTAGCCCCAAAATGACTGAGACATGTTGCCCCAAAGGAATAAAATAAGGAAAAAAACTAGTATTCTACTTTTTAGTTGCGCCGTCTGGTGGTAAAGATTATTGCAATGTGACAACTTACCCATGTGACAACAAACCCCAGTCCCCCCTATTCTTTTTAACACTTTTTTCTTATAATTGCTATTTGTTGATTCCATTAACACAAATGAGTCCCAAATAGTCAAATTATCAGTTTTTTTGGCTCTAGAAGCTGTTGATGCACCAGATGATAAATTGCTCCAATTACTATGTTGTACAGTTAAGTCGAGCTACAGCCATAGCTTATAGGTGGGGTAGGCAAGATTCTCTTAAAGAAACATCTTATTTTGTGGTGTATATACAAAAAAGCTTTTAATATCAGTCAATAGCTATTAGTTATTGATGACTTTTGGTAATATAACGATATCACTGTGTTTTGTTATGTCTGTGTAGTCAAACATTTAAAATTTTTGAGCGGCCCACTCTTTCTGACTGTAAACAAAGCCAAAGCTACTTCATCCTAGTTGTAGAAGTCCTGCAAACTGTGTTTTTGCTGATAGTCTGTTGGCATCTACAGTCGCACCGATCCTTATTACTTTCACATTGACTGGGCCCCATTTGTAATTATCTGAAGTATTTATCTGCGTTATATCTTAATTTAACTGAAATGATATGAGCTCTGGGAAAAAAATCTAATCATTGACAGCAGTGTCCTGCTCGCTACACTATAGGTGACAAATCCCCCTTTCAGTGTGGTACTTTTGAATTGTCTCCTGGTTAATGTGTTACATATCAGGGCAGCTAACAACTATTACAGTTCTGTGCCAATTGTAAGGAAAGTTTCATCTTTTTTAATATCCTTTCTTTGTCTGACAAGGTTTTCAACAAACAAGAAACACTTTTGCACTGTTCAACGACCAGCTCAGAGCCTGGTGCAAACACTGGGGCATGCGCAAAAGGCTAAGGCCAGTTTCAACTCAATCAAGCCAAATACTTGACTGACAAAATCCATCACCAACTGCAGTATCCAGGTATAAGGTAAGAAAAACTATATTGATCCCAAAAGGAAATTCAATTCAGGAATGTTCGCCCAACTATGAGAACTTTCTGTGCGTTTTTAGTGGACATGTGTGTTTACATGTTTTTAAAAGTCTAGTTTTAGTCTGGTTATTGCAATAAATCGATAATTTTAAGTGCATGTAAACATATTGACAGTACTAAAGTGAGACTGAACACTTTATCCTCATACTGCTATATTAAGGCAAGTCAGATTCAGTCTTTGAGACTTTGAATAAAGATAATCGATTATTCAAATTACATGAAAAGGAAAACAAAGTCTACAAAGGGCAAAAATCAATTTATTGGCAAATGCGTATTCCCCTCCAGTACAGTAGGTGGTGATATGTCACTTATGTCACTGTTACCACTGAACTGCCTCATACCAAAGCAATCAACAAAGACATAAGCAAGAGGTGAAAGGTTGAATGCTTAATAATGAAAAGATAGACAACAGCTTTGTACTCTTAATTTGTAGGATACCACAGCTCCATCTTCTTTCACATCCCTTCTCCCTCTATCTAGGTTTTGTTGAAAAACAGGCTTTCAATAACAGTCATCCTGTTCAACTTCTAACGTCATAAAAGCTACATACAGCCAGTTGTTTTAACATTTGAATACGTTTGCATTTTGAATATACATAATAGCATTTCATCTGGTCAAACTGTTTTCTCATTACCAAGAGTTATAAATGGAGCTCTGCGGTATATTCTGCATGCAGATTTAATATCTGTATGTTGTATTCACTCATCTGCTGTTTGTCTCACCTGGCACGTTTAAACACATTGTCATGCCACTGTTTTTCTTAGACATGACCTCCTCTTCTTTCAGTTCATGCATGCTTTTGTTACGTGTGACCCCTCCACCTTCCCATCACCACACAGTCCTCAAAGTTTCATTAGCTTTCTCATCTCATCGGCCAACACCTTCACCAACAGTGTCCGGACTTCCCAGGGGGGAGGCAGACACCCTTCGATCATGTTTTCCTGAAGAGTTTAAACCCCAACAAGTCTCAGACAATAATTTCGTAATCGAATCATCCCTGCAAATTCTGTCCTGATTAAATCAAATAGTATCAGTAACATTGTTGAAAGTTAGATGTCGTGACTTTTATCTTTCATTGTCAAGATATTTTATTATCCCAGAGGGGCTATTATTGTACAGCAAGCAACAAGCACAGTTAATGAGACAGACAGACAGACAGACAGACAGAAAGAAAGAAAGAAAGAAAGAAAAAAAGGTTGTATGGGTTCCAAGTGAAACCTTAACGATTTGTCGTCAAGGTCTTTTAATATACAAGCAACCAGGTCAATCTCTGTGTTTTCAGGCTCTGCTGTTTTTTGCTCTTCATTGAGACATTTTTTAAGAAGAAGTTCAGAGCAAACAAAGAAAACATGGCTGCAGCTTCTGTGTCAAGTTCACATTTCTGAGTTTCCTCAGTTTGTGGCCCAGATGCATTGTTAAACACAAACACACAACTCTGCAGCTGTATGTTGTTTTGTTTGAATATATTGTTCAGGTGTAATTTAATGTAATTTTCTGCGTATTATGGGTAATTTTTTTCCATGACTTCATGTGAGGGCAGTAGCAGCACCTCTGTATGTTATCTTTATCTTGAAAAGCCATTTCAGCACATACTGGAGCTCTCACCTCTTATATGTTGTTTACCTTATTTTATTGTACCAAGACCTGCACATGGTAAATCATTTTCATCTCTCAGGTGATTTTATGTAGTACTACTTTTCTGTTGACGTTGTTAAGGGAAGTAAATATGAGGACAGCAACCTCAGCCTAAGATGTAGCCTCCTGTAAATAAGCTACATTTTTGACTTTCCAACACAACATGTCCTGGTGTGATTTTGTACTTCAAATATTAAAATATCATGACTTTGAATACAGAGAACTTGACTTTTAAATTTTAACTTTATTTTGATTAAGAAAAGCTCATGCCAGGGAGAGAAAGAGATGGAAGCACTATAAGCTGGCGTGTTAAAGACAGTGCTCATGGATAGGATTTTAAAAGTGGAATAAAAAGAGACAAACAATTGAAACCCTAAGACACATACAAATAAATCCTTTCTTAATGTCCTTACCTTCTACAAGTTTAAATTGTTGTGGTTTTCTCAGGTTTTAATAATGTAATTAGGGAAAAATTTCTGCTTTATATCTTGTATCCTACTGAAAATGTTATTTCACGCTTAAGCCGTGTTGAAATGACCCGCATAATGTAATGTGGTATTTTAAGGACATCTGACAATCTGCAACTGCTTTTCGTGTTATCAGAATTACAAGTGTCAACAAATCCCACCATCCTCCACTACATTGACATATATTGTTATGCATAAAGATCCTTTTCTGACAAATGAAAACCATCTTTATAATGGCACTGAACTTAAGTAGTAAATACATTTTCAGCTATAATGACTTTGATACCAGGTCAAACCAGGAAACTACATCCTCATTTATTTTGTTTTGTCACAGGAAAATAACACAGTTTTGTGTGAGTTTCAGAATAACGTTTCTGAGTGTAAAATGTCAAAGAATTGG